TATCTCTAAAGTTTAGGCATTTCGCACACCAAATAAATATTGTTATATAAAAATATGTATCACCCATTATTCGCGGAAGGTATTTAATTTCATGTATACGAAATATTTATCTGATCCGATAACGATTAAGTATTCATTTTTCAGTTTAAAAATACGAAAACTGCTAAAACGGGGCTAATATTGAGACAAAAATTACGTGTGACGTTATTATTTTTTTAATCATGCATTTTCTTCATAGAAAACTGGAATTAATTTTAAGGATCAATATTTAATGCAAAATATATATAAGACGACCACAGCGTGAGCAATGTATCGAATTTTAGGCAAACAAAAAACAAGAATGATTCAATTGAACATGAAAAATTGTTACAGTTTTTACTAAAATGAAAACTCTTAAATGGCGTCATTTTAGCCCAAAATCCAAGTTGACGACTTAAATAGTTCACGGATGTACTTCAGTTGACATCAAGCTTGAACATGAAATTCGCCCATTGAAATTCCAAATAAAACGATCGAAATGACATAAGTCTCGTAAAGGCGTATTGAATAATGTGTACGCCAAATATCATATTATGAAATTGAAAAATCAATCTACGATAAGACACTTTGTAAATAGTATTAGGGTTTAAAGATACGGACATTTATGAACAATTAACCTATTCTAAAGACGGATCGTATTCATTTCTTAAAGACGAATGTTCGAAATTCAAATTCAAGATGCCCATTTTGTGTAGAAAATATGTTTTCATCCGATCACACTACACATGTTCCAAATAACAGCTAAGAGAAAATTCATTGATATTGGATGAAGTGGATGGATTTGGTACATTTCTTTGCAATGTGGGCGCATTTAAAACAGCGCCATATTTTACGGCACAATTTCCGCTGGCCTCTTTTTTATCTGAATCTTTTTTAGTGCGTCATTCCAATCGGAATGATGATTATATGTATAAATTCCGCATTTTTAGAATAGACAAGAGTGTAATTTTTTCCTCTTTCAGTTACAATATTCTCATTTATGATATGGAATAGTTCACACTTCATGTACCATGGTACTAAACATGTTATATGGACATTAAACTCACGAACACGTACTGTGCTCCAATTTTGACTGATTTATGTAAATCCAAGAGAATCGTCTTAGCTTCTTATGCGCGCTGTAAATGAATTTTTATACTAGTCTACATAATATTTTTCTTAATTGTTTCTCATTAAATTCGAAGTCATATAATAGAAACAAAATCGTATTTCAAATATTTTCCAGCTGTACACCAAACACCCACCAAATTAGATCATTATGTAAATGTTTGGGAGGAAAAAGAACAGTACTATATGGCTCAAATGACATTTAATGTCATGATGTATGTCCATTTTTGTGATATATTTGTCATGATCACTCTGTACTGAACTCAATAAGGAACTAGAAAATGTCAACTCCACGGAGTAGCAAATCCCAACGAACACTATATAAATCATCAATCTGTACAGTCACAAAATAATATTTACCATCTACTCTTACCTTCAATAAATATATTAAATCATTGTAGCATCATGTAAATCTAAGAAATGGCGAATTTCTGCTCTAGTCAGCCATTTTGAATTTTCAAAGACGCAAATCAGAAAAACAATGCCATAATTGTGATCTACTCTGAAATACCTTCAATTTGAGTATAATATAGCCATACTTTTAAGAGATCAGAAAATAATTGCGAAATCACGCATTAGGCGGCCATTTTGATTTTTAGGCCCCAATCAGAAAAACGCTACGATATTTACAATCTACTCTAAATTGCCTTTCATTTGAGTATAATAAAGCTATACATCTCAAAATTAACGCAAATTCCTGTTTTCTCAACCCCCATTTACGGCCCCTGGGGGTCAGGGTGAAAAACTCGGGATATATATGTGAAATAGACAGATGTTAATATACTGCCAAAATTTCAAATAATAATATTTATTATTTTGGTTTAAAATGAAAAACGTAAGATTTTTGTGAAAAATTCCCGGCATTTTCAAACTGGCGGCCATCTTGAAGAAAAATTTGCGTAAAACTATTCACCAATATACATATTTCCATTAAATATGAAGCAAATCTGTTGACTAGTATTCGAGTTATCCTCCGGACAGACGGACGAATTCAAGTTCCAACATGAATACCAGGATAAGTTCTCTTGGCCTCCAGTGTGACTGACGGACAGACGGACGGACGGAGGGCTTTACTATATCCCTACAGAACTTCGTCCGTTGGGATAATTAAGATACAATAAGTATAGTAACATATACGTATTTACATTGCTTTATTTCTTTTGGTGTAGGGCATACTGATATAGGCCTACAACATACAACTTAATTGCAATACAATAGGAAATATGTCACAACTACTTGACTCTATGAATATAGCATTTAAAGCATTAATACAATGTGAAATTAAAAATGATATCATGTTGTGTTGCATAAATCATTAATTCAGGATCGGCAAGCAAATTTAGTTCTGTCATTTATTCAATTCAATTTATTTCATAATTCTTATTTAATAATATTTTATTAATATTACAGTCTTGTATAATCTTATTTTATCTTATATCATATCCATGTCTAATACCTAATAACCCAACATAAAGGACCAGGGTAAGTATGGCAAGTGATTTTAGAAGGTCATTATATCTTTCACCATGAGTACTTTCTCAAAACCTGTAAAGTGGAACACCTCTTTAAATGGAACACATCCACAAGTGGAACTGTTGGAACTTCACTTGAAAGAAAGCACATTGTTTTAAATAAAAATTAGTACCGTGGGTACTGGGCTCACATGGTGTTGCTCAAAAGTGAATGATGGCTAAAATGACAGAAAATAAAAAAATGGATATGATGTTTTTGCTGATTTTTTGTAACAAAATTATTTCATACAACTACTCTTTACAAAGACATGGCTTTTACAATGTAGGACATCTGGAATTATTCGTAAAGCTAGGAAATGGGCCAAAAGTGAATTTCACAAGACAAAAATGGTGGCCGTTTTGAAAATAGGCGAGCTTTTGAAGCAGAAGTCACACACACTACCCTACCACGTGACCACGTTTAAAATGGAAACAGGGTACAGCTAAGTTGCAAATGGAGGACGTGGGTTTAATTCCATATTTCTGAACGTAAAATACATTTTACATTTATTTCTAGTGTTCTACCAGACATAGAATTGATTCATCAAGCAGTTTGTAGAATATTGTTGGCAAAAAACCCCTATAGGCAAAGATAGATAATAGTGGGCGCAGTGAAGCAAAACTCAACACAATACACGATACATTTCAGTAAATCTGTCAACGTACAGGGAGCATGTAAGTTTCCCTTCGAAAATGTTACATTGATATGTAACAAAAAAAAACAGTTAACTATTATTTCGTGTCATCGTGTTATAGGTGGATACGTTTTCAAGTATGTTATTCAACTGTATTTTTGTGAATTTGAACAAAACATTCTAAATGATCGGTTTTTGAGGACGGTAGTGAATTATACCATTCAAGGGGTTATATAGAACGATTCTTCACATGTAGTTCAGGCAATTTTAATTATTCTGAGTAGCGGATAGCCATTAATACTGATAGCGGATAGTCATTTATATAATTATCATTAACGTCTTAACATTTAATTTTGTTATTTTATTTCAATTTGATACCCTAGTAACACGTATAATCTAGCGTTCTTGTTTATTTTATGACTAAAATGCATACGACCTGAAAGCCTGTGTCTAAATCTACAAAATAATGTTTACTTTATTTGGATTAAATAACAATTGATGACACCCCAAAGCATCAACAGGCGACCTTTTTAGCATTACTTTCACTGTTTGCAGCGTAAATGTACATGAGGTCGGAACATAGTATGTCTGTATAATCAGCTTACTTTCTCGCTCCCTGTACTATTGAACAATTTACATTCCTTGTACCCTGTATTGATCAACTTTTGCAATTGTGTACCGTGTACTATGACATATCAAATATTTTAAAATTTAAAACGATATTATTTTCATTCTTTCTATAACTATCATATAACTTGGAACATCGACTTCACTATTGCACCACTGAAGTGTAGCGAATAGCAATATTGACTCACTCCGAGCACCAAACGTATTAACCTTTTGAGTAAGCAGTCGATATAAGTAAGAGTTAACAGACACAATTACGTCTCTTGCGTACCACCTTCGTTTGCGCGAATTCTCAACAGTTAGTTTTCGAGTATAAAACGTCGTTGTGATGTTCTAAAAGATATAAAACTATTTCTTACGTATGCCTTCATCTTAATGTGAAAAAACAAGCTATGATACAATATGTGATAAGACCTAGTAGTTAATGGAATATTATATTGGAAATGAACACAATATTATTCGAAGCGTATTTCGAAAATTTTGAGGCCACCAAAAGTTGTCGATTTGACCAATCAGAGACGTGGGTCATCTCAATACCGTACTCACATTATGAGCGTAGGTCATCATTGAAATCTGGGATTATTTCCCCTATTGTTTTAAATGATTTGAAATCATATTTCGAAACCCGTCTCTACGCACTGAATACGTGCCAAATATTTAGCTAAAATTTCGAGGATGTAACTTTTTACTTTAGTGATTAAATCTTATCGTGAAAACAAAAAATCTTATCAAATTCTGATTCCCGGGAAATTCGGCCATTTTGTAACGAACACATCAGCACTTCCTTTTCAGTTCCAGGAGTTCTTGCAACAACAACAACTCAGCATCCACTCCTATCGCCTGTTCCATTTACACGACGCCTAAGAAATAATTTGTGAGCACATAAATACGCTCAAACACCAAACGCACTTAAATCTAAATTATGCGAAGTGAACTGAACATGAATAACGGATGGCATATATTGTATGTAAATCTCTTTAAAAACAAAATAAACATCATTTTTACATATCACAGATACACCGATCCTCGCCTGGTTATAAAAACGTTACGTCTTTATAACAAAATGAGGGTCTCAAAAGTGACATTATACAATAGTTCTTGCGTAGCCATTTTACACAGGTTTTTGTGAAGAATGGAGTGTTGAGGAACAAAAAATCCTATTGAACGAAAACTGGATCTTGCGAAATCAAAAATGTCTATATTTAAACACGGACTTTCTTTTTTTAATGCAATAATACGCTTTGGCTTTCTTATGGATATCCCTAAAATTTCACATTTATCACCAAATTAACTATAACTAGTGTAAAATAGGCGTTCTTTCTTGGAATCGATTCCTCATATTAATGCAAATATATGGCAACAATAGCGTAATAATGATTTCAAGAAATAAGTCCAAAAACGGCAATGGTATTGCCTCTTATTAAATACACAGGACGAAACGTTCTGAAAATTGCTAAAAGTAGGGGACATTGTAACAGCTCCCACTCCGTCAATATTTTATAAATTTACACTCCCCTCCATAAGTTTGGCAACCTTTTTTCCCCATTGAACTACGTGTTAAAGCTTCTTTACGTTTGAATTTTTATTTATTTAACTGGCGATGAAATAACTTATAATGTTGTTGGAAACGTAACTTGACTTTATTTCCAATACCTCCAAATTTTCTCAATTTTTTTCCTCAATTACAATAGGTCGAAAATTGATGATGAATTTGATGAATTTTTGAAAATCGACATTCACATGTTAACCAATGGGGAATGGAAGGTTTGCCGCAAGTCATATGACAGAATATCCATCCATCCGAGTCCTTGCAAAAAATACGAGTTGGGGTTCTTGATGTGCTGTACCAATCTGTATTGCTACTGAGATTGTTCCTGTTGATCATCTCCCTCGCAATACAGAAAATATTGGTGCGGAGGGGACAATCTCAGTAGCAATACAGAGGATCACACGATAAAAACGTTATTGAATGATTTGAAGTGCAATACAGGATATATTCTGTCACCTGCCATTAAAGCAGATATGAAATGGTATTTTTGACCTAAAGGAATCAATATAGTATTTTATGTCTAATTTGTCTTAAATTGCTGATACAGTTTGCGCTCTAGATGAAATGTCAATTTTCGGACCGGTCTAACGTCACGCTGGTAACAGTACATGTATGTTGGTAAATAATTGAAGAGATGTTAAAGGATATAATTTTGCCTATGTTCTTCCAAGGACATGTTGAGTGGTCATTATATTCGTGAGATATTGAGTATCTAATTTGACATAAAGCTTTGATTTACATTGCGCTCTAGACGAAATGTCAATTTTCTGACCAGTCGTACGTATACCTCACGCTGATACCAGCTCGTCCTTTGCTAATTTGTTAGACGTTTCAGTATATATGTTGCCACGTTTGCTCTTCGAAAGATTTAATGACTGGTGTTTCCGTTCTCGAAATATTTTGTATCTAATTTGTTTTAAATCGCTAATACAGTTTGATGGTGTAAATCTTCAGACCAATCGTACGTCACGATGGTACCAGCATGTTGTTTGCTATTTTGTGAGACTTTTAAAAATATATTTTCAAATTTGCTCTACCAAGGACTTGTTTATTGGTCTTTTAGTGATATGTTCAGTATCTTATTTGTCATGAAGCTCTGATTTACTTTGCGCTCTAGACGAAATGTCAATGTTCGGACCGGTCTTACGTCACGTTGGTAGGAGCATGTTGTTTGCTTATTTGAACAACTTGAAAGGATATATTTTTGCATTTGCTCTACCAAGGAATTAGTGTATGGTCATTCTATTCGTGAAATATTGAGTGTCTAATTTGTCAAAAAGCTCTGTTTAACATTTTGCTCTTATCGTAATGTCAATTTTTTGACCAGTCCTACGTCACGCTGGTACTAACTGGTCCTTTGCTGATTAAATGACTGGTGTTTCTGGTCGTGAAATATTCAATTTATTTCTAATTTTTCTTAAATCGCTGATACAGTTTGCTAGCTATCTAGACGAAATGTCAATTTTCGGACCAGTCTTACGTCACGCTGGTAGCAGCATGTGGGTTGTTAATTTGAGAGACGTTAAAGTATATATTTTTGCCTTTGCTCTTCGAAGGACTTGTTGAGTGGTCATTCTATTCGTAAGATATTGAGTATCTTATTTGTCATAGCAGCATGTTGTTTGATTATTTCAGCAAGGTGAAGGAATATAATGTTTGCATTTGGTCCTCCAAGGACTTGTTGTATGGTCATTCTATTCGTGATATTATGAGTATCTAATTTGTCATAAAGCTCTGATTTACATTTCGCTCTAGACGAAATGTCAATTTTCTGACCAGTCGTACGTCACGCTGGTACTAGCTAGTCCTTTGCTGATTTGTGAGACGTTTTAGTATATGTTTCTACGTTTTCTCTACGACGGAATTAATCACTGGTGTTTCTGGTTATGAATTATTTCATATCTAATTTGTCTTATATCGCTGATACAGTTTGCGATCTAGACGAAATGTCAATTTTCGGACCAGTCGTTCGTAACGTTGGTGGCAGCATGCTATTTGCTTATTATTAAGATTTTGGAGGATACATTTTTTACATTTGCTCTACCAAGGACTTGTTGATTAGTCATTCTATTTGAGATATATTGAATATCTAATTAGTGAGATGTCTGAGGATACATTTTTATATTTGTCCTACCAAGGACTTGTTGATTGTTCATTCTATTCATTAGATATGGAGTATCTAATTTGTAGGATTTGTCGCAAAGCTCCTATTTACATTGCGCTCTAGACGAAATGTCAATTTTCTGACCGGCCTTACGTCACGCTGGTAGGAGCATGATGTTTGCTTATTTGAGCAAGGAGTAAGGATACAATTTTTGGATTTGCTCTCCCAAGGACTTGTTGTATGGTCATTCTATTCGTGAGATTATGAGTATCTAATTTGTCATAAATCTCTGATTTATATTTCGCTCCAGACGAAATGTCAATTTTCTGACCAGTCGTACGTCAAGCTGATACTAGCTAGTCCTCAGCTGATTTGTAAGACGTTTCAGTATATGGTTCTACATTTTCTCTACGAAGGATTTAATGACTGGTGTTTCTGGTCGTGAATTATTTCATATCTAATTTGTCTTATATACCTGATACAGTTTGCGATCTAGATGAAATGTCAATTTTCGGACCAGTAGTACTTTACGTTGGTGGCAGCATGCTAATTGCTAATTAATGAGATTTTGGAGGATACATTATTACATTTTCTCTACCAAGGACTTGTTGATTAGTCATTCTATTGGAGAGATGTGGAATATCTAATTTGTCGTAAAGCTTTGATTTACATTTTCACTCTAGACGAAATGTCAATTTTCGGACCAGTCTTACGTCATGCTGGTAGCAGCATGTGGGTTGTTAGTTTGAGAGAAGATATTGATTATCTTGTTTTTCATGAAGCTTTGATTTACATTGCGCTCTAGACGAAATGTCAATTTTCTGAACAGTTGTACTTCACGCTGGTACTAGCTTGTCCTTTGGTGATTTGAGAGACGTTTCAGGATATATTTCTACGTTTGCTCAACGAAAGATTTAATGACTTACGTTTCCGGTCGTGAAATATTTTATATCTTTGTCTTAAATCGCTGATGCAGTTGGCACTCTAAAAGAAATGTCAATTTTTGGACCAGTCGTACGTTACACTGCTACTAGCTAGTCCTTTGCTATTTTGTGAGACGTTTTAATATTTATTTTGAAGTAATTGCTCATCAATGGATTTAATGATTGATGTTCCCTTTGTGATATATTTTATATCTACAGGGTGGGCCAAAAACACCCCCTAGCCGATGTTCCGGGCGATAAAAATTCATTTTTAACATGTACATTAACAATGATATATCATTTTAAAAATAATTTAATATGCAACAAAATGATATATAACACAACAACTTTCAACAACCCTGGTTCGAGATACAACCATTTATGTACATGGGGGCCAAAAATCATCTGATTTACGCTGGTAGGAGCATGATGTTTGCTTATTTGAGCAACGTGTAAGGATATAGATTTTGCATTTGGTTTTCCAAGAACTTGTCTGGTCATTCTATTCGCATCCTCCTAAGCAGGTGTCCAGAATCCGTACCTCCTTCTTCCCCCTGCTATAAGCAGTTAGCATTTCCCCGATTAAGAACTCGCAATTTGATTGGCTCTCGCAACACTGCGACAGCAATCATGTATACGTCATCGGCGCATAATTAGATCACGTGATTCAGTTTAATCGGGTGCGTCCAACTTGGTTATAGCAGGGGGTAAAAAGAAAGAAGATATTCTGGATTTTGAAGCCCTGTGATTGGAGGATGTTCTATTCGTGAGATTATGAGTATCTAATTTGTCATAAAGCTCTGATTTACATTTCGCTCGAGACGATTTTCTGACAAGTCGTACGTCATGCTGCTACTAACTAGTCCTTTGCTGATTTGTGAGACGTTTCAATATATGTTTCTACGTTTTTTATAGGAAGGATATAATGACTGCTGTTTCTGGTCGCGAAATATTTTATATTTAATTTGTGTTTGTGTTACCAAATTAGCATCAAATGCCAGGAAGATTGGGGAAAGGAGTATGAGATATAAAACCTGCACAAATGAATGTTTAATATCATCCTAATTATCTTGATGAAAATGATCTTATAAGATAAAGAAAACAGATAATTATGATTGCAACATTTGTTTCTTCATACCTGGAAGTGGTGAACATTATCCCATAGCTCTAGGTCAAGTCGTGGGCAGCTGCTGGTAGCATGGTACAGCGTGTCCATGTGTCAATCAAAAGGCATCTCTGGTACCTATCTGAAGAAATGATACCCCTCGCCTTGGTAGACAGGGCCACTGTAGATGAAGAAAAGAGTGACATTGTCAGAGCAATGCTGCAAGCTGATCGACCCCAGGATTTCCCTCCAATGAAGCCAGACATGAAAGATCACCTGTTGGATGGTAGACCGGGGGAAGTGCCCTCCATCACTTTGCTGGTGAACGGTCTTGGCTCCTGTTCGACCCCTTTGATGTGGATACCGATTGGATACAGCTACCAGCTCGGGAATTGCAACAATCTGCAGCTTATATGAGATACAAGAATCTAGTTGACTCTCTGCAAGTTGTTAATGACTGAGCAGAGGACGTCACAGAATTTGTGAATTTGTGCAAAGGATGCTGGCCGAAGAGACCGTGTTCAAATGGTGGCAAATCATCATAGACAGCTTTTAGATTTCAAGAATTTAACTAAACAACAGAATGACAATATGGATGATTTCATTTAAATATGGACTTCAATCATGGCACCATGAGAAATGATAACCCTTATACTCCAGTATTGCGTTCATACATGTAGCCCTATGGCCAATTGATGTTTTTCTGTGTATTAAAATTCTTGATCATAGTACATTATTCTGTTATATTATGAATATATAAGGTAACATCTTACATTAAATCCAATATTTAGTGGGATAGCAAAAAGTATAGTGTATCTTAATTTCCTTTGAAAATGAACAAATTTCATAAAAAATGCCATTTTGGTCCGAAATGGCTGATATTTGAGGTGCAATTCCAAGAACCAAGACATTATCCAAGCAATCTGAAACTTTGCAGGATTATTTTTGATGGCAAAAGGAATGGGAACCCAAATGTGCTTAGCTCTTGGGTAAAAAGTGAAATTTCCGAACATCCTAATTGAGCTCAAAAAGAAATACCAATTTTCGGACCAGTCTGCATTTATTACTGAATAGTTGCTATACAACTTTGAATGTTCAGAAATTGACTTCCATCTAAAGAACTCAATTATAAAAATCATTTTATACACACATGTGGTTGGTAGATTTAGGATACACCACAGAAACATTAACTTTTTTGTATCTATGACCGCACGAATCCTCGACCAGCCCAGTTGTGCCAAGGAAGCTTCGTTATGCACATTACATGGCAATTGTTGAATACGTTTTGCTATTTGTCTATGTGTCAATTCAAGGGTATAACTAGCACTTCAAAAACTTGCATCGATCATATCTTTACAAATTCACCAAACTCTATTGATTCTTGGTCAATCGATGCTCCTATTGGAAGATCTGATCATGGTACCCTTTTTACAACGTTAAATCTCAACTTTACAAAGAATCCTCCATTTAAAAGAACTCTGTATCAATATGACAAAACAAATATAGCAAATTTAAATAATGAAATTAGACAAACTGACTGGGATAGTATCTTGACAAGTTCAAATGATTTGGATAAATGCACTTCTGATTTCATAGAGAAACTCAAATGTATATATCATGAGAAAATCCCAAATCACACTAAAACAATAAAATCAAATGATCAACCATGGTATAATGAGCATTTAAAGGTTGAAATGAATAAAAAACGACAGTTATATAAACGTAATGAAAAAAACCCATGTCCTTTAAATTTTGAACTCTACAGAAACCAGGCCCTTAAAGTTTCAAATCTAATATCCTCAGCTAAAATTCAACATGAAAAAAATGCCATACAAAAAGTTGAATCCTTAAATAAGAATGATAAAAACTTTTGGAAATTAGTAACCAAATTAATAGGGAGAAATAACACTGTAAGTAGTATTCCAGCTCTTTATGATACAAATGGAAAAACCTTAAATACAAACACTGATCGGCAAATGGCTTTCTTAATTTTTTTGTGAATAAATATGACAACAATATCCCCGATGATTACAAACCCGCCTTTCCAATGCGAACAAATTCCCTTCTTGTTTCGATTAGAACAGATGTATCCGAAGTTATGAAATTGATCCTAGGTCTAGACACATCCAAGGCTTGTGGCCCTGATCTTATTACTAATAAAATGCTCCATTTATCCGCTTCTTCAATATCTTATCCTTTGACTAAATTATTTAACATGTTATTACAGCATAGCGTATTTCCAAAATCTTGGAAGATTGGTAGCATTTGCCCAATCCACAAGAAAAATAACAAGTCAGACCTGTCAAATTATAGACCTATAACTCTTTTGGACTGTATATCAAAGCTTTTTGAAAGAATAATTGCAAATAGAATAAAACAACATCTCATTTCAAATGACCTGTTATTCAAATTTCAATCTGGATTTTTGCCGGGTCACAGTACCCAATCCCAACTTGTTGCCATTGAACATCTTATCCAATCAAATCTTGATCAAGGTAAGGGAGTTAAAGCTCTTTTTCTTGATATTGCCTCAGCCTTTGACTTCGTACCTCACAATCTTCTACTACTTAAATCAAAATCATATGGTCTGCAGGGACAAGTTCTAAATCTCCTTAAATCTTATCTTTACGAAAGAAGAGTCAGAGTGAACATTTCAGGATCCTCATCATCTTTATCACAAACACATGCTATCAAAAGTGGAGTGCCACAAGGATCAATACTAGGGCCCCTTCTCTTCTTACTATATATAAACGACCTACCCGATAATATGAATACCGATTGCTTTATATATGCAGATGATACGTCTATATACTTCCCGTTTAGTACTAAAAATCCTTCAGAAATTGATAACAAAGTAACCCAAGCAATAGAAAGAATTGAATCATGGTCTATTAAATGGAAACTCAACTTTAAACCTGAAAAAAGTGTCGAAATAATTTTTCATAATTCCAGAATTAAACTTGGCCAAGTGAACAATTCCTTTATGAATAATGCTTTAATAAAAAGGGAAACATCGCATAAACATTTAGGCTATACCTTTGATGAGCACATGTCTAACAAACAACATATAATTGCCATAAGAAACAAAGTAAACAAGCTCCTGAATCCTCTCAGATCACTGCAAAAGAAACTAAATTCCAATGTCCTCGAAACAATTTTCATGTCTTTCATTCAACCACACTTTGAATATGGCGCAATACTCTACGATTCCTCTACTCAAAGTGTCCTTAACATATTAAATAAATTATTCTATCAAGCTGCTCTTATATGCAGTGGATGTTTACATGGTAGTAGTTCAATTAAGGTAAAGAATACACTCACATGGCCTGATCTAGAAACAAGGCGGTCAATGCAAATAAATAAATTCATGTTTAGAGTTAAAAACAATCTCACTCCAAGCTATGTGAAAGACATCTTTGAACCTCTGAGGATTCAAAATCCCCGAGAACTCCGATCAAATCCTGATTTTAAAATACCTGCCAAAAGCTCAACCAAATTTAGAAACTCTTCTGTCCTCAATGCTATCTCCCACTGGAATAAGCTACCGAAGTATATTCGAGAAAGCAAAACAATTACCAGCTTCAATAACTTACAAAAAATTAAAATCCCTAAGCCCTCCTTTTTACCAACTACTAAATTAAAGTTAAAAAGAATTCAAGAAATAATTCTCAATAGATTCAGAGTTGACTTGCTCACTAAAGCTCAGCTATATGGCCATAATTTTACTTATATCGAAACACCAAACTGCGCTTGTGGTGTGCCTGAAACTCCAAAACATTTATTCTTTTATTGTCCAAATAAAGCACAAAATAGGGACACTTTTCTTGCACTTGTAGAGACTTACAAGCCTTTAGCTATAAGGAACAAAAGCCAATTTATAGATTTTCTGAAACATGGCAGTGACGATTTATCGCTGGCACAAAATAATGAACTTTTTGCTCTTGTTGCCAATTTTTTACTGGAGAACTCTTAACATAATCATAATTTTCTATGGGACCCTCCAAGCAAGTATTAACTATGCCTACTATTCCCTCACTGAGACTATGACACATGACCCCAGCCTGTCCTATTTCCCATTTCTTATCCAAATTGCTGCTATTCTTCCATATTACATGCATTTACATTTGTAATTAAATTTATGTATTTTCTAGCTTAGCCTATAATGCTTTATAAGCGATTGGCAAGCCATTCTTGTAAAATATGATTATGATGAAATAAATTGATAATGTATAAAAAAAAAAAAAGGTATCATAATCACATTGTTTCCTTTGCTATTTTGTGAGACGTTTTAGTATTTATTTTGAATTATGCTCATCAGCAGATTTAATGACTGATGTTCCCCTTCGTGAAATATTTTATATCTAATTTGTCTCCAATCTCTGATGCATTTTGAGCTCTAGAAGAAATGTCAATTTTCGGACCAGTCGTACGTAACACTGGTGGATATTTACTAATTAGTGAGGTGTATAAGGATATATTTTTTCATTTGCCCTACCATGGACTTGTTGATTAGTCATTCTATTCATGAGATATAGAGTATCTAATTTGAAGGTTTTGTCGTAAAGCTTTGATTTACATTGCGCTCTAGACGAAATGTCAATTTTCGGACCAGTCTTACGTCACGCTGGTAGCAGCATGTGTGTTGTTAGTTTGAGAGACGTTAAAGTATATATTTTTGCATTTGCTCAATCAAGGACTTGTTGATTAGTCATTCTATTCGAGAGATATTGAGTATCATATTTGTCATGGCGCTTTAGACGAAATGTCAATTTTCGGACTGGCGTTACATCACGCTGGTAGCAGCATGTGGGTTTTTATTTTGTGAGACATTAAAGTATATATTTTTGCATTTGCTCTACTAAGGACTTGCTGAGTGGTCATTCTATTCGTGAGATATTGAGTATCTTATTTGTCACAAAGCTCTGATTAACATTTCACTTAACGTTATGTCAATTTTATGACCAGTCCTACGTCACGCTGGTACTAGCTAGTCCTTTTAGTTACTGATTTGTGAGACGTTTCAGTAATGTTTCGACGTTTTCTCTACAAGGGATTTAATGACTGATGTTTCTGGTCGTGAAATAGCTTATATCTACTTTCTCTTAAATCTCTGATACAGTTTGCGATCTAGACGAAATGTCAATTTTCAGACCAGTCGTTCGTAACGTAAGTGGCAGCATGCTATTTGCTAATTAATGTGATTTTTCATGACACATTTTTACATTTGCTCTACCAAGGACTTGTTGATAAGTCATTCTTTTTGAGAGATATGGAATATCTAATTTTTTTAATGTCTGATGCAGTTTGTGTCTAGAAGGAATGTGAATTTTCGGACCAGTCGTACGTAATGCTGGTGGAAGCAAGATATTTGCTCTCGGTCCAATATTTCACTATATTGCCCTTCGAAATGACGTTATTGTACTATTGATCTGAGAACTATCCACAAAAATATTCCTCTTTTTGAATTAAATCTTCAATAAATGAAAATCTAAACCATTTTAAGATATTAGAAAAATTCAGAAACCGCATATGATTAAATTATAACTATTTAAACCAATTTAAATTGCTAGGATATGATAATAAGCTTAAAAAGTAAACATTTGATTAGTTATACCAATCATTGTGATTTTAGAGCCCAAATGTTTTCTCATTTTACAGTTTAAATTGTATAAATCTTCTTGGTGTCAACGTATTTATAATAGTCTACAATTATTCAGTGCCTGTTTATAATGATACCAACATTATTGTAATATTGAAATCATATAAGCAGTAAAGATCCCCAAGTGGATGTCAATGCCCCCCCCCATTTGTGACATGGCGTTATACGAATGAGGGTGTAGACATCAGGATGAAACCTGTTTTCATGATTTATACACATTAATGATGTAATTTAATCGTAACAATGTACTAGCTTTCCATCTAAGAACTACCCGGAAAATATTTAATTTTCGTAGAATAGACCCCTGCTAAAATCGTTCATTAATCAAGTTCTGTAACCTTGTATGGTGCACAAAAATGCATAAATGGTGAATGATATAATTCTAACTCAGAAAAGCAAATTAAAAACATAAGGCTGTAACAATAAGCTTTAAAAAGTATACATTGTTTGATGAGTTATACCCCCCACTGTGAACTTGGATTCCATTTTGATCTAACTTTTCAGTTGAAATTTTACATTATGCTCTTGATATATAATAATTCATACTTTTTGTACTTATTTATTATCCATTAAAAAGAAATTTTTTAAAACGATTATTTCTTTAAAAAATGGACCCCTGTTTAAATCTCAAATAAATGATAAACGGTAATGTTGTGTGGACCTCAACAAGCAATATTCCATAAAATACCATATTCAGTGATATAAATCTATCAATATAATCTATAAAAATGATTGCAACTTGAACAGGAGGTAATTTTAATTTTTTTGTCAATTCCTTTAACGCTAATGGTTCCCATCCAGTTCGTCCAATGGTCCAGATAAAAAAGATGGAGCCAATGTCTAACAAAAGCAAAGAAAAATGTCAATGTAGAAATTGGACTTGAAATCCAAATAAATGGCTCAAACATTTTTGAGCACAATCTTTTACATAAAACTAAATTACAAATAAAAAAAATCAAAATTGTTATGAACATTCCAGTGAATATCAATTTACAAGTACAGCCATCATCGGATGAGAGCTATGGTGAGCAAATTGCACCAAACATAATAAGCCATAATAATTTTCAACACCACTGAAAATTTTGGTGACGATGATGTGATTCCGTCATCCCAAATGAGGCCAATGCTCTTTAAACACTGACTATTTATAGAACTAGCAACAGAATGCCTATTACAATTCCAATGTACGGGGGATGAACTGGAAACGCGTGAGGTTCTACCTCGTATCAAAATGGCCGTGGATGATATGAAAGGAGCATTTGCTAAGACTTTTCTTTTCATAATGTTCGCCTTATCTTTAAAATTACAACTAAATATTTAGTTAGTAATTAGTTTGAAAAATAAATTTAACCATTCATGTTTTTTAGTGCGATGGTTGATATCGATTATACAGTAGTAATGAATTTTCAATTTCACTCGCTTTGATAATGGTGGCAAAACTTTTGTGCCAGACAGATAGAAACTGACCAACGCATGTGGCAATTTAGGTAAATTCTACAACTGTCTACATCAGTTTCTTAAAAATACCTGGATGGTTATCCCTTGCAAATAATTTCTAAACAATGAAGGACAAATTTGAACAAAAATATTCTTATATTATTTGAGAGGCTGTTTTATGCATACCAAACATGAATATAATAAAAATGGTTGCACTGGCAGTGGTGGTATGTGGTAGCTTTATGCTAAGTGAAATGAAGAGTGTAGAGTGTAAATGTAAATCAGAGCTTATTTTTACACACTGAATAAACATAAATCATAATTTATTATATGGTTAATAAACATTTTATTATTTCCAATAGAACATGATTGGATTTGTATTTTGTTTCATATATCTGCCGTATATGTGATATATTGGTGGTCAATGAACTACAAGTAACAACAAATAATGAATTACCATTGAATATGAATTACCACTGAATATGAATTACCATTGCATATGAATAGTCATGGAATATGAAAAACAAAGGAACCATGAACTATGTATAACTAGAATGAAAAAATTGCTCACTTAGTAAGCAAAGTTGTGTGCCTTTTCAATTTTAATGCAATCAATATTCACTTTCTACAATACATGCGGTTTTTTAAGTTCCATTTTATTATAATACAGGATCATTGGCTATAAATGGTTATAACGAACCCACAAATTACAATGCAATTTCTCTGAACCGACTAACTTTTCTTCTTTGTACAGCTTAATGTAATAGCACGACCACCAGTATATAGCATATACAGCTTAGGTTAGCAGCATAACATAATATATTACAGTAGTCTAAATCAACTCCCTCCAGTGATCTCCCAAGTTTTTCTAAAGTGGGTCCTTTATTCTGTTTTGGCCAAAATGAGATGAGATGCTCTTACATTCAGGAAGTGAACATTGGTTTTGTAGTCTAATTTCAAGCCTTTGTGACTCCCCCCCATCACAACAGGGTATGTAGTCAAGTAGAGAGAGGGGGAGGTAACAGAGGCTTGTAGCTAGACTACATTTTTATTCAACATGGTGTTACACCCAGATGCTTTAAAGCTTGGGAGATCACCGCCCTCTGTCACCCCTGCCTGTACATCCTCCTCACACATAGGAGGGTGACAGGAAGGGGAGGGGGGATTTGATGCGCTACTCCTTACACGTCTCGTACTTCATCATTCATAAAATACTCTTACACCCTTCATTATGTCAACAAATTTGCAATCTTTTGAGTTTCAACTTCCATAAATGCAATCCTTTGAAAGTGTTCAACCCCTTCAATAGTTTGCAATCATTTGAATAAACTTTCAACCCGTTCAATAGTTTGCAATCATTTGAATCAGGTTTTCAACTCATTGAACAGTTTTCAATCCTTTGAATAAACTTTCAACCCGTTCAATAGTTTGCAATCGTTTGAATCAGGTTTTCAACTCATTGAACAGTTTTCAATCCTTCAACCCCTTCAATAGTTTGCAATCGTTTGAATAAAGTTTTCAACTTGTTGAACAGTTTTTAATCCTTTGAATAAACTTTCAACCCCTGAATATTATAGTTGTCATGGAAGTGATATTTTGTCACAAAAACAAAAAGCGTAGACTTTTAATAAGACAAATAGCGTCAACCTGACCCAAGTAACAGTACGACTGTTGTATTTTAGTGAAGCTATAGCAAACATATCCATGTGTGCAACTGAGAAAGTTTACAAAAGTGTTGACACTAAGAAAGTACTTATTCATCCATTGCTCAAGGACACTAAGACCTAGTCCACTCTACAGACCAGGGTAACACTCCATATAAGAACCTGTAAATACTTTTAATCTGGCTTTGCAGTTCCTATACTGTTGTACATGGTACAATGTTCCTGTACTGTGGAACATGGTACAATGTTCCTGCACTGTTGAACATGATACAATGTTCCCATACTGTTGTACATGATACAATGTTCCCATACTTTGGTACATAGTACAATGTTACTGTACAACGGTACATGATACAATGTTCCCATACTGTGGTACATAGTACAATGTTCCTGTACTGTGGTACATGATACAATGTTCCCATACTGTGGTACATAGTATAATGTTCCTGTACTGTGGAACATGGTACAATGTTCCCGTACTGTGGTACATGATACAATGTTCCCGTACTGTGGTACATGATACAATGTACCTGTACTGTGGTACATAGTACAATGTTCCTATACTGTTGTACATGGTACAATGTTCCCGTACTGTGGTACATGATACAATGTTCCCGTACTGTGGTACATAGTATAATGTTCCTGCACTGTTGAACATGATACAATGTTCCCGTACTGTGGTACATGATACAATGTTCCCTTACTGTGGTACATGATACAATGTTCCCGTACTGTGGTACATGATACAATGTTCCCGTACTGTGGTACATAGTACAATGTTACTGTACTGCGGTACATGATACAATGTTACAGTACTGCGGTACATGATACAATATACCTGCACTGTTGTACATAATACAATGTTCAACTACAATTGATTAATGTCCAACAAGATATTCCATCGACGGTTGCAAATAGTTTTCAGATATACAGGGTGTCCATAATCTCTTTAAACTTTACATAGACTTGGTACGGACAACCTGTAGATTTCCACAATTTGTTTAATTTAAAAGGAGAAGCAAGTGAATTGTCTTATAAGTAGACCAAATGTTCTAGAGTAAGTCACAACGCTATTGCATATATTAATATCATCTCATTTCAACCCGCTTTTAATAGGCTCTTCTCAATACTGATTTGACACATGGATGGCCTCTAAAGTGTAAATTCTTTCCAAATATCTATTCAGTTACAAATATTCTCTTCCTTAAATGTCCATATATGGGTATATTTTGATGAAGTTATCACCAATATTGTGAATGGTTTCTGACATTAAAGATAAGACCAAATATTGAAATAAGATGTACTGAATGCTGATATGTCATTAGGAATTTCTGTCTAACTAGGATACATGGGATCACTTCCTCCTTGGCTAGTTCAACCATGGGACTAGCTCAACCATGGTGCTAGTTCAACCATGGTGCTAGTTCAACCATAGGGCTAGTTCAACCATGGTGCTAGCTCAACCATTGGGCAAGCTCAACCATGGTGCTAGTTCAACCATGAACAATGGGGCTAGTTCAACCATGGTGCTTGTTCAACCACAGGGTTAGTTCAACCATGGTGCTAGTTCAACCATGGGGCAAGCTCAACCATGGTGCTAGTTCAACCATGAACAATGGGGCTAGTTCAACCATGGTGCTTGTTCAACCACAGGGTTAGTTCAACCATGGTGCTAGTTCAACCATGGGGCAAGCTCAACCATGGTGCTAGTTCAACCATGAACAATGGGGCTAGTTCAACCATGGTGCTAGTTCAACCATGGGGCTAGTTCAATCATGAGGCTTGTTCAACCATTGAGTTACTTCCACCATGGCTGATAATTCAAGTGTCCTCAGTCAGCCATCATGGATCAAAACCTTCTCTTTGGAGAAAACAATTGATATTAAATTTTAAATAAATAAAAAATGGTAGAAGGCAAGAATTTTAGTAAAAAAACAAAGGTTGAAATAGCCCAGGGGAAAAAAGCCCATAGTGTGAATTCAGCAGAAGTCCTTGGTGTATTCTAGATTGATTGTGATTTTGTTACCCATAAATATTTCCTAACAATTAAAATTCAATATAAATTAAGTATTTTGTCATTGAACAGCTCTAAAGACCTAAATATACATGTACAGAATATAAAAATCATACTCGCAACGTATAAAATTCTGCTACAAAACATCATAACCATATATGGTAATAATAACAAAGTGACATCTATAGGCCTACAATGAGCCTGCTATCGACGTATAAACGTCTTACAATTTTAAAATAATCAATTTAAAATCAACATTTACAGTTTTAATACACTTTTTACAGGTGATATCGAGAAGTCCAGCATTAAGATAGTACCTGTGTATAAGGGGTCTTCATGTGTATAAGGGGTCTTCTGGTCATGATTTCTCAAAAAATTGAACAAAGTATCACACTTTTTCACTTGCTTTTGACAACAGGCCATAGCTAGTTCAAGCTAACTTCCCCGAGCCAAAAATTCTTTCAAAATCATGAAGTTTTTCACCATTCTGAGCATTTGTCAAGTGGTTTTAGGCCGAAGTTGTCAAATGTGAACCCTCCTTTAATTTTTTCAAAAGTGAACCCCAATGGCAAAAGATGGCTATGGTCCTGGACAGTTTACTATTGTAAGTACTAGTACTGCATCATTCCCAGATGATTTCCCCCTATTTCTCTCTAATTTCTCTCTTTTACACAAGCTGCGAGGCATCAGTATTCACAGGTTATACTTATAGGTCGAGGTATATCAAATACTTTTTTACAACGATGATATAATGTTTTAAGAGGACTATCGAGAGATTGGGCCCCAAAATATTAGGTCTCTGGTTCACTTCACCCTATACACTTGGTGTGGATGTAGATAACGGTCACTTTATAATTTAATTTTGTGATGTTTCATAAATGAAGCCATGTTGGGTATTTAATTAGATTCCATTCATATATGTGTAGATGATGCCTGATAAAAAAGAAATTGTGTTAATAGTTTTTTTTTATTTGAATTTGTTGCTTCTTGATTCAATTCTGGATTAATTGAAATAATTTAGAGGCCCCCTCCAGAGATTTTAAGGGGCTAATTGAAGGGGTCTACTGAGAAAAGGTATAAAGAAATTCAGGGACCCATAGTAGACCCTTATTTGACCTTTTTAACTTCAACGAATCTTAAACAGTTGTAATTTAATGTCATGTACCGTATAAATACAGATATACTGAATATTACCCAATATACATGAATTCATTAAGTGTATTTTCACTGGTTCTGTATCATGAGCCATTTTTAATTTTCTGTACTCCACCATTTTGCTGACATTCGCACCATCTTATTCACAGGTAAGCATGTTGAGAAAGGGGATTATATCACTGTTTAACTTGCCTGGACTTTGATGAATATATTTTACTTGGACAATATATGGTTTTTAGGATTTGTGACAAACCACAAATATGGTGTTCAAAATTCATGACACACCACAGATATGATGTTCAGGATACATGACACACCACAAATGCAATATGCTGGATTCATGACACCTAATATGGCTTATGAAGCACCCAATGCAAATCTTTTGGAATTTCAATGTTTTTCCCTATAACAGTATATAGTGTATATGCTACAGAAAACAATATCATAACTTCCCATAATATGTGTCATTCTGAACTCTGTACATAATGAACATTTTGATACGAAGAACCCATGTGAGATTAGACAAGCGTAAAAACATGAAATATTTGCATTGGTGACTACCTTACTCCCTTATATGGAGTGACGAACCTGCATTTGTGAGAAACTATAATTGAGTTTGTGAAAAGGAACTTGAACTAGAGCTTGCGCTAAGACTAATCATGCTCCCACGAACACTAATTAAATCCTCCGGCATGTCCTTAAAAGCACTCTCGGCTATTTGAATTGCATCTAGTCCAAGACGTGTAGTCTCTGTGTCAAAGTCATTCAATTCCTGCTCATGGCGTGCATGAAGTTCCCGAATTTTTTCCGACCGTTCACTTTGAAATTTGACCTTCTCTTCTTCCATCTGCAAGAAAAAGTAAGTTTACTACTTTAAACTAATATATAGAAGATATTTTATAATTTTTAGGGATATCATTTTTATCCCTTAGTGAATATCAACTATGCCCATGAGTATGTACGACCATAACATGGAATCTTGAAGCTTGAAATTTTACTCAAAAATTGAAAAAGTTCTAAATGACCCATCGAGATGATTGTCGGAAAAGCAAAGTAAAACGTGAGGTGCTCAAACCTGCTGCCACCAAGCAGAGGAGATTATCAGGCCAGTAGCCAAAGGAGAGGGGGGACCCCTGACTAAAAATTGTTTCGAAATCATGCAGTTTTTTACCAGTCTGAGCATTTTCTAAGTAGTTTTGGGCCAACATTGTCAAATGTGAATACCCCCTGGAATTTGTTGAAAAGTGGTAATGAGTATCATATGTTTTTAGGTAATGATAAAAACTAACCCTTTGTTCTAGCATGGCTCTCCTAAGGGATACTCTCTCTTCTAGCTCTTTCTTCTCCTTGTTGTGCTGCGACTCTGTCTGCATCTTAATCTTGCTTTGGTAAGCAATCAACAGCTCTAATTCCTGTGATAATCGTTCCTTCAGTGATCGCAGCTCCACTTCTTGACTCTCATCCAGCCGCACCTTCAAATTTTTTCATAGGTTAATTCTTTTACTTTGCATAACAAATTATAAATTCTTTACATCATCATTGAGGGCTTAGGCTATTCGCATTTTTGCCCCCCTTTCAAAATGTAACTTGTAATGTGGAATTGCATCAAAGCAATTGTTTACATGCAATGTTAATGTGGTATGGTTTACATTTCTTATTCAGTTTTAACAAATCTTTCAAGAGCATAATACCACTTCAAACTTCCTCTAGTCAAATCTACAATTATTAAAGGCCACATGTAAAGTTTATATGGTGCCTTTAAGATATCTGAAAGATGGAATTTTACTCAATTTTTCATGAAAAATGTCAACTGCTTTGATTTGCTTCCAAAAGTTACACAAAAGTTTATCTTTATATTGATCAATTTGCATTATTGTCTGCTTAGATCCAATATGGGAACCGTCTGCTGATTAACTAATGCATTATGGGTAATATGTACTCACTGTCTGTTGCTGTAACATCTCTGATATGCTGCTCTCATACTGTTCCCCTAATGTCGCAATCTTTCTCATTTGTTCTTCTTTTAGTTTCTTTATGACGGCTTTCTGCTCTGGTTTAGCTGTATTGGCCAATAGGTGCTCTTTCCATGCCTTATACTGCTTTTGCTGGGTCTTAACAGCTTCTTGGAACTGTTTACGGATCTGGTATTCTTTTTGCTGGAATTTTTGAAAGTTCTTTTATTCGAGTAGTTATTTTGAGAAAGGACACACTGTTCTAGGAACAGATATCAAATGTTTTCAATATGTTATATGAGGGACGAAACAGATATTTTCTCTAATTTAATATTTTGATTTTAGTGTAAACCTTGTGTTCATTCTACACTAGAAACAACACGGAAATTAGGAGTAAAGTTTCGAACTAAAACTTCATCAGAATGCGTGATTTTTTTCAGGCCCATCATTAATTCCTTATCTTGAGCACACAAAAGAAGAAAAATTGCCCCATTAGGTCAGCTCACATGGTAGTTCTGTATATTGTGAAAAATTGCCAATTTCTCCAAAACATGACAAATATAGGAGACAAGACCAATTGTAAAAGTGTTGACGCCTGGAAAGATGGAATGACAGACAGACAGTCAAGTGGGCAATCCCAAAGGCTCATCACGTGAGACAAAAAAACAACAGAACCCCTTCAAAAAGTTAGTTACCTTTAAACTTCTAGGGTGCTGTTTAGTTTCAAGCGCATGCTTCTTCTTCAATTCCCGTTCAGCCGTTTGGTTGTAGTTTTTCTGATTTTGCAGCTCCGTCTGGTGCTGTTTCCTCATTTGGTCATCCCGCAGTTTTAACATGTAGATCAGGTGTTTGTATTCAAGCTCTTGTGTGGACTCGTGGTGTCGTAATAACATGGAGTTGGCCTCTTCTATTTGGATTTGTTTCTTGTTTAGTTCCTGAAAATCAACGACAATTTATAAAATGGAATGGACATTTTCATACAAATCAAGATAACCAATTTGTTTCTTGTTCAATTCCTGAAAATTTATGACAATTTATGAAATGGAATGAACATTTTCATACAATGTATAACCCCTGAAAATACAGGAATATTGACCCTTTGACACTTTATGGATTTTGAGGCTGAATTATGTATGATATCAAGAGTAACTTGCAGATTATATATTGATCACCACACATGTATTAAACCCCAAATGACAAACATATCAAGGGGAACCAAGATGAGCTCAAAGATGGGAACCGTCTGCTCATTAACTAATGCATTATGGGTATATTGATCAACACACATGTTACACCCCAAATGAAAAAAATATCAAGGAGAACCAAGATGAGTCCAAAGATGGGAACCGTCTGCTCATTAACTAATGCATTATGGGTATATTGATCAACACACATGTTACACCCCAAATGAAAATAAAAAATATCAAGGGGAACCAAGATGAGACCAAAGATGGGAACCGTCTGCTCATTAACTAATGCATTATGGGTAATATGTACATAAAGTGCCTCTTTCACCACCATAACTTACATCTTTTAACAAGCCTTGTTGCAACTCCTGATATTGTATTAGCTTCCTTCGTCTATATTTGCACATTTCTCTAGCTATAAAGTCTTTATGAGAATCTTGTAGTTCTTCCTCGGCTTTCTGTTGTCCTTCCCGCACAGACATTTTGTGAGTCTGCATAAATCTGTCTTTGTCTTTACGCGGAGTGTCCCCAGCCTTTTCTAGCTCCTAGATTAAACAAAATGTATGTGGAATTAAAATGGCGGCCTTTTTGAATGTTTAAATAGGTGGCCATTTTAAGGATTTTTGGGGAAATCTCAGAATGGAATTGACTTCTTTTATACTAGATTTACTATGAGTGAACAATGCAACAAGCTTTAAAATATATGTTTCAATAATGTCCCAAAAATGTTTGACCTAAAACACTATTTTACACATTAGATTTAGGCAGAGCTAGAATACGCACCTCTCTCTTCTGTTTCTTAGAAAGCTTATACTGTTTGGCTTGTTTTTCCTGAAACTCTTTAAGTTCTTTTGACTGACGCTCTTGAAACTGTTTCTGCAGCTTACGCTCTTCTGCATCAGTGTGGCGCTTCTGAAAATATGTCCCATAATATAAGTTATTGAATGATTTGAAGTGCAATACAGGATATATTCTGCTCGGGAAATTCTGTATTGGAACGAGATGAAGTCGAGTGCCAATACAGAATATCGAGACAAAATATATCCTGTATTGCAATTCAAATCATTCAATAACGTTTTTATTGTGTGATCCTCTGTATTGCCACTGAGATCGTCCCCTCCGTACCAATATTTTCTGTATTGCGACGGAGTTGATCAACGGGGACAATCTCAGTAGCAATACAGAATGGTACAGCACAAGAACTGACCAATCAGAGGGTTTCATTTTACAGATCATATGATAATATGTTAGACATCACGGATAAAATTGATAATACCATTGACTGATTTGTTGAGAACGACGCGAACACATAAAACAAGGCATTAACACACAAAATGTCACCACCTGACATTTGTTACAGATGCCAAACATCAAGTTCAGAACAAAGTTAGTTTCATTAGGGGGTGAATAATGGGTTTCAAAGCGTATAGTATTCATTTTTTATATTCAAGTGAAAGACGAATCAACATTTTAAGATATTATTATTTGAGGGGAGGTTACTCCTTCGTTTTTTCCAAGACGGTTGATGATTGGACATCATCCTTTATTAATTACTTACTTTGCGGTCCTGCTCTTGTTGATGCTTAAGACGTAACTTCTCCAAGTCTCGGTTGAAGTTCTGCATGAGTGTCTCATACTCTCGATCTAACTTCAATTTGTGCTCATCCATTTCTAGCTTGAACCTCGACTCAACCTGCAAGACAATATTCTCATCATTGAAATATGATTTTTCAAATTTCGTTTTTTTTCTTATATACTAAACTGTTGTGCATTGTTGATACATGATTAATCCATAGGACAAAATATCAGTGCATTTATAGAAAAAATTCATATTCATGCAAACTACTTTCATGTGACAACCTTTATTTTACTAAACAGGACATCTCAGATCCTGCTGGATACTTTTTCAACTGTATATAAACTGAACTGAAGCACTAAAAATAGTTTATTAAGATACCTTGAAATGTGAACACCCGCTTAGCTGAACTCTTTTGACCGAACCAAACCAAAGTGTTCAGATATGACAGATTTCACTGTACTTCGGAAAATACACCAAACCAAAACTGCCTGATTTTCTAAGAACATACCGTTTGTAATTGCTTCTGATGCTGTCGTCGCATGCGTTTATAGCCAGTCATCTGCTCTCTCATTTCATTCTCATGTTCGTGCTCTTTCTGTTGCCGACTGACGATGTGTGTTGTGCGTATCGTAGCAAAATTGTTGGCTCCGTTACCAACCTCACTTGACTGACTGTCATTGGAGAGCTGAAACAGCAATTAGCTAAATTAGAATATGTATGAGTTAAATAACTAGATTAGAACAATTATGAGTTAAATTAGAAAATGAATTTGTGTGTTTTCTGTGGAATTAAGAAATCACTTTTCAAATTGTAATGTCAGTTGATGTCTGAGTGAAAGAAAACAAGTCTTTTTGACAATTTCACATTTTCAGTCTGACTTTGACAATAATTAAGAGAATTAATAAAACCTACATACAATGTTCATATGTAGATTTTAAATAAATTCATCAAAAATGGCTATGTACTGGACATTCTTCAGTACTTCGTGTCTCCCATTTTGGACGTAAATCAGCAACTTAATTTAATGTCACGAAGTCATTATATACACTCTGGTTCAATCAATAGACTAGACCAGTTTACAACCAAGCATCGTCTCAAACTCAAAAATCGAGGACGTTTATCACAACAATAAGTGCTTTAAATAGAATTTAACAAGTAAGCAAGGTGTCATCTGGCTGCTCAGGGGGAGTCTATCTAATTTAAACCTTTCCAAGGGGAGGGGGTGCTGTAAAAATGCCCAAATTTGGCAATTTCTGGTTGATTTTCTCTATTGCAATTAAACACTGTGTGGTTGAAACTTTATAAACATTGCATGCAATCTTAAAGTCAAACATAAACTACAACATTAAGCGCTTAGAAAATGACAAGGTAAAATCATAAATTGAATACACTTAAAAACAACCTCAAAATATATTTTGTGAATTTTGTTTTAAGTAAATATTGTTAGAAGCGACAGTTTTGATAGCAGTGAATTTTGATTGTTTGTTCTAGGTTTGTTTTTTAACGGATGATTCAACATCATGTGATCAAAACAAAAATGTATAGCATCTGAGATCTTTGACCTTTTACAATCAAGTGGTTACGATTTGTTTTATACAGCGTATAACATACTGTACACCTTTAATTTCCCATGGATTAAATTTCAATAAAATTCACCATTTCAGATTTTTCCGGGATTATTTCTCTCAGGTTCCTTTCTTATGTCTATAACATTAACATAATACTTTACTGTGTTCACTTTCACTGAAAATTATGATCAACAAATTTAGGGAAATTCAAAACACGGTGAATCATTCCACTTGTACAGTATAATACTATAGATTCCCTTCAACTGGGTCAAGTGGTCAATATATAAGTCTCAATGACATAAAGAATTTAGTAATCACATTTCAAGTGTTTTTGATAACAAAACTATAAATCCTAAAATATGTATGCTGTTGTTGTCAAAAGCTGAAATATTGTACTTCAGATGAACGTATTTGAAAACTTTGTAACATTGGGATCTGGTATTTCTGATCTTATACTCACTTAAAAATATTCTTACTTTTGTACGCTAGAGAAAGGTTCTCAGATTTCACCTTTTTATATTTCATGTGTTTGATAGAGCTATATCCGGTAATGGATCAAATACCAGTGAAAAATCAATTTAACAGATGTCACAACCTGACAATTTACTGCAAATTGTTACAAAAGTGTAACGACTTGTTACAGGTAACTGCCAGTCACAAAAATAGTGGTTAAAATTATAATGAATATATCTGGGGTGACATTATAACTTCTACATCACGATGTGAACCAAAAATGTACCCCATCTCAAAATTTGGTGAAATCGCTAAAACAATAAATGTGTAAAATTTCTGGTCTCTAGCATGCATTAGGAGAACCAGTGATCAACATTGAACAGTGAAGCTACCAATGTCCTAGAGGTCATTTTGCAATTTAGAATAGTGTGAAAAACAATTTTAGAAGACCAAATATCTGACTTAATTTTACATATGAAGTCAATGAAGAGTATATATATAGCTGTACATCTCATCCTAAGTATAGAAATCAAATCACAAATTTTCTCAAGACATCACACTGAGTCTGATTTTCAATTGTTATTACTCTTAATTTTGCTAACTCTCAATATAGATCTGACCTCTATGACACTATATGATATGATGCCTCAGAGCGTGACTTACTATAGTGAGCCTACTAGCTATACTGCTAGTGGCACTAATGTCCTTAGACTACAAATAAAAAGTACCATCGATAGTTATTTGTCGACAGAGATATTACTAAAAGCCAGAATTTTCAAAATACATGTACAGTAAAACCTTGGAACAGAACACATCCATAAATTAACATCTGTTAGCTGAACACCTCCTGAGAAGAACACTATCATTTGAACATAAATTTAAAAACGAATGATTCATGAAATATATACACCCTTGGGGTGTCTTCTCATATAATTTATTTGTATGATGAAATGTAAGTAATTGTAAGTAATTTGTATTTTGATTTATTGTTATATGAAGGAAATAAGAAATAAATAAATAAATAAAAAAAAATGTTAGATCAAATAAATTAAATTGGATTGAAAAGTTTGAGGCACACAAGAAAGTTTCTTAACACAGGTTTTACTGTACATTTACAGAGCCATTTTAAGGGTTTCATTATTTGAAACCAGAAACTGAGGCCTTTGCAGGAATAAGATTTTACAAAAGTTCTTTAAACACTGTTTGATATAATCAACAACAATAAATCTAGGCCAGGAAAAGTTCTGCAAACCAAACAGCTATTTTCATGGCCTTATACATATTGTGCCCTATCAATTAAGCAATTAAGAAAAAAGATACAATAAAGCCAAAATGTCTTACCCGTCTTCTCGAATGGAAGCTACCCATATATTCATCTTCAACCTCGGTTGAAACGCCTGGAAGACTATTCATGCTACTGCTTTCTGATTGGCTGCCGAGCATCGTGCTGTCTTGGCTTGCGGTACTTGTCGTATCTTCTTCCTAGATGATTTCAGAAAATATGTACAGATAAATGTTTATAGGAATACGGAATTGTACATACTGTATGTTCCCTAATGAGCACACAGTCGTTTCACAAGTTGAAATTCAAAAGGGTAAGATATTTAGAGATCCAATAAGCACACACACAAAAAATTTAGAAAAAATTATCGTCAATAATCTTTTTAGTTGTTATCACTTAAAGGTTTGCATACCCTACAGCTCCTGTATATCTTTCTCTGCATTAGCATAATCATCAATTGATATATTGTTATGTAAATATTCTAAACTAATGCATTAAACTTTGTGTTTTCTTGAGATCATATTCATCAAAATAGTCACATGTGCGCTCATTGGAATTGTGCACCTATTAGAGAGAATATGGTATGTAAAAAGGGATTTCACTAAAGATTTTTGGAAACAAGCAAAATGAATGAAAACAAAGGGTAAAATTAGTTAAATAATCATTTTCACATCGAAAAGGTTGTAGAACGTCAATCGTGTGATGAAAAACGTCACACAATTTTGAAAAAAATGTGCTCGTCTGCAACTAAATTCTAATGAAACCCATATGCAAACCATTGCACATTGAAATAAATTGGTTTTATCAATCTAGTATAAAATATTGACTTCATCACAATAGAAAGTGTAGTTATATGAGATGTTATGTTATATTATCTTATGTGATATCTTATGTTATACATGTACCCATTATATGTTAGATTCACTCTCCAGAGGGGGTTAGAAATATTAGTGAGGCAACATTCACTCTCCACACTGGGGTAGACTTGGATAAGCGTGTATGTAATTTTTATCACATGGAAAATATAAACTAAAACTTCCATCAAATTTTGTTCAAAAAAGTTGTGGAGTAAAATTAAAATAATTTTTCCAAACTTCAGAAAAATTTGTCAAGAATGTTCTTGAGAAGTTTGCATCATTTAAAAACACTTGCGAATAGAAAAAAGTTGCTTGGCCAAGATGTTTTTCTGTTCAAAATCTATATAGAAACATGTAATTCTATCCTATAACAACAAGAGACAAATGGGAGGGGAACACGCGATAAAATCCCAATGTGGTCAGGTCTTTATTAGTGCATAAATACTGGACAGAAAACTGTAGATGTGAGAAGACTTAAGTAAGCAAAGAGAGAACAGTCTGGGGGAAGTGTGAAAATGATTCCCGATGAAAGACTTACAAAAATAACTTAAAGTAAATACCTAAGAGAGGTAATACAGAATTACAGTTTGAAAAGGTAGTGATATAGACAGGAATAAAAACATGACCAAATTGGGAAATTTCAGGGAACGCGATAATATCCTCACTTGCGATGCACTCGATGACCCCTCTGGTTCGACCTCCACCTCTACTGGTTGATTGGGTAGTCTCACCTTAATGATATCATCATTATCAGGACTCGGTCCGTTACCCGTTGCGGTCATTTCCCTATTGTCATCGACCATTAATATTTTCTTCATTCGCCTATATTGGAGGTTGTCTAATTCACGAACTGCATTTTTGGTTCGTGTGATAAGTTCTAAGATGACAGTGGGTTGATTGCTGGCATACTTTCTGATAAATTCATGCTGAAAATAAAGATGTGAACATGTAATATTTTATAATTTTGGTGAAGTGGACAGTTGTTTTTGTGTCCTGGAGTTTGGGTATTTGTAATGTTTTGATGCAATAAATGCACATCTATTCTATATGTTGAGTAAAAAGTTTAGGAAAAATAATTGCATGTTTTATCTGCGTTGACTAAAAGTTTTACAGAAAAAAAAATTTCATTCATGTGTACATGTTTCAGGATTTCTATTATCCATTCCAAATGCTGCGATCTATTTATATAAACATACAATAAAACAAATAAATTGCAAACATGAGCTCTCTAGCATTTAAAATAACAATCTGAAACTGGAATACTAACATTTAACAATTCAGAAGCGTATGGTCGTTCACTGGGATTCTTAGCAAGGCAGGTGTCTATGAACTGTCTAAAGTCATTGGTCCATTCACCGCCCGATAAAGAAGGAGAATCATTCTGTGCTATATGGTACAATGCACTCATTGCATTCATATTGAACAATGGCGGCTTTCGTTCAGCTGAAAAATAAGAGAGAGGGCGTAGATTTACAGAAAGATTTACACATAAATAGAAGATATACTCAATCAGATTTTGCGTTTAAAACTAAGTGTAAATGCCAACTCTCAATACTAAAATTCTACTTTTTACAACCTTTTTGGCGCTCTTCCTATGGCATATGCTGATTCAGGTCAACAGTGATCAAGACACAAAGTTCATTTTGTTTGAAAGTCCTTCCCCATATAGAATGTTACAAATTCAAGATATCTGCCTTGGAATTACTAAAATGTATGACATAATGTATGGTCAAGTGAGAAACACTTTATCACATGCAGGGTCTGATAACATTGACTATGTAATCCATCAACATAAAGGACAATGTTTGTAGTACACGCGATAAAGTAACATCATTACTTACCTAATTCTATACAAGTTATACCTAGCGACCAGACATCTACTTTCCCATCATATTGTCCCTCGTCCATAGCGAGAATCACCTCTGGGGCCATCCAATATGGAGTACCCACAAACGAGTTGGCGGGATTCATTATTGAGGCTGATCCAAAATCAGCTAAAACAGACAACATTATTGTTCATAAACATGTACCATTGTAATAATTAAAGTGAATATTGACAATTCATTTTCAAGAAAAATACATGTAGGTTAATGTGTTCCATTGCAAATAGACAGGGCTAGGGAGGTTAAGAAACAAGTTTTGAGAGATTTTGTATGTGAACATGTAGCAGTAGGCCCTCTGCTCTTCGCAGTATACACTTGCCCAAATGAGTATAAAGGTATAATATAATGAACAGCTGTAATCTTATTCACACCAAAATTGCTCAAAATTAGCCCATTTTCATGATTTTCTTATTTTCAAGTGCAAATGATTCTCATGTAGATTGATCAGAGGTTATCTAAAAACATGTAGCTTAACCTCCCTATTAAAAGATAAGGGCCACTGTCATTTTATGATGTACAATATGCATGCAGATATAAACAGCTGACCATAGTAAAACTCCCTAGACATTGACCTACAGGTTAGTCCAGGGGTTTCATTAGCAGCAGGCAACAGGCGATTTTCACTCGTTGTTTTCACAAATTCGCCTGTTGTTTTTAGGGACTTTTAACTTTTCCATGTTATATTTATGATTTCCATTAATTTTGCATGTTGTTTTCATTTATTTAGCCTGTTGTGAGAAATTCTAGTGAAAACCCTGTTAGTCCTTATAATATTGAGAAATTCAACTAATTGGACACGACTTATCAATTCCATTTAGTTCACTATTACAAAACCATATTCTCTTTGATTCTAATGAGTAAATTATGAATGAAATACAGTAAAACCTGTGCATATTGAACATTTTGTATTGGTAAGTGTTCACTTCAGAGGATAATTGATACAGAGGTCAGTAGAGTATGTGCGGACTGTGGAGGAAGGATGTCCACTAGAGACAGGTGTTCATCAGAGAGAGGTGTTCACTTAGACAGGTTTTACTGTATTGATATAAAAGTACATAGTCTTCCTTACCTAGTTTCACTGTTCCATCTTCAGTCAATAAAATATTGCCAGCCTTGACATCCCTATGTATTTTATTAAGAGAATGGAGATATGTCAGTCCTTCTAAGGCATCTTTACAAATAGCGGAGATTTCAGCTTCCTGTAATGGCTTTTTATGCACCTCTATAATGTCTGACGCTGAGCCTAAACAGTACTCCATTACCAGCTAAAAAGATACATACATTAATCATATAATTGTTAATCGGACAGGGCATTAACATGCAAAATGTCACCACCTGCCACTTGTTAACAGACGATGATTACCAAACACCGACTGCCGAACACCAACACTGAACAATGTCTGAAGCTGAACCAAGACAAAACTATAATTGTAAATAAACATTGGTAGAGGGACATAAAGGGGGTGTAATTGCCAGCCATGATGTATGCTTTATCATCCGAATTACATGGAGGCTAGAAAAATATCTTAAAAGTTTTCAAGTTTTTTTTTCTCACAATTTTTCTTATTTTCAAGTGGGTACAAACAGATTTTCAGGTGGTTGTCTTGAAAGCCTCCTTCTAATTCGAAAGTTGGTACGGTGCCCAATTGCTTCAACAGTGTAGAAATCATTGAATAAATATTCAAAATTCTTTATTTATTTACAAAACAGAACAATACAATACATACCCATGCTGTACTTTCTCGGAGGTAGCAATTCTTGTAGTCAATTGTATGCTTGTGTTTTAGCTGGCGTAAAAATTTTACTTCTTTAATAATGTCCTGCCATTTTTCTTGCGATTGTTTTCCACTGTAAGACATTTTCTTAATCGCCACCACTTCCTTTGTGGCCGTGTTCTTGGCCTGGAATAGTGAAATATTAGAATTTAGGACTGAAAGGCCTATTAGTTTAGTATTCACAAAATCATAGATTTTCACAGAAGCAGTGATCTCATTAGCATTTATGACAACAGGCAAAATAAATGAAAACACCAGGCAAAATTGATGGATATTATAATCTTAACATGAACACACTGTTAAAGAATTCCATAACAACAGAATACTAGTGATAGGCAAATTTGGCAAAACTAGAATTAACTGTTGCCTACTGACAATAGAGAGGTTTTGCACAATGTTTTAAGCTGTTTTAATTTGTTGCGCATTCACCAGATTTATGTGCGATACTAGATGCAGCTGCAGATATGTTTGAGCTATAACCCATTGTGCGAAACCTCACTAATGTTATTCTTGCTTGATGAATTACCTTAGTAAATAACAATTCTTATTAAATATGCTGAATTTATTTATGTATTTTTTCCCATTTTCAAGTGTGTCTATCCAAATAAGTTCCCACATGGGTACAGGCAGTTTCAGAATCTCCAATCTCATTTCAAGATTTAAACAGCAAAGGCTCAGTGTAAAAAGACTAAAACTGCCATCAAATATGAGTTATTGGTAATTTCACACAAAACAACTCAAACTGAAACAGTTATATGACAACAAACGGGGCATACAGCATAATTATGTGGTAACTAAAAGCTTAGTTGTAGGATATCAAACTAATGTGTGAACATGTTTTGAATAACTCCATTGCATACTACGTTACCACGGGGTACCATCGAATAATTTTGGCAACGTACCGGAGAACGACATTTTACTAAGAAATGGCAATAATTTAGCACAATATATTTTTTAACTAGAGTTCTACTTTGATTTTGACAAAAATAAGTATTCCATGCAATGGCTATTTCATTCATGAGTTTGTAGGAATTCTGTTGGAACCCACTTCTGATCAAGTACGAAGTTATTGAAATCGGCGCAGTCGGACTTTACTCCGAAAGATGTTTTTTTGATAATAACTTTTTACAACATTTAAATATAGACTTTTGAAAAAAGTACAGAATAGTCCTTATACAATTGAATAATTCTGTTACTTCTGATTCACACGACTCTGATTTGTTTAATTAAAAAAAAGTTTTAAAAATATTACTAAGGAACGTAACCGGAGCTGGGAACGTAACCGGAGCAGATCAGTTGAATTATATAATTCAAAAAAATAAAATATATGATTTAAAGCATATATTAATAAATACGCATTCGAACAATCCCGTATGTTTTTAAATTAGTATATGTGCATTAAATCATATATTTTAATTTTTTTGATAAATAATTCAACTGATCTGCTCCGGTTCCGTTCCCAGCTCCGGTTACGTTCCTAAGTAATATTTTTAAAACTTTTTTTTTAATTAAACAAATCAGAGTCGTGTGAATCAGAAATAACAGAATTATTCAAAAGTATAAGGACTATTCTGTACAATTTTCAAAAGTCTATACTTAAATGTTGTGAAAAGTTATAATCGAAAAACCATCTTTCGGAGTAAAGTCCGTCTGCGCCGATTTCAATAACTTCGTACTTGATCAGAACTGGGTTCCAACAGAATTCCTACAAACTCATGAATGAAATAGTTATTGCATGGAATACTTACTTTTGTCAAAATCAAAATAGAACTCTAGTTAAAAAATATATTGTGCTAAATTATTGCCATTTCTAAGTAAAATGTCGTTCTCCGGTACGTTGCCAAAATTATTCGATGGTACCCCGTGGTTACAAACAGAGTAACTCACATAATATACAGCACCAAAACTTCCATGACCTATTTCTCGTAAGTCTGTGAATAATTTTTCAGGGTCCTCTGTTGAGAACAAGGCTTGTATCTCTGGATCTCGTAGACTCCCTGCTTTTGGGATGGATGGCATATCCTAGCCGTCGTGGCCCCCTCCCTCTAGAATAATCTCCACTGCTTCGTGTTACCATCAAATATGATTTGACGAATCCTACAATGAAAACTATTCATTGAACAATTTATCGCTAAAAATGAAACAATAAAGTTCTTATTTTACAAAGGATTTCATCATTTCAGAGAGGTTTTTATCCTGAACTAACCCATGCTGCATATCGAAATTAGAGCTTTCTTATTGATGAAAATCCAGTATCCGTGAAACTAAAGTCGTAAAGACAAAACCCTTACCTTGAAAGCAATCCAATTATCTGACTTCAAAGACAATTGTTGATTTCACGCGTGTTGTCCATTCTTGACTTCTGACCCATCATAAATGATGATTAGGGACACAGCAGTAGGGAAGAAATTATTTCAAAGTTCAATATGGCGGAAGTACATTTGATGTATCGATATCTCCGTCAATCAAGTATTATAATTCCTAGATTTGATATGTAACGACTCCTTGATATCTGCACTTACCACGAGGAGCACATTTAAGTTCCGAAATGTATTATTTACAGCTAAAAAGAACTAAGAATGTAAAAACTTTGATTTACAAAAAGTTCTGAACCAGTCGAGTGACGTCACGATGAGGGTAAAACACGGTCATCATGAACGTAGTTTCCGAATTTTCAACTAATTCTGACACCATTCGGGCGAAAAATGTGAAAAATTGTCAAAAATCATCAATGTAAATTGAATTCTTTATAATTTTAAAATTGTTTGCTGAAGGTATGAACCTTCACTAAGACTGAAATCTCTGCCTGGTAGCCGGAATTTATTCTAGCTGACGTCACGCGACAGCCGCCATCTTTGTTACTGAAATCTCAAAACGAAAACAAACATGTAAATGATCAAAATTTGTTATAATTACGTATTTTCAGACATCATAGAAAGGTAAGAACTTACAAAAATATAATACCAATTCATTCATATGTGTTCTACTCTTGGTTTCTCATCAGACTTTGAAGAATTATATTGATAAAAATTTCCGGGTTCGTCGCTGATCGAATTATTTTTAGGGATGCTGTCAGATTTTAGGAGGTCTACTGAACTGTGTCATTTTTTGGTTTTATTGATAAAATATGTTCACGGTGAATGTTGATTTCTATAATATATAATATGATAATATCTAGGTTACTCAGTAGGAATAAGCTTGGATGCAGTGATTGGTTATATATTCACACATAGAGTCAAATTTTTTATTCTGTGAACCAGTTTATACAGTGGGGGACAAAAATAAAACTCAACGTTCACAAGTTGTCACAATGAGCTTATTTCCAAGTTTCGTGTCTCAAACTCTCCCAAGCGGTAGAAAAATAATTCCCGTTCACTAAAGTAGCTCAATAAATGAATCCAAAGCTTCATACCTGCAAATAATGGATAAATCCCTACCAAATCGAATGAATGTTTTCATGAATCGCCATGTTTGTTATCCAAGGACGGTTGACTCCCAGAATGCAACATCAGTTAACCGTATTTACTCATGACAGGTTTCAAAATGGCGGAACAGAATTTTGAAAGCTGGCAAGTGTCATGTTGCATTTTGGGAGCCAATCCTCCGTTCCTGCGCAATCGGGCGACAAAATCACCTCAACATTTGAAGAGTCGGCATAACATGTGAATATCCAATTCAACTTTTGAAGTTCTTATTTGTCATTAGGGACACAAATTCCACTATATTTGGACTTACTAAGACGGAGAAAATAGAGCACTGAATACACTGAGGTAAGAATTTATTACATGTGGGACAGCATGTAATTTTCATAGCTTTTGCAATTCTTTATGATCCCCACTGTATGGTTAAAATAACGAAAGAATGTGACCACATGTCTACTTACCAGCTTGTTCTATATTATCCATCGGACTAGGTTACATTGTGGAACGCAGCCAAACACGACACTGAAGGCAACAGCATATCGATCTTTTTCTTTAATAGCAGAATTTTTGGAAATTTAGATCGTCCAATTTGAAAGCTCACGTGACTGATCATGTGTCACATGTCTGATCACGTGACATGTGTCTGATCACGTGACTAGTTACTGTATCGATCATGTAACTAAATGACGTCTCACCCAACCGTGTCTTCATTGGAAAACGGTAGTAAATATTTTTGAAAATGTTTTGCGAGCATTTGCTACTGATTATAGAAGGCCCAATTATGCAATGAACGAAACTGCTAAATTGTTTTTGGTTTTATAACCTAAGAATACTGCCTTCAGTGTCGTGTTTGGCTGAGTTCCACAATGTAACCTAGTCCGATGGATGACATAGAACAAGCTGGTAAGTAGACACGTGGTTACATCACATTCTTTCGTTATTTTAACCATATGAACTGGTTCACAGAATAAGAAATTTGAGTGTTCTTTTAGTGATTTCATTCCTTTTAGATGATTTTATAGAAAAAATTTGCAATGTGTGAAAATAATTTAGAAGACTTAATGCATTGTAGCTGCTTCATTCCACTCAGGCGTTGTTTCCTAAACTTTGCATTCCCGCTACATGGTCATTCAATGGATTGGAAACAACACCTTCATGATATGATTCAGCAAACAATGCATTGAGTTTTGGGCTTAAATCCTCTAATAGAATTTAGTTTCGTGAAATAGTGCAATGATCTCCCCAGCATTAAAGCAAGTGGCTCAGCTCAGTATACACCTGAGATTTTAAAAACAGGCTTGCACCAATGCACCCACCTGAAAATCGATTTGCACCCACTTGAAAATGAGAAAATTCATAAAAATTAGCCAAATTTTGACCAAATTTGGTTTAGATTGTGAGATTCAGAATTTTGCACGCATTTGAGATAAAATCCTGCGGAGATCACTGTAGCATGTTCTGATTGGTTGGAATCAGACACACCTTGCCTTGCTATATGTGAATTAGAATTTAATGTTCACAGTTGCATTACTAGTTCTTTGCTTTAATTACCATTCCTGTTCAGAATGTGACTATCAGCTTTTATTTGCTGGTGGTAATCTGGTGTGTTTATGTCCGTTGTACATACTCATTAATCATAGTCTATAGAATTCAATACATTTATTGATTTAAATGACTATGTCAACATGTAGCCTGTGAAAATAGATAACATGAAGTTTAAAGGTACATTATAAGCAGAACAAGCAAATATGACAAATCAACATGGATAGTCTTGTCAGCTCGACCTTGAATGTCTTAAATAAAACAAACATATTTGAATAAGTGCCTTTCAGGTTTCCATAGATGCTGTATCAAATACAGTAAAATGTGTCTAATTCGAACACCTCTGTTACTGGCCAAAAGTGTTTAGATTATTAGCAAGTGTTCACATTTCAAGATTTTCTAAAAATGTGAGTCAATGGGAGATAACAAATTTTGGAGCAAGAAAATGTGTTCATATTGAGAGGTGTTCAGATGAGAAAGGTGTTTGTATATTATATACAGGTTTCTCTTACATATGTTTGATAAAGTGCATTCAACATTGAATCTCAAGTAGAGCATATTTTCTTGTTTCTTGGAGAACTGATTGCTTTCAGAGGAGTAGTTTGTATTGCCAAATTTGAAAAGGGGAGGTGGGTCAATTGGGGATTCACTCCCTATATACTCTCTTGGAGTATTAGATAAAAAGGGAGTCTGATTAATCAGAATGGAGGTAACCAATGACCAAATAAGGAAGTTTCGGTATTTATCAATACTCTCATAACTTGTATCTCATTTAAAACCAATTATGGAATAACTTTGTAAAAGACAATTGTAAATATTAAAATTGATTTAAAGTTGCATTTTTTTGAGTGATTTATTATGAGAGGATGTTCAGAAAATATGAATGAAATCTCTGTCATTGATCTTATTATAAGTATACAGTATACCAATGTTATGTCAACCTATATATCAGTTCCTTATAACCAGCATATACCAGTTATAAATATTGACATTCTACATAATGTCAAATACTTTATCTTGGCAGGATATGATAAAGTACAGTGAACTCTGTAAAGTGGAACACCTCTATGAGTAGAATACCTGTGAAATCTGTCAAATACTCAAAGTCACCTGTTCATGTGAATTAAATTCTATAATTCTATACACTGCATACATGTATCTCTTTTTCATAAAGGTCAATGAAGACACAGGGGTTTCATTAGCAGCAGGCAACAGGCGATTTTCACTGGTTGTTTTCACAAAATCGCCTGTTGTTTTTAGGGACTTTTCAACCTTTCCATGTTAGATTGATGATTTCCATTAATTTTGCCTGTTGTTGTTTTCATTTATTTAGCCTGTTGTGAGAAATTCTAGTGAAACTCCTGTATACATGTCTTATCTCATAAGCAACACCTTAGTAGAATATTATTTGAGGTACAAAATGTGTTCTATTCATACAAGTTTTACTATATTGTACATTAATATGCTTAAGTGTTACATATATGATTTAAAACAAAACTACCATTAAAATTTTAAGATATATAAATCTAAGGTTAAGATGACATGTCACCTGTGTTGAACTTGCTTTGTGCTAACTAAAAAACATGTATTGGCCTTAAATGACTCGAACATACAGATTTTCAAGAGGGGGGGGGGGTAGTCACTTAAAAAGCATGTACTTAAAAAATATGCGAGGGATATGTAAACCCCTTTAAAAAGTGAGGACCCTTTTGAAAATCGTTTTTGCCTAAAGTTGACAAAATTAAGGCCCTCCTTTTCTTTTCTCTTAACAATATTTTTCAAATTGAGGATGGGGTTTTCACAAACCCTTCAACCCCCCACGAGACAGACTTGACAGAGAAGTACATATACCATTGTTATTATGTAACATTTGTCTTAATGTAAGTTTCTCTCTGGTATATACATAACTGCTGTTTTTATTTGCCGGTAAGCCAAGTAGGCAAAAGTAAGTAAAATTTCAAATCGGAAAGGATTAACAGAAAGCAATAAAATAAACAGTTTTCGGATAAACCATTATCAGAATTACATAAGATTAATTAATTGTTTTCTAGAATAAATGTAATTCAAAAAGAGAATATGGATGGCATACCAAAGCTGTTTTGAAAGGATTCACATATTTTTTGATACTGACCTTCCTTCTAAATAACAAAAATGAGGAAGTCTGATAGTATTTCAAAGAGGAGCTTGGCGAAATGCCACAAATTAGTTTTACTTCAATATAATTTTGCTAAAGTGAATTGATTGATTTTTGCCAGATGCTTTCATGACACAAAATATCTAATTATTAAATTTATCATGAACTGTATCGAACCCTATGTCTATTACAAGACTTTCTTATAATATGGTATATGTCTCGTCTCATGAAATGCGAAATAAACTGTATGATATTGATGAAGAACAACACTATGAATATAGTCCGGAGTAGGGATACTAGCGGTTACCGTTGGTTATTTGGTTTTCTGTATAAAAAAGCTTTTCTCCTTTTCTGTCCCGTCGCAGCGCCATCTAGTGTTTGATAAATGAATCAAGGTTTATTTTCGATAGGGTAAGTACTTATCTATCAGGAAACATTTACAAGTTTGGTTAGAAACAGAATTTTTATAGATGGCGGAGTGATTTTTGAGACTATGTAGAGCAGAATAATTTTCTGAAACAGGTAGCTTTACGGTGGTAGCTCTCTCCAGATTCAGTTATCTCAAAAACGGTGTGGTCACCGTATGCTTATTTTGTAACGGCAAGCTAGACAAGACTCCAATGAACACTGGGCACTGTTTCGCTGAGCTAGATCTGTGCCCATGAATATATTATGAAATGAAACGTTATAATGGTTGTCAATGGGATTTTTTACTGCAATCTTGACCCTATTAGCAACAGGGTGGTGACAGTACTAGGGTGGGAAATAGCGTTATTTTTGTAAAAATTTCACTTTCTTAGCAATGTGTACCTTGCATCTCTAAGAAAAATCAAATCATCCGAAGAATTAGCAATTTAGATTTTCGCTGATTCAGCATTTTTCATTTTTTACCTAAAAATCACAGGTTTTGACCATTTTTGGCCTGTATTTTGTTACAGGATAGCACAAGAGGGCTGTTAGTGCTGGTTTTAAGAGGTTGTTGACAGGCTTTTATCAAATTATTACCGAATTTAAGGATTCAGCCATTATCATAGCATGTAATACAGCTTTTTCCTTTGTGTCGGAATTTTCTTGAAAATATATGACAAAATTGACACATTTAACCCCATAGACTGACCAAATATGGCTGAAAACAGTTACAAACATGCATGTAATTAAAACAAGAACATTGCTTTGCAAAACTGATATGATAATTTAATATAGAAGCTCATTTACTGAAAAGTAATGGCTAATTTGGGGTAATCTCTGACCGAAAATGACTAGATTTGACCATTTTTTTGTTTCATGGTTCAGTGATTTTGGCAATAAACATTATGGAAGTACGAATAAACGTTTTGACATGCTAAATGTTGTGAATTTTTGTTAAGCCATAGCGAGTAGCAGTATTTCTATTGCAAAAATGGTCAGTTATGTATAAAACTGCATGGCCCTAAAATAAATGACCCCGGGGTTAACAAAGCAGCTATAAAAGCTCTTCTATTGCACGAGGGGAAAGAGTACCCGTGTATATACAACCTACCGCCGAGCAAGACACGCATATACCGCCGAGCAAATGTTTGATAATGTCATCTCGTAGGAAAATGGACAAATAAAGGTAATATAATGTCACTAACAATTCCTTTGGATGGTTAGAATTGTTACTAAGATGTTCTAGCAGGCGCAATTCGCCTAGAATTATAGTTGAAATATATTTTTATGTCCAAATTAAGAGATAAGGTAAACGTATAATGGTTTTTCGATTTGTTTTTCTCATTCATACTCGCTTTAATTGATAATGAGCCATACATAAGACATACTTGGGTCGGTAAATGGATGTGCATATGCATAATATATTAAGTGTCAAAATATTAGGTCAAAATAGCACTTTTGAACAGCAAAATCTTCACTTAAACTTTGTCCTAAAAGATCCGATGTTATCGGACATCGGACCCGATGTGATCGACGAGTAATATTATAAAGATCCGAAAATATCTTGAGTAAAGGATCTCAGAATCCGAACATTACTTGAGTAAAATCTGTTGAGATTCGATTATATCGTCGAGTTTATGACGTGCTGATGAAAAAATAATAAACATACAATCTGCATCATTCATGTGAATCATTTTGTTGTGAACAATAAATGAAACTGAAAAAAATATGGCTATCACCAGTTACCACTGCACATCGAAACATTGTATTTCAGGTCCTCGGTACAAATGCTTCCACTGTAGTTATAAATTACACGAGATGGATGACTTTGTGGTCCACTTCAGTCAGCACCATCCATTACTGAGTATTAAAGTTAATGTGCCTGAGTTAAATGGCAAGAAATGGATTTACAATGTTTTTGACTATGGTATTGTATTATCAAAGAAAGATCACGGTAATTTTTGTTTCGAGGATATGAAGCGTGTGAAGCTTGGGATTCTTCAAGTTGTGTTCTTTGAGTAGAATGGCGCTTGCAATGCAGAATTAAATGTTTTTGGGTTGTACACTTACCATAGACACATAGGAAATTATGGTGATTCAAGTGTAAGCATGAATTCAATGTTTTAAGAACTTTGTCGGAAACAGACGTTGACGTATAGTGCTGCGGGAATTATATCATATTATATTATATCCCGGTGCCAGGAGTATATGATAAATAAAAAGGAATATTTGTGATATCGTCATGATATTATATGCTCATTCGAAAGCTTACTCACTACCTCATCGGGTTCTACTCACGGTATAGTCGGAATAGCTCGGTGGTAGATTCGGGTCCTATATAATCGTACTCGTGACATAATCGGGTCTTTCATTTTCAACTTTCACCGGTGATTTCAATGATATGCAACGTATGGCATTGAAATAAATATGATACATTTACACCTATTGTATCTTTGAATCGAATGAAGTAAAGACAGCCATGGTTGTTACTTATTCAAGATGTAAATCATCATTCAAATATTTAAAAGTTGAATTTAGCGATTGGATAGTAAACATTGCGCTAAGTACTCATTATTTTGCAAACATGAGTGCCTGGAACAATAACTTTATCAGTTACACACATTTCTGTTTTTTATCTGTTTCTCATATTGAGAAATTCAAGATATAAACAAAAGTTTATAACTCACCCCCTACATTTTCAGACATCTTCGGGTCTTTGCTCGGCGGTAGGTTGTATATACACGGGTACTCTTTCCCCTCGTGTATTGGTGCGATTGGGCTTAAATTGCACAAAAAGTCTTGAAACACTCTAATGTTTAAGAAAAACAAGATTTCTGGCACAAAATCATTCAACCGTGTCACTATTAGAATATAGTCCGGAGTAGGGATACTAGCGGTTACCATTGGTTATTTGGTTTTCTGTATAAAAAAGCTTTTCTCCTTTTCTGTCCCGTCGCAGCGCCATCTAGTGTTTGATAAATGAATCAAGGTTTATTTTCGATAGGGTAAGTACTAATCTATCAGGAAACATTTACAAGTTTGGTTAGAAACAGAATTTTTATAGATGGCGGAGTGATTTTTGAGACTATGTAGAGCAGAATAATTTTCTGAAACAGGTAGCTTTACGGTGGTAGCTCTCTCCAGATTCAGTTATCTCAAAAACGGTGTGGTCACCGTATGCTTATTTTGTAACGGCAAGCTAGACAAGACTCCAATGAACACTGGGCACTGTTTCGCTGAGCTAGATCTGTGCCCATGAATATATTATGAAATGAAACGTTATAATGGTCGTCAATGGGATTTTTTACTGCAATCTTGACCCTATACACTGTACTGGCACTAAACTGAATATAAAATCTGTATTTAGGGACAGGTTTTTTATTAAAGATCGTTGGAGAGCTAACAGCAGTTTAACCCAAGACCAGAATAATGTTTTCTGCATTACCCAGAAATATTTTTCTCATTTATAATCAATCATTTTCCAGAATACACATGTCAACTTTTTAGGAGCTTTGTCCAATCAAAACAGAAAATATATATACTTTCATAAGGTTACAGTTTTTCTGCAAAGGTCTTTGCTAGTCATAGTTAGCATTTTTGTCTCAATTCTTATGATATGTAATACCTACATCAGGCCCGTAGCCAGGATTTGCCAAGGGGGGGGGGTTCAATTTTCAAAAATTTCCAGGGGGGGTTCACATTTGACAATTTTGGCCCAAATTAGGCTGAAATCACTTGAGATGTACTCAAAAACTGCATGATTAATTTGAAAGAATTTTTGGCCAGGGGGGGGGGTTCGCCCGAACCCTGCGAACCCCCCCTGGCTACGGGCCTGCCTACATGTATGTAATCAAGTTCTCCCACCATTATTACAACTGGCTCTGCACCATGTTTAATGTCACCATGTTGGAATTCTGTTTGCACTATGTCGAAGTGACGATTTGATCAAAATAAGGAAAATTTGAATTTTGTGTATCTGAGAAAAAATATAATGAGCATGAGGTCATCGATTAGATTGAGAATGGAATGCATCTTACAAAACATTGCAGGGAGTCCTGTGATTTATTTTAGTTGGTTTCATTTTGAAGAATTATTTCTCTGTTTTCAGGTGTGTGAGATGTTGTTTTAGAAAACAAGGGACTTCTGTTGACACAACACTGGTCGTATAGAAGCTACCCAGCTATGGTAAGTGGCCAATTATAAAACTTTTTATGTAACAGTCACATTGTTATTGTATTGTCATGGTGATATATGTTACATTTAATGACATTTATTTTTTTATTTTATATTTAGATGACTCACATGTGAGTTGATAACCTCTTTCTTATGTCACCATCAGAAGTGGTGACATATTGATAATATAGTCTCCAACTTTTTTTTTCTGGATGGTGTTTGCTGTTCGGTGGTCAGCATTCATTTTCAGTAACAAATGACAGGTGGTGACATATTGCATGTCAATGCCTTGTTAAGATATCATATACAGCATAGCACATTTATAGAATCATCAATTCATATTTATTATTTAGCTGTCAGTATTCCTTTTCACACTTTTTTTGTTATATTTACAAAATGAAAAATTTAATCTGGCTGGGTGGTCTTAATTTACTTTGATAACTGAGCTAAGTGAGCTTTATAGTCAAGGGAAGGGGTCTGTCTTTTAATTTTCTGTATTCAACAAAATATACATGTCTGAAGAGAGTCATGGACATTCCCAGAAAAGTGTCTCTAATTAGTGAACTCTCCAGTATGAGAGGAATCAGTTGCCAAACCCTGTTAAAATCTGAGAATTGTATGACATCCTGCTTCTGTTTACATCCTGCCAAAAGGGTCATTTATTGATGTATTTTTTGTCCCTATGATCTTGGGTAGATATATTGTATTTCCCTTTGGATTACCTTGTATCCAAAACCTCCAGTGAAATTGCCCTCATGTTTTTGGACCAATGTGATGAAATAAGGATGTAGTGCCTATTGAAAAATTTCTGATGAGATCATTGTGTAGCTTTTCAAATTCATGTTTGAGAGGTTTGAGGGGGGGTTCTATTTCTTACTTATATGTCAATGGAATATCCTCTTGTCTTATCTAAATTGAATTAAGTGGCTCCATGTTGTATTTGAATCATAAGATAAATATTAACTTTTGAGAATTAAATTTATTTTGATAATATTGATAATTTGAGGTTAAATGTTGGACAGTCAGCCTGATGCATCAATCTTCTCAAATTACAACCAAACCTTGGTAAAATTGTACTTCTGATATTGTTTTTACTTAATGGTTAAGTTATGATAAAGTAATGGGTAGAGTAAATATTTGCAAATCAAAATATTTAATTTAAATGTTGAAATGACATTTCAACCCCTTCCCCCCCAAAAAATCAATCTTCCATGTAACATTGCAATAGTTCACCATATTTCACTGTGTGAGATCATTTTTGTAGAACTTGATAAAATATTATTGTACCCACATATTGTACTGCATGTGTTTTCATCTTAATCAATGATGTAGAAGATTTGAATAACTCAGTATGATACTTTTAAGGGCCATCATCGTTTGGTGAAATAATGCGGTAAATAATGAGTGACAGAAAATGATATTGTAAATTGATAGAAGCCCTCTTTTCAATAAATATGTCAATCTGTCGTTTATTATTAATATCCATTTGAAACGATTTGAGATATTTTATCAATTTTGAGATTGATCTTTGATATTAGATGCCTAAATGCAGTGCATCAATTTAAGATTGATAAGATTAAAAAATCAATGCAGTTTAGAAAATGATTTCAGATATTATGGATTGTGGTTTAAAAATTTTTGACAAATGTAAGCAATTTTAAATCTTGAATAAATAGATAAAATGTCTAGATGAATTATGTTTCAGAATATGGAGGAAGGATCAATGCTTACTCTGTACTAGATTCGCCCAGAGCCTTGTGTTGTCTAAGTTTGAAAAATGTAAATGAAAGATGCTCAATTCAAAATAGCCACCATTTTTCATGAAAAAATATAATTTTATAACTTATATACATGTACCAGCTATAGAATATTTTAATTTTCTAATCTTTTGTTTCTTATATTTACAATTTATAGATGACCATTAGTTTGTTGCATTGTGCTAAAAAGAATGTTTTTTGAATGTCTGTTACAATTAGGTCACTCTGACCTGTACATATTTATCAAAAATCATTTTCTAAATAATTACAAAATAATTTTTGAGCATAATTACAAAACTTCAATTCTGCTTCTGAAAACAAATTCAAGATGAATATCATTCACATCAGTCAAACTAAAAATAACTTTTACTATTCCACACAGTTCAAGATTTTGATTGACAGCTCTGAAACATGAAATTGATGTCCTGTGTTAAAACTCCAAGGTCAAGCTGATCTGGTCACTCTCTAAGACTGTTTAGAAACTGATTTTTCATAGAAATTGATCAATTCTGTCTTTACATTTCTCAGTCAAAACATATTTATAGAAAAATTGACCTTACAAACCATTCTTGTCTATCTAATATCAGTTTAAGTAAGAGGTTTTAATCATGATTATTTTTGTTTGAAAGAAGGATATTGGAGTGTTTTGTAGCTCTGTTTTGTCAAGAAATTCTCAATTCTCTAATCTTCACAAGTTCAGGGTTTCATTTGAATTTTTGTATGATAATCAGTTGTACCAGATGAAAATGGCATTGACTCAAATGTTTATGTAATAAAATGAGTATTTTTTATGAATGGCAAAATGACATAATATCACCTGTGCACCCCATTTTCAACTTTAGCACTTACTAGTTATGGAAGTTGGTACAGTACAAGGTTTATAAGCTAATGTCTTAATGGGCAAAGAAGGCCATTTTTAATATGGCCATCATTTTTCGTAAAATGTAACATTTCATAACTCAAATACCTTATCCCGTTCCAGGACTATAGTCCTGTACGGAGCCCATACATTTGCCTGTACGATTACAACTTGGGAGAATTATCTACGCCCCTTCCACTTAAGAAACCTACCTCAATGCATTCTACAACTCAAAATGTAACTTCTAATATATTGGAACCGCCGATTGTCTGGGTTAGTTGGCAGAACGAGGTCTTTTTGTTTCTTATGGCTCTTTTGGTCGAAGTTCGATTAAGATGGCGGTTATAACGGAATTTCCCGAACTCTTCCGTAATAGCACGAACTTGGTTTTTCGTTACTTCACTTCCATGTAAAATGGATTTGTTTCCGGTAAGAAACATTGTTTAACCATTCGGTATACAGTTAAGAGCATAGGATGTCGACATGGCAGTAAATATTGAAAATATTGTCCGAAATTTTCGAAATTCCCTCTTACCCGAAACAAATCCATTTTACACGGAAGTGACGTAACGAAAAACCAAGTTCGTGCTATTACGGAAGAGTTCGGGAAATTCCGTTATAACCGCCATCTTAATCGAACTTCGACCAAAAGAGCCATAAGAAACAAAAAGACCTCGTTCTGCCAACTAACCCAGACAATCGGCGGTTCCAATATATTAGAAGTTACATTTTGAGTTGTAGAATGCATTGAGGTAGGTTTCTTAAGTGGAAGGGGCGTAGATAATTCTCCCAAGTTGTAATCGTACATGCAAATGTATTGGCTCCGTACAGGACTATAGTCCGGGAACAGGATAACAAATACCAGTTGACAGATTTTTCGGAAAATATATGATTTCTTCTGATAACACAAATACCAGTCAACTGATTTGGACAAAATGACTTTTGGTCATGACACTTATTCTCGAGAAAGAATTATAAAATATGGTACATGTATATTGTCATAAGTATAATTTTGTCAAATAGAGACAACACTGCCGCTTTCTGGTAAGGTCTATAAATGTTATTTTACAATGATGAGTGATTTGTTAAATATTTTTTGTTCAGCTGGATTTCCTTCTCCATGATTTTTTTTTCGTTTAACCTGTTACTAATAAATAACACCATGCATTTCAGTCCTCAGAAGAGGAAAGTAGCATTGACCACATGCGAGCCAGTGAGCTCTATCCTAAACCCGCCAACATCAAGTACGACCGAACAATCCCCATCTCATTCCCATTGCTATCTGGTGAACACATCCTAGCCTTAGGGAAGACCTCAAATGGATCGATCGCATTGACGAACTTTCGATTATTTCTACGCTTCGAGCGGTCATTCGTGAATGCACCTTTGGGTTTGATAGAATCTGTGGAGTCAAGAGATATTTTCCATTTGAACATCTACTGCAAGGATGCCAGGTCTTTCAGGTGAGGAATCCTCTCATATTGAATAATCGCAGAATAAAGTGTGGACCAGAAAAAGGGGCACAATCCCTTACATGTTACTAATGAAAAAATACCAATTTGGGAGTAAAAATTGCAAAGATTGTGGAGAAATTAATTATTGCATCTCATTTCTTACCACAGAGTTCAATTTGTGATGCTAATCAAGAGGTTGCCATAGTAATCCAAGATGATGTTTTTGTTAAAATTGTCAGTTAACTCCACTATCTAAAATATATATTTCTCTGTGAGGCCAAAATGTTTCTTACATTTTCCCATTATCAACAAAGCAATATCTATTTTCACAGCATTACAGGACAGGATCAGTTACATATTGGTAAATGAAAACAGAATGAAATCCTGTGCTAAGTGCTTATGTAAAACCATCAGTCCACCCCAGTGGAGATAGAACCACCACCCTTCAAACATTATCAGTACTGTATATGACACACTCCACTTCCAGGTGCACTTTTGCCAACAATGACCAATGCCAAGACTGGTTCAGACAGATCAATCTAGCACTGACTCCCAAGAAGGAAGATGGAATATTTGCATTTAGATTCTATGCCTGGTGTCAGGACCTCCAGCCAGGGGATCAGGAATTGCAGTCCTGTTACATACTTGGACAGAACAGTAAGTGCTCTTTTAATCAGTTTTTCAAAGTGCTATGTTTTCATTGTGTCGTCCTGAGTTGGGGACTGGTTGGGTGTTTGGGTTCCACATTAATCTTGTCATTATAATTACAAGAAAAGTGGTTACCTAGCTGTTCAATTTGTAATTGAATAATCTCTTTTTATTAGTTTTTTATTCAATAGGTTGTGCTGGCTAGGATGAAGTCCACTGACACAATTGTCCAGACAATTGTCAAATTCACTGGGGAGTATCGTGATGCAACAACACCGTGTTGTTGCATCAAGATGGCCAGACTTCCGGTGATAGATTTTCGTACGATATGTTGTTTCCCCAATTTAAACCCATTTCTAGGACGAGTTTCTCAATAATCATACACGTGAAGTTAGCGCACGATCTATATTTAAAGAAACTGTCATTAGTATACATGTAGCATCATCAAGAAGCAAGAAGTTCACGGTTTTAGTTCCTCACTATTGATGCAACAACACCAAACCGAAGATGCAACAACACTCCTCTAAATTTGAGCAATGATGCAACAACACCAATTAATAGTATAATTTCAGAAGACCATAAATCTCGAGAGGAACAGATTTTTAAATGCTACTATACTATTGCAACACCAGGCCAGTACCCATTTGCGTTCTTCTCAGGCATTCAAAATACACTTCATGCGGGCGAAGATTCTATATTCAAAAATTTATACTTTTAAAGATGTCATTTTAAAAGCAAAAAAGGCTCCAAAACGTAAAAAAATATGTAGTTTGGATGTTCATTTATGTCTGTGGATTATATTTTATACCACAAACACTTATAAATACCTGAAATTTGCAATAAAAGTGCCCAAAAATTGTTGTTTCAAAATTCCCCATTTTTCCTGTATCGCGCTAGTCACGTGACCCTTACGCGTAGCAGGCAATGCCTAGTATTACAGATATTACAGTACATATTTCAACATGTTCAATATGGCAAACATCAGCGATTCTGACTCCCGGGTTCTGGGAAATGGCTATATATAAATCGGCGAGAGGGTGTTATTTAAGGAGGACAATTTAAGGAGGGGAAATATGTCCAAGTATGCCAGTAAAAGAGCAGATATGGACTTTAGACAAGTACTATGACGGAGAATCAACTAAAAAAATGTACGTTCTGGAATGAAGACCCGTTGCCATTGACTGAGAATCCCAGCGATCCTATAATCCTACTCAGTTTGAATTTAGACGCGGAAAATAGGTTATGAAAACGGGCTCTCTGCAAAGTTATCAAATTTAGAAAATATGGATCTTGTTTTTGAGTGGCTTAACAAGCATTCGGATACAAGACTTGGCGCTATCTCTTGTCAAATACACGCAGACTTGCAGTAAATTGGCCATTGCAAATTGCAAAATCAGATCGTCAAATTAATCGCTTCGTTTTTAAACGTATGCTTCATATCTTCATCCAAAACTTTAGGATTCGATAGAGATAAGTTAAAACTTGTACAGGAAGAAATGGGAGATCCTACCTTAATTTAGAATCGCTGATTTCTCTGGACAAATTCCGAGAAGAAATTGTTCAACATCGCGATCAGCTCAGACTAAACTTACATGTCGTGCATGTCACTCTGAACTCACGTGATAAAATACGGCATTTTGATTGGTTACTACTCGTGTTGTCATGACGCGAAAAACAATAGTAAACACTGAATATGTTAATGAACTGTCATATATAGAGCAATTGTCTTTCTGATTGGTTAACTTTACACGCCTCCTAAATGAATATAGTAGTCGTAGTAAATGATTCATTGATAACTCTGAAAGTGGGCGTGACCAGCTTTATTTTGACACCAAATTCAAGATGTTTCAAATAAAAATGGCCTCGCAAGACGAGGTTGAAATATAGGCAGTTTGATACTGATATGGTCTACGATAGATCAAAATTGACTGCCCCGCGTCATATGTCACGTGAACCTATATTTGTTGAAAAATGAAAGAGATAGTGACACTTTTTAATCTTAAGTTAATACCAATATTACAAACACATATCTATTTTTTTCATTAAATATTTATTTCTTCATTATACATACATTTGTTTTACACTGCATTGATTTATTTTTGCAAAACCTTTGCTATTAGATCTTTAAATATCATAATGTACTGGAAGTTGTTTTATAACATAGTTCAATCGCCTTTAACATTGCAAGCTATAGTAACCCAATCTATTATCATAAACCCCTGTTCCATAGCTTGATGACCCTGATACCAGTTAGTATCTTTCAAATGGTGGACAAACATCTTTCATTGCACAGAATTGGTCGAATAGCCGATAGATGTCATTCATTGATTAAACATGACGTCATATTTGAGATCTTAAGATAAATCTGACGTCATGACGTCAGTGCCATAGAAACTGAGATTGTCTTATTTTATTTTGACGTCATTCCAATGTAATGAACCAGTTATATCACCAAAAGTTATCATATTTTGTTTGAAATTGGCCGAAAAGTTAAAGGTATGAGGATTCTAATCTCAACGGAATCAAACAGATCTACCTTCAAAGTTACAGAAACCTGAGATGACTAAGATACCATATGATTTTAAGTACCTCTACCAGATCGTTGAATATCCTCATTTCACCATTTTGACGCCATTTCTAATGGATTTCAATGGAGTCATGCATGAATTCCTCATGATTTTTTCAAAACAAATTGGCCGAAAAGTGTGCATGTGTACATTGCTTAAAACATGTTAAATCAGTAAAGGTTGATGTCTAGTTATAGAAACCTGAGATGACTAAGGTGGCAAATCAATATCATTCGCACAGTAAGCGTTCGAAAAATGTCTCCATTATAAATCCCATAGGCTTTGGAAAACCGGAAGTAATGGGTCTGCGCATGCCCAGTGAAATATTGGACAAATTTTGTGCAATGTCGTTCTCGGTAAACACGACGAGCTATTGGAAATCTTGCACAGCGCACATGTAGAAGTATTTTTCTCTTTGGATTCGTTCTCCCAGATTGAGTAAATGGGTAGGTAATAGGATTTAGGTCCCGAAAAGGTAAATTGATAGGGGTACAGTAATCCCAGATTTCCCCTGGGCCCTCGGGAAATATCATAATGTGTCCCGGAATAAAATCCCTCTCAGTAAATAACCTCTATATAATAAATTTGGACATAAAAATGTCTAGGTCAAAATCTAGGTCAAATTCAAAATTTTCCTTATTTTTGTGATTCTGATACTACACTTCAATTATATTCTTCGAAATTGTGTATACATGTAGCCAAGAGTGTACTAACAGTGTTAGCCTTTTGCCGTCAGAAAGTATTTTAACCCACTTTTGAGATATGGTGTCCAAAAAGTAGGTCAAAATAAAAAATTCTCCAAATTTAACGTTTGAGTTTTGAATGAAGAATAGAATTTTCTCAGGAATCAGAATCTGCAAACCAAATTTCGATCCGACTTCCGGTTCGGAAGTTATGGCGTTTTGGAATCGATCTGATGGTATCCTGATAGAAAGTCAAGAGTAGCGAAGAAAATGTTGAAAAATCCATCCATCCTTCCTATCATATCCTACTATTCTATCCTATCGTTCCTTCTTATTCTATCCTATCCTTCCTATCCTATCCCTTTTATCCCTATCCGTTCCTTCCTATCTATCCTTCCTATCCTTTCCTATCCTTCCTATCTTATCCTTCCTTGCTATTCTATCCTATCTTTCTTCTCTATTCTCTCCTATCGTTCCATCCTATTCTGTCCTATCCCTCCTTCCTATTTCATCCATCCATCCATCTTTTTCTGGATGACTTGGCTTAAAAAAGTCCAGATCTGGAGTCTGAAATTGTACTTGTTCAATTTCCAAAGTCTAGTTGTATTAGTTCTTTGTAAACAATTTCCATAATATACGGTAAATCAAGGAAATTTAATTTAGAAAATGAATAATCTTTATTTTTCAGATACAATATCAATGAGGTTGGCTCCCGGGGATTCAATACTTAGCCTTTGTATTTAGTTTACCTTGTATATCCTTTTAACTTTGATAAAGACAAATACATTAAGGAACCAAACAAAATATGTTTCATTCATGAACCACGCACTCACGCGTTTTATTCATGTCCCGATCAACACCTATAAACAGAACATAAAACAGTTTCTCTTGATATTCAATGATACATTATATTGGCGTTTTTGCATCAGCACATTGATGTTGTTGCATCATCGATTATAAACAGAGTGGTGTTGTTGCATCAATAGTGAGGAATTAAAACCGCGAATTTCTCGCTTCTTGATGATGCTACATGCATACTAATGAGAGTTTTTTTAAATATAGATCATGAGCTAACTGTACGTGTATGAATTTCTCGCTTCTTGATGATGCTACATGCATACTAATGAGAGTTTTTTTAAATATAGATCATGAGCTAACTGTACGTGTATGATTATTGAGCAACTCGTCCTAGAAATGGGTTTAAATTGGGAAAACAAAATATCGTACGAAAGTCTATCACCGGAAGTCTGGCCATCTTGATGCAACAACACGGTGTTGTTGCATCAGGATACCCCCCAGTGAAATTTCAGTTTCCTGTTAGCTGTACATTGTCTTGTCTCGTATGATTTTTGTAGTTTTGTAAAATACATTGACAAGTTGCTCAATCCTAGCAACCTTTATGTGTAACACATTGACTGATAGTAACAAAAAAGTTATTTGCAGGTTGAGCCAGAAAGAAAGAGATTTTGTATTTTACCCCAAAAATTGGTATTTTAGGTAAAATAGGTCCTTTTATGCACTCAAATGTACAGGGTGGTAATGTTATTATGAAATAGTTCGAAAAATGTTTTGAGCATAACAAATTGGACATAGGTTTCATTAGGTGAAAAATTCACTTAAATATGTACTTCAAATGATCTGTAGGCTCATGGCATTCAAGGTCATGAGTTATGTATAAGGCATCTTGTCTAGGTTTCTACATTTATTTATATACATGTGTGAGCACTGAGCATGGCCTCAAGTTAGATAAAAATACATCAACCTTGAATTAATGATTTAGTACAATACACTTAGTGTCCTAGAATGACCCTGTTTGTTTGTATTTAGACTGGATGATCTTGTCTTATCTTGTTCATAAAAACAAACTTCTTTATTACACTATGTATAGTAAAACATGTACAAATGGTACATCTCTGGATGTGGAACATTTCCATAATTAGAGGGCCTCAGAGTTATGTTAACCATCGTGTAATGTCAAGCCTGTCAACTTGGGAACACCTAAAATGCGTGACTTACAAATGTTGAACTCCTTCCTTCAATTTGTGAACACCTTGGTCCAAATCTGAACACCTAGTTGGTCCAAATTTTGGTATATACATCCAACTTTTGGACATTCAAATATTCTGACATATTCTGTCACGCAAAAAAAACTGGTGTGACTTCAATTTCTTCTTACAGCTTTATATTCTAAGCGAGGGGTCGTGGGTTCGATCCCTACTGGGGTGGACTGACTTTTTCACATCAGCCCTTATAGTACTATTAGCACAGGATTTCACTCTGTGTTTTCATTAACTAATATATCTTTATTGAGAAGATTAAGATCAACAGGATGGATTTTTTGGCTTGAAAATATCACAAGACTTTTATATGGAAAGTCCATATAAACATCACATTGTACATTAATGTCCTAGAATGACCCTTGGTTTGGTTTGAGACTATTATTAAATCCAGCCTTGCTATTAGGAAGTAAACAGCCTGCTTTTCTAGCCCTTCAGTTTAGTCAATTATACAGATCACATATTTTTGGATTAATAACTCTGAATAGAAGGATCTATAAGGAATTTGAATGGCCTGTTAGAAAGGAGATCTCTTAATTAAAATAGGAAATACCCTGGCCCTCACAATTCAGTTTTCCAGTTGTAAATTAGTTTCTATTGGGGAATATTTTGTACAGCAATGGTATGGTCATTTCAGGACAACATATTATCCCTGTACTCCATAGAAACTTGAAAATATAATATCATTATTATTTTATTTGTAAAAAAGCTATTAGGAGGGACATAACAGATTTTATAGAAATCAAGCCTTTAATGGATATAAAACAAGAAAATCATGTATATTGAATCTGAATGAATGAGTACACTTGTGAAATAATCAATGGCCAGAGTGATACTTTGAGTAAGGGCCTGTTTTGTAGGGGATTATCCAACCATGCTGGATATAGAATGAATCATTGCAATAATATTGATGGAACACATGGGTAGGATACAAAAAAATAGGATTAACTTGGTTTGGTTTTAATAATATTTAGATTTTAAGAACTTTAATTCAAGAAACATTTAATTTTATGAATTCAAGTTTTTAATTTTTTCTAAATATTTATTTGGCCTCACATGGTTTGATTCCTGAATTGGTATAATAAATAAAAAATGTTTTGTTTATATAGCACTTTTGTTAATAGTAATTTAGATAATCAAGTTTTTATTTATTTAGAGTTCACATAATTATAAGCACCAATGAAGTAAGAAACTGCCAGCTGTGAAATTATCTTTAGATAGGCTTGTATCAAGCCCAGTGTTCCCTTGAGACTTGCTGGGTCTCCAGAGAATAAGGAAGGTTGGAACTAAAGCGCATAAATCAAACATTGGATTAATTTTCACAGTATAATGTCATGAACAGTAATAAATGTGATGTCCTGTATTTACAGAGGCAAAATGGAGGTACACTTTTGGGAAGGAGGTAGGCCGGATGAAGTTTGACTTGAAGAAGCTTTGGCGTATCTGTTACATCAACGAGGACTATAAGTAAGTGGTTCTGTGGTGCATTATGGGAATAATTTAATGCTTTGTGAACTGTACTAAGGCATTTATCATTTAAGATTTTGTGTTTATTTTTTGTCCCTTGTGTCTAAAAAATACAATTTGACAAATACAGTTTGATGATCGATGAGGAGTTTCATAATTGTAAATTGTCTGTTTTGTGTCTTGCAACGTAATATATATACCATATTAGGAAAAGTCACATGTCCTCATATGCATCATGGGATAAGTTGCTTAAACATTAACAAAGCCGCTTTATGTGTTGTATTATTGGAAATGCCATTGATTTGTTAATAGCACTTTTCTGTGACCAGATACATTATCAATACATTTCATCAATTGAGACAGCAAATAAGTCGTCTGCTTTGATGCTGTTGCATCATGGGAATTGTCACATGCCATGTATTTTAGTATTTGTTCATTTTGTCATTGTTTTGATATACATGACAGCCTTTCATGATAAATTGGAATAATTATTTATTTAGAATTTGTTCTAATTGCTAAAAATCATTGACATGGGATCACCATGCAAAATAATTCAATAAAGTATTTTTTGAATAACCCACTTACAGGAAGACACCGTCTGCTATGACTATTGCATTATGGGATATGTCATATAAATAAAAATAATTGCATTTTCAGAATCTGTTCATCCTACCCTAAGCTACACATAGTGCCATCGTCTACAAAGGATGAAGATTTAGTGAGTCTAGCAGGTTTCAGATCATCTGCCAGGTTCCCATCTATAGTTTGGAGGTAGGTGGAACATAATAGAAACTCAATTTTGTTTTGTGTAATTCTTTCTTTGAGCTTGTTTATTGAATCATGTGTATGTCCTGGTTTAGAAACAGAAGTACAGAGAAAGATGAAGATAATAAAAAAAAGTAAGATAATTAAGCATGTAGAAGGAAAAAATATTATCAAATTAATAAATAATAAAATAATGAAGTATATAGGCCTACTGTAGAAAGCTGTATAAAAGAATAATAAGAATTGTACATGTATTGAAATGCTAGGAATTGCATGCTCTACTTTGTTTGTGGGTTTGCTTGACTTTTCACTTTGTTTTGGGAGACATTTATTCATTACTCATTTGTGTTAAGAAACCAGCGTACTGGAGCTGTAATAGCACGCTGTAGTCAGCCAGAGGTCGGTTGGTTGGGGTGGAGAAACTCCCAGGATGAGCAGCTTTTGCAAGCCATCAATGCGGCTACAATGATTGACGTTGCTAGGAAACTAGACTCCACCCCCAAAGAGGAATCCACTGACAACTGTCTCGCAAATGGTAAGTTGAATGAAGCTCCAGTTAATTGTTCTACTGAATACTGACTCAGATTGTAAATTAAAACCTTGCTGTATTAATTTAGGATCAAAATTACAGAAAATGCATTCAGTTTGCTCCATGTAAGACCCACAGGGTATTGCTCCCCTGTTGAAAGTTTGAAAATAACATTCGGCAATATGTCACCCTGTTCAAAAAACCTCACTGCATTCTCATTATATCAAAATGCTGAAATATGAGGTACTTTGATTCAAATTTATGAATTAAAATATCACTTTGTAATCTGTTTAGATAAAACCTTAGGAGGTCAACATAACTTTAATATTTTTTCTCTAGGCTCAACAAGTAAAAAGATGCTTATAATTGATGCAAGGTCCTACAGTGCCGCATTTGCAAATCGCGCTAAAGGAGGAGGGCTGGAATGCCCAGAGTACTATCCCGACTGTGAGATTCTCTTCATGAATCTTGCTAATATTCATTCCATCCGGAAAAGCTTCCAGGCATTAAGGGCTATGTGTGCAGCACCGCCTGAACAAATCAAGTAAGTATTTTTCCGTTAAATTCATTCACCAAAATAAAAATGAATTTTAGATTTTGGAAGATTTAGGACAGGTACTCAGTGAAGATGTTAAAATCATGTCTGAATATTATAAGTCTTTAAAGTTCCAATTGATAAAACTAAAGGCTCAAACAAGGTCATTTTGTATGAATTGGGCATTTGGCTTAGTACTGTCTTAAATACATGAAACAAGATTGTTATACTGATAAATCAAACTAGTACATTACTTGCAGTTATTACTAAGGTTATACCGATTTTTTGAGTAAAATGTGAATGCTATTGTGGAATACTGGTTTTTAATGTTTTTAACATTTTATTTTTCTATCATTTAGCTGGCTGCAAAGTTTAGACACTACAAAATGGCTGAATCATATCTGTGGGCTACTTAGAGCGACGGTAACTGTAGTTAATGCTGTAGAAAATGAGCGCCGTCCTGTATTGGTCCATTGCTCTGATGGCTGGGATAGAACCCCTCAAATAACTGGACTTGCCCAGCTCCTGATGGACCCTTTCTACAGGAGTATAGAGGTAAATGAAATTGCAAAATATTTATTTGTTCTATCTTATTCCAGGACACTAGAAAACTTGAATAACTTGAAAAACTTCAGTATTTCATTCATTGTAGTTTTATTCCTGACACTATAATCTATATTTTATTTTAATTTATTTTTTAATATCAATATCTTTATTCATCATATGATCTGTAGAATGAAGCCCTCTGATCCGTTGATCATTTCTGTCGCATTACAGAAAATATTGGTAGCAATACAGAGGATCACACGATAAAAACGTTATGGGACCAGTATAGAATTTCTCGAGCAGAATATATCCTGTATTGCACTTCAAATCATCCAATAATTTATATTGTCTATTTCAATGGTTTACATCTTCCCATTATGCATTGCCTCTTATCCTCACAGGGCTTTCAAGTACTTGTTGAGAAGGAATGGTTAGACTTTGGCCACAAGTTTGCAGATAGATGTGGAAATGGGGAATGCACTGATGACTTAAATGAAAGATGTCCCGTATTCTTGCAATGGCTTGACTGTGTCTACCAGCTTTTGCACCAGTTCCCCTGTGCGTTTCAGTTCAATGAAGCGTTTCTGGTGAGTCAAAATGCTTGTTTAGTCCTGTATACATTGAGACACCCTCTGCAATGACTATTGCATTATGGAATATGAGACTTATAAACATCGTCTGCTATGACTATTGTATTATGGGATATGAGACTTTTAAACACTGTTTGCTATGACTATTGTATTATGGGATATGAGACTTTTAGACACCATCTGCTATGACTATTGCATTATGGGAAATAAGATTTTTAGACACCATCTGCTATAACTGTTGCATTATGGGATATTTCCTTTTCTAGGTGAAGCTTGTAGAACATACATATTCCTGTTTGTTTGGGACGTTTCTATGTAACAATGCCAAAGAGCGAGAGGTGTTAAACGTACGGGAAAAGACCAGTTCAGTATGGACGTTGATACAGGAAGATCGCAACAAATTTCGCAATTATCTTTACAACCCTGACACTGAGGTGAACCTTTTTTTGTAATCTTTATCAATAAACAAAACTAGATTTTTTGAACCCCTAGAGAAAACAAGAATCATCCAAGATATCTGTTACAATAGTCATACACAAACTTATTTAACTCAATGATTTTGTTTTTTAAAGTAATGTATAATCTATCCCTGTGGTAGACTGGATAACTAACAAGGCATCCATTTTGAATTTAAGTGCAATATTTATTTCTGTGCTTCTTGTTATTGCAGGTTCTGATACCGTCATGTCAGGTTCGCAACTTATGTCTCTGGACAAATGTTTATCTCTCGAGTTCGGCACTGACCAGCCATATTGATGACATCATCACAGACCACGAACCACCAGTTGCAAATGGAAATGTCCTCTCTGAAGCTGACCAATCTGCCCCATTGACAAAAACGCGTTCATGTGATGATATCATCGCTGCTATAGACACACATCCTGTGGAACACCAAAGGAGGTTAAGTGATCCCAATATTATTAAGGATACTACCCATGATTCAGTGCATTTAGTTAACGGTGCTCAAGAAGGTAAAATTAATCAGGAAAATGAGGAATCAAATAAAGTGACATTGGTACAAGATGTGAATTCTTCAAGCCAAACAAATATAACTATGAATGGTGAAAATGAAATTACCCATAATGCAATGGATAAAGCAGACGATGTATGTCTTCCGGAGCCAGAAAGCTGCTGTATGAACCTTGAGAGGCAAGAAAGTGAGGTAGCGACAAATATTGTAAATGGAGTGATGAATTCTGTTATGTCCACGAGTGACACCTTGTATAACAAGACATCAGAATCGGGAAGTGAAAAGGATTATGGGATAGCTCCGAGTGGTAGCGTTACATCGATGTGTAGCTCTACGGACACATTAGTCAATGGCAGTAAAAACACATGTAGAAAGTTATGTGATATGGCACAAGAAAAACTCGCTTTGAGCGGTGACATTGTCTTGCAAGCTAAACTTGTCCTGGATAGGGATATTAAAGCGTACAAAAGTAAAAGTTGCAACCATTTATGTGATACTAGTCAGCTTTATAATGGCAATGGACATCAAGAATACCTTAATGTAAACCAGTCACTAACTGGGAATAAACTTAACACGAGCACGAGCACCAGTGATATAAGCGACAGTCACGTGGAAACGGCGCTTTCTTGTCAGGCAGCTTTGGATCAGACGCTACTAACGCTGCACTTAAAGATGAATGGAAATATGTCGAATGGGTTGGATAAATCAAAGAAGAATTCAAGTTCGAATTCAGCGACGGAATCTGAAATGTCAACTCCGTTTAAATCCCAGACACCGAACTCGACATGCCCTACTACTCCAGGGGCAGATGGGAAAACTTACATGGTAGGAATGATTCTTTTTCTTATTGTTATGACAGTAGGTTGTGTTGAAAGAATAGTTTTTTACTGTTTACACTTTTAATTTCAAAGGTGGTATTTTCATATAAGATGAGACTTAATTTCACCAAACATGTGTTTCACTGACAATATTAAATGTTCATATTTTATATCAATGCAATTAAAAACTGTAAATTATGTTTCATGTGAATTAATCATTTAAAATCAAAAGCTGAATATTTCCACTTATACTATTATATAGTAACTGGAATTGATTTTCACACTTTATTTCCCCAAATTATATATTCTTTACCTTGGATCCACATAGGGCTTTCAGGTACTGGTTGAAAAGGAGTGTACCCCTTATTAGAAGTATATCTAATGTACTTTGTAAAGAAAAACAAGCATGCAAGGATCAGCACTACTGACTGGTTGCGTGACATAATCATTTATTAACTTTTCAACTTTGGATCTAGAATCTTTCAGGGACTTATAAGTTAAACATAAATAAGTCAATGAATATCCAGTTTTATGAAAATGTATTTTAAATTTACATTTTAGAATGATCCATTTCTGCAGCGAAGCCTAAGCTATGTCAGTCGACATCTTGACGCAGATGGTTTAACGACGTTTGTAGACGTTGCTCAGCAACAGCAGATGTCTGTTGAGCTTGAATATCGGCAAAGAATTGAGATTCTAGAACGCCAGTTACAGAGGGCTAAAGTAGCACTGATTCAATACGCATCAGGCCGCAATGGTCACAATAATAGAGATAATGGTGCTGATTTGTGGGATAGCAATGTAAGTGGAATCTATTAACTACCTTTCTCCACTAAAACTTGATCATCCTCGTTGTTCTTTCCAAAATACCCATGTTTCCATATTAAAATTATAACTTCAAACAATTTTGCCTGTTGGTGTCATTTGCATTGCCTATTGTCAAAAATTCAAAGAAAACTTCTGTATGTTAAACAATCCTGTTCCATTCCCTTGCAGTCATTACCAGATTCCAATGGAAGTATTGGCCCATCCTCTCTAGGCAGCAACGCAACATCAGAAGGGAGCAGCTGGGAGCAGGTAGATGAGAAGGATGCTGATATGACTCTATGGGTGCCTGACCATGCTGTCACACATTGCGCTGGTTGTGATCATGAATTCTGGATTGTACGACGAAGACATCACTGCAGGTGAGCTCTGCCAGCCTTTGAGTGACTTTTTTAGTCACAGTTTTCAGCTTTCATTGAAAAATTGACCCTCATTTTGCAAGTGTAACACCATTCATGCCATTGTGCTACTGATATTGTTCCATTGTGACAGAATTGTGCCATTGTGACATGGATTGTGCCATTGTGTTACTGATTGTTCCATCGTGGATGGTGTTAATGATTGATCCATTGTGGCAGAATTGTGCTATTGTGACATGGATTGTTCCATTGTGTTTTAGGAACTGTGGTAAGGTGTTCTGTGCGGAATGTGCCAACAAGTTTGCTCCAATTCCCGAACAACAGTTGAGGGACCCTGTCCGTGTATGCAAGCACTGCTATCAGTCTCTAACACCTTTCAAGAGTCACCCCAATGGAATCGTGAACCACCCCAATGGGGGTATGGGACTGGAGGCAAGGTGTGACCATCATGAATTACTCCTAGAAGCTGCTGCTGCTGGGTCTCATTGAAGGATTGCTGAACAAAACTGTTGCTATGAACTATGGGACACGTCTACTGTTACTATGGAAACAATTTTCACTGGAGACAGCAATTGTGTCCTTATTCAGTGCTTCTTGAGGAAAACTAAATCCAGAAGAACAGAGTTATTGCTCGAATGTAGTCGTGTTATTCAAAAAACAGTCACATATTGTGAATTTGTGAACTTCTACAAAGCATGGTGGCAGAACAACAGAATAACTTAGTTCTTCATAGAAAACTGGTTACTAAGGGACAACGCAATATTCTTGAATTAATTGTATTATAGAGACTATTGACATATGTGACCTGGTCTACCTATTTGTTTGTATCAATGTAATTCCCAATTATTGCAGTACATGGATATTCGTCAGGGCTACTACTAGAGTAGAGGTGGTTTGTGAGAGCAGTTAGCATTTAGAATTTGTGGTGAAATGCTGAGATAAACTGATCAAAACTAGTGAAGGACTAAGCAATCCTGAAAATCTTTGGGAGATTATCTGAAACCCATTCAATCATTTCTGAAATTGGGATTGAGAAATCAGTCCTGGTGGTAATATTCATGCTAACTTAAAATATGGATGAGCCAAACAACCTCTATTATACAACCATTTCAGTTGCACAACCATTTCAAGTGCACCAAGGTAAATACAATGATTCTCATCAGGGTGTCAAAATCCAACCTGAGATGCTAAAAGTGAAATTAAGGAAAACTTTGAGGCCCTTTTTAAAATAAGAGGCCCATTTTCTGAGGCTACGTGCCTTGCACCAATCTGCTAGTTCACTACCACACTCACCTCTCCGAGTTGAAGCTTGCTATCTGACAGCTTAGCTTCAAATCATGGCCTGCATTTGCACAATTGAGAGACTTTCATACATATTTCCTGGAAATACCAATGCTTGAAAAAATCGCTGATCTGTTATAAGCAAGATGACATTTGAATATTATATAAGGATTCATATATGTCTTTCTTCAAGTCTTGCTTCAATACCCATCCCCATCCCCTATACCATCCCCCATCCCTACTTCAACAGTTGTTGAAATAGATAAGGTTGGTCCAGGATCTTGAAGCAAGACTATTCTGAATTAATTCACTAACTATGTCCGTGATCTCCAAACGATTTTTTCTCACGTGGGTGAAAAATTCTCATTTTCACAATTCAGACCAAAATTGGTCAAAATATGCCCATTTTTCATGATTTTTCCCATTTTCACGTGCAAGCCTATTTTTAAAATCTCAGGTGGATGCTGCGCCCACTTGCTTTAATGCTGGGGAGATCACTGTGTTAATAGTTTTTCATTGTTTCAAGCTCTAATATTTACAGAAAAGAAGGCCTGTAACGAAGTCTATTGAAAAATAAACAAGCATTTTATTTTGTGGACAAATCAATTTACATAGATTCAATGAGATATTTCAGCCTCTATAATTGAGCCAGAAAAATGTCATTCATTTCAGTTTGTGAATTTCTAAGAGACCATTGGTAATCTATACAATTGTTCACGGTGAAATAAAACTGAAGAAATTATATATGTTAAAGGCAGCATATAGTTAGTCTAAATTAATATATACAAAAGAAGATCTATATCAAGTTGTTCTGAAGTGTTATTATTAACTTGCAATTAACATGGAATGTATATACATTTAATTGAAAGTAAAACAGTGTTTAATCTTAAAGGGCGGTTATATAGTCACTGGAAGCCATTGTATGTTTGTTATATCAGTAAAAATGTAAAAATTCCTAGCATTATATGCAATCTTTAAAGCTGACAAGAAGCCTGTAAACTACAGGGTGACCCAATGTAATGCTACATGCTGTCATTTACACTTAGGGAACACCCTGTAGATGTGGGAATATTGAATATGTGTTCTAGCTAAACTATAATGATGTAAATATTGTTAGATATATTACTTTGTTAATATTTCAGAAGAATTTATTTAAATCCTATCCTAATTGTGAGCGATTTCAAAAATCGCTGTAGAGAACTTTGTAGTATATATCAGTAATGAAGGATCACCTTAAAAATTTGCTACGAATTTTCAGTAGGTTTAATTCCAGAAAGGAAATATTTGCAAAGTTTCCAGAAATTCCTGGGATTCAATAGTATTTTGTTATGTGTCGAGTCCATTGACTGTAGATTACTGAAATTTAATTTAACAAAATTCTGAAATTGAAAAATATTAAATCACCAAAAACAGGACAGTGGTGCACATGGTGTATTCTCATACATGATTTAGAAATAGTGTAACTTGGAATTTATTATGCTGTTTAGCAATTATTTCGATTTTTGACATTTGGTGGCTTTTTGGTAGATTTGAGATTTCTGAGGCAGTTTTTAGGGAGGTTTATCTTTTGTTTTTAAGAGAACTTGTAATGTGAATGTGTAGTGCTATGACCCGTGGGGATATCTGTTCCAAACGAAAAATTCCAAAACTCACAAGAAATGATCAAGATATTGGTTCAAATCTTTTGGACTGTTTATTTTGAATTTATAGTTGGTCATAATTTCAGAAAATAAGGACATTTTGACATTTTCATTGTTGGAAAATATTGAGTTGCGATCATGGGAGCCAATTCTTCTTGCCTTATAGGCTAGGCAAATGGAAGTTTAACATCCCCAAAATTGCAACAGTTTTTAAATTAGGCTTATATTGTATATTGATACCAGTTGAAAAACATATCAAAAATGTAGAAAAATATATGCAGTGGACAAATATGAAATGTCACATTCTAGGTTCCCCCCTCCAAATTTGAGTATGGGATTGTAAATATTTGTTTATTTCAAAATGGGATGCTCTTCTCAACTAAACGAGTAATATTATGATAGTTTACTGACAAAAGAGCAACTAAAAATTGTTAACCAACTATTTGAGTGCAATTATTGGCATTTATAGCCCCAAATATATGAAAATAGGCCATCAAATAGCCCAAGTTTAATATAACAATGTATTTATTTCTGTATCTATTCATCAGAATTGCATGAAAAAAATCAAGGAGGTTATTATACACCTGATCATTGTATTTGATAAGTATCAGGGTCATTAAGTGGATATTGAGGGTGAAAATAATATTTGAAATTTCAATATTTTACCACACACACTTTTGGGGTGGCCTTACTTTTGTTTAATTACTTCCAAGATATGTCATATTTGAACTCAATAGCACAACTAAATTATTTGTAAAGGCTTATTTTGTCCTGAAAACAGTTTTTTGATGTTTTCAGGAAAGGATTATGTAAAAAAAAGTAGAAAAACGGCAAATGCCAGGTGAAATATAGGGGAAACCCTACTTTTAGTTGATAACTGCTAAATTATCAAATGTTTTTTCCTTTTAAATTCAATTTGATATATAATATACCTTTTCTGGTAAAAGAGAGAACAATTTGTTAGAAATTAAGTACAATAGGTGGTCTAAAAATATCCTTGAAAAGGCAACAAAATGTTAAATATCCCTGTCCCTGACATCAGTTTATTAATATGAGCCAAAAAAGGTAACCCAACCAAATGTTTGTTAATAACCCAGTCATTCAGCATGGGTGTGACATCATATTTGGCACAATTACCTTGTTCAGTGTTCTTTCATTCTACTAAGTGTCATTGATCTATCCTAAATAGTCACGATTTTATGGCCATTTACAAAATGTGCTCAAAATATCGAAATGTCCCTAACTGACTGGACATCAATACCACCATTTTTTATTATCTGTGGACCTTTTTTCTATACTAACAACACTTGAAACATTAAAACAAGAGATAAGAATGAAGATGAGAGCCATGACACAAGATTTTTATGCTCCTGATTTGAACAACTACGCACGATACGTTCAAGTTGGCCTCCAGGCATGACACTCATATTTCATGGCATGGTATAAAATGGTCATAAAAATCGTGACCACTAGAGATAGACCACTGAGACTGGGTAGATTGATAATACATTGACCAAGGCTCAATTCTGCCAAATGTGACACTAAATCCATGCAGGATGACTGGACTGGGTTATTAAGATTTGTTTGGGTTACGTTTTTGGCTCGCCCTGTATTAAGGAAAAAGTGTTACTTCTGACTAAGGTGTTCTTAACCACACAGTGATATTGAGAAATGAAATGAAGAATTTCAACTGAAGAATGTTGGATTTCAAGATGAAATTTAATAAAAAATGAGGAAAAGGTTTCTCCGTTAATAAATACTACTGAGTTAACTAGTGTAAATCCCTGGTCTTCATACAGGGCATGGCTCGATTATGTTATGTTCATTATCAAAAATGCTGCCTTAATTTTGTAATCTTAACCTTCATATATGTGTCTTACTTATAGAGAGCAAAAAATAATGCTGATTAAATAAGCGAAAAAAAATGTTGGGCCCTAAACCCCTAAAGTGGGCCCAAATTTTGAAATATTGAGGCCCATTTTCTTCAAAATTTGGCCTGAAGGCCCTCTTATGACCAAAAGGCCCACTTTTTAGGGCCTTAAAGCCTTTTTTTGGTCCCAAATTTTATTCTGCGCCCGCCTAAGGGGGCCCGGGCCGCCAGCCCCCTCCCCCACACAAATCCGCCAGTGTTCATTATTTAGTCATCATTATTTTCATGATCAGTTATGGAGGTATTTGCACAAATGCCTTTGCATACCTACTTCATAGAAGTACAATATGCCTTACACACACAATGGATGATCTATGAGAGAGGGGAGCTGCATTTAGGCAATGGGAACAAACGTTTCGTTGCTTATTTTCCAGCAGTTTATTTCCCTCCCACTCCTGGATCTGATGGTACACTCTATAATTGTTGTTTTCTGCAGCATCAGAAGTTGGAGGAAGAACACGGGGCTGTAATAATTCAGATCTTGCTGCTCTCTTTTAATAGAATTTTTGAAGCCTAAGTTCATTTAGGGTTTCACCATTTTTCCACCATAAATTGACAAAAGAGCATGTTCCTCTGCAATGATAGAGTTACATTACTTGCATTTCACTGGTTTTCCACTTGATTACGTTGTAACAAAATGTCGGAACATGGAAGATATTATTTTTCTTTTTTCCTTATTTCACGCGTTGTAGGTAGAATTATCACAAACATGTATCAGTATTAAATGTTTAAAAAATGTACATATTTGCGAACAAATAGTTCAGAAGACAACAGAATCGTAGATTTACTTCTTCACTTAAGTTACATAAACGGTAATTTGATAAACAGTTAAGATCTCACTTTGAACTGCCACCGTTTATGTAACTTAAGTAAGGAATTAAATCAACAATTCTGTTGTCTTCTGAGCTATTTTTGCGCAAACATGTACATTTTCTAAAACATATGATACTGATACACGATTGTGAGAAAAAACATCGTGGGGATTCTGCCTACAACGCGTGAAAAAAGGGAAAAAAGAAATATCGTGCCTTTGACGTTTAGACAGTTTGTTACCGAAACGACCCGTTTCGGTAACAAGCGTAATTGATCGGATCACCAGTGCTTTGATAATTTAAAAACAACCGCTTGTTTTCTCAAGAACTCACTCTTTTCTAATGACAGCTTCTTGTCTATGCCATATATAACCTGAATGCGTTGTCACACCCCAGAAAAGATAAACAAAATATTGTCACAGACCACTTTTCCCGAAGACAATCTCATTTCATTTATATTCCAACATTTTGATTCTTGGGTTGCTGCTTTTGGTTCAGGTTTGAAGAAAATGTTGAAGTTTGTGTTTTATGCATGATAAATGAGAAGCACAAGGAGATCTGTATGAGTACTGTTTTTGAGGTTTGGACACTTTGCATTGCAGTTTTCACAATCACAATATCTGCATCCGATTCTGAATGTAGCACATGAACACTCAATGTTTTCCAACCTGACAGACAGATTTACCATCATTCCTACGCACTGAAATTATATTAATGAAAGACTCCCCAGATATCTGAGATTTAAATGTGCTCTATCAGTTTAAATTCCGTTTAATAACCATAAATTTGTTTCTACAGCATTATACATCCAATTGATAGTTCCAAAGTAATGTACTCTTATGTAATGATTTATTTATCTGATGAATTTAAATTTTGTAATTGCAGATTGTAAATAATAATTTAAACAATATTAAATTCCACAGAAACTACAACTTACATTATTTAGATACTAGTAAGCCTAGTATAGAGCAGTTATCAAATACCCTAATATCAGAGTGGTGATATGTAATTATTCATCAAATACAAGTGAGGTCACCTTAACATTTCATAATAATAAGGTATAAACCGCCGAAAACTTGTATTTTAGATGATGACAATCCTATATAAATGATTTAGATGTCAACTCTAATACAAATGTGATGCATTGTGGGAGTTAGTCATCAAAACTATAGTCTCCCCTATAGAAGGCGGGGCAAAACTATGAAAATGAAATAATTTTTTTCTTCCTAAGTATACACGTTAGAATTCTGACACTCACCAAATATGAAGTTCATATAAATATGAAACACCATGATTTTTTCATGCTTTTCTGACAAACTGATCCTAAAATATCTAAATAGATATGTGATAACATGCCTGTTTTGTGGCCTATTTTGATATACTTTGGGGTCAAATGACCAATTACTGGTCTCAAAAATGATTAAAATAATATTTTAATTATTTGTGAATATGTGGTCTATCATAATAAAGCTTGAATACTCGACTAAAGTATTCCATTTGAGAAGGAAAAATTGTTTCCTACCAATACTCAATTTTTGGGTAGGGTTATAGGGGGTACCTAGGAAGTGAAATTTCATATTTGTCCACTGCATACATTTTTCTACATTTTTGATATGTTTTTCAACTGATATCAATACATAATATAAGACTAATTTAAAAACTGTTGCAATTTTGGGGATGTTTGGGCCTTTTATGAGCCTATTTGCTTGGCCTATTACTCAAGTAAGTAAATAATTCGAGGGGGCAAACTAGTTTTTGATTTAGGAAGATTTCTACCTTGAATTCTAAGACTTAAATAAAGTCTGGGACCATATCAACCACCTCAAGGGTTTTCCTGTACAAGGCTGTTTGATTCTAACATGTACGTTTGATTTGACATTATGTGTCAGTCAGTGTGGGTATTGAGTACATTTTGAAACCACTACGTTGATAAGCTAGTATGTAAGCTTCTCTTGGCAGGAACATTGCTTTATATAAATTTATTTTAAATTTTACAAAATAAATTTCAGTTTCAGAAATGTAAGTTGTAAATTGACCGTTCAGTTGTCAATATTCCAGAAATCCCTCATCGTGTATTTTGATGTTTAGGCTTTGTCTATTCTAAATTGTTGGTTATTAGAAAGTCAGTTATTGGAAAACATAAATTGAAAATATACAGACTTAGTAGAAAAGTGTTGAATACATAAACAAGAGTTATTGTAAGCTGTTCATTGTATTAGTTAATGAAAAACACAGAATGAAATTCTGCGCTAAAGGGGCTGGTGCGATGTTGATACAGTACACAGAACGTATTGTGATATATTATTTCAAAAATATTTGGAACAAGAGCACCCATCCATTTTGACTCTTGAAAAATACAATACACAGGCCCGCAACCTGCTTTTGCTGAGGGGGTTCACTTTCCAAAAAATCCAGGGGGTCGTTTGAAAATTTTGCTCAGAATGGTGAAAAACTGCATGATTTTGAAAAAACTGATTCCTTCTGGCTACAGGCCTGATCCAATAATCAACAATAAATTACTAGAAATCTCTTGTACAACTGAACAGTGTTGCTTAGCAGCAGCTTGCTTTAAAAGCATGTACATCAATTTTTCGGCCGTTTTTTTCTTCAGCTCATTCCCTTTTTTGTGTATTATGTAAAACTGTAGTATTCTCATATACGCACACTGCCCATGATGCAAATGCCTTGCTGACATATGTCTTATATTGAAGTTAAAAAATAATAAATAAATATATATATATAACATGTGAACCTAGATCAACCTTTTGTTTATTTTGTTATGTCACTACCAGAAGTGGTGACATATCTGCATTTTGTTAAGGCTCCAAAGTGGTGACATATTGTTAAGTCTCCAACTTTTTGTGAACAGTGTTTGGCGTTACATGTCTAAGAAATTCTTCTAGTATTACTTAATACTTTGTCATGTTAATGCCTTGTAATCTGATTGTTAATACTTATTGTTGTAATAGTCTTTTCTAATGAATCCAAAAGAGGGCAATAACAAGAGTAGTGACCATTGACTGCACAATGCTCTGCCAAAGGATCTTTAAAATGGATTGGAGCGAAATGTTTCTAGAAGATGAGTACAATTTTTATGTCACCACCAGAAATGGTGACATTGTTATAGTCTGTAACTTTTTAGTGGATGACATTTGGCGATTTTTGTTCGAGGTCTGAAACAATTTTGGATTACTAATCCGATAAATATTTGGTGAATTCGTACCATCTGAGGATTATGAGGGGGAACCCCCAAGATTTATCCAATTTGCATTGGATTTTTGGATAAAATATCCAAAAAGTAATCCACCTAAGAGGTAGATTGAGATTTTTTCTGAGATTAATCCCAGGATTGTACAATTGGTTAATTCTTGGATCAATCCCACAATGCATCATTAGCATGATGAAAACTATCCGGATCAGATTGCGGATCGTACAAATTCACCGCCCCTGGATTGATTAAGTTAGCCTTTATATTGTAATCTTACCTCAAACCTCTGGATAGGGCAAATTTGATATTAGTACTATTCATTAACAACAAAACTGGCAAACATCTTTGTTTTTAATCATATATAAAGAATAGATTTATTTCATAGAAATTAAGATTTACATAAATTACACGAATATTGCATTGATAGATTGTCGTCACTAATTGAAGAAATTGTTGAGACAAACCAGAGCAGGTTGTAATTCTAGTAAAAAATAAATAGTGACACATTTTTTACATACATTTCCATTTTTTCTTTTTAATATTCTTATGAAAGTGCAATCAAATGTTCCGTCCTGGATATCAATGTATTACGATATAGAATACATTTGAAAGACTTTGAAACTAATGCTAACTTCATGACCAAAGGCATTAATTTTCTTGCACCTTTTACATGAATCGGATCTCATGCAACAGCTTAACAGAAAAATCAAGTCCAATTGCACGCTTGGAAACTAAAATCTGGAGATATCACGTCCATATATTAATGTTTTTAACCAATCAATAGGCACTTGCATTCTTAGCCTCCAGCTTCCTAGTCGTGTCAAATACGCTGATCGCCATAGAAACCAAGAAGGGACTCCTGAAACAATATATACACTCATATTTTTCTTTTTCAACATGACAGATACAACAAGTGTTGAATCAAAATAAACAGGTTTTTACCATCGGCATTTTTTCTAAGGTGGGTGCAAATTTTCAATTCCAAAGTTGTTAACCATGTTTAGTAGTAGTAGTATTTTTATCCCATCGAACGAAGTTCGGAGGGATATAGGGAACGCCTCCGTCCGTCCGTCCGTACGTACGTCCGTCCGTACGTCCGTCCGTACGTCCGTCCGTACGTCCGTCCGTCCGTCCGTCCGTCCGGGCAATAACTCAAATACCGTTGGCCCGATTTTGTTCATATTTTGTACACATATACCCTATGGGAGTAGAAATTCTGCTCGAAAGCCGATTTTCAAAATGGCCTCTCATTTCAAAATGGCGGCCATTTTAGTGCCGATTTTACAGTAATTTAGGTGCAATATGTAAAACTGTAATAGCTATATGTTTTAAATGTAAAAAAATTATAAAGGACATTAATAATGCTACAAATGTAGATATTAAAGAAGCACATGGCAGCCATCTTGAAAAATGGCGGCCTTTACTCGTCATTTTACGATTTTTGCTGTTACTCAAAAAATAGTGGAGCGATTTTGTTCATATTTGGTATGTGAATACTATTAGCATTGCACACTGTCTCAAGACACTTTTGGTAGAAGGCAGCCATTTTGAAAAATGGCCGCCATTTTAATGATTTTACTTTAACTCGAAAAGTAGTGGAGCGATTTTGTTCATATTTGGTATGTGAATGATATAAGCATGGCACACTGTCCTATGACACTTTTGGTAGAAGGCGGCCATTTTGAAAAAAATTTTGAAAAATGGCCGCCATTTTAACATATTTTACTATAACTCGAAAAGAAGTGGAGCGATTTTGTTCATATTTGGTATGTGAATACTATAAGCATGGCACACTGTCTAATGACACTTTAAGTAGAAGTTGGCCATTTTGAAAAATGGCCGCCATTTTAACGTCATTTACTATAACTCGAAAAGTAGTGGAGCGATTTTGTTTATATTTGGTATGTGAATACAAAAAGCATTGCACACTGTCTAATGACGCTTTTGGTAGAAGGTGGCCATTTTGAAAAATGGCCCGATTTTAATGTTTTTTACTATAACTTAAAAAGTAGTGGAGCGATTTTGTTCATATTTGGTATGTTTCATATTTTATATGTGAATACTATAAGCATGGCACACTGTCTAATGACACTTTAAGTAGAAGTTGGCCATTTTGAAAAATGGCCGCCATTTTAACGTCATTTACTATAACTCGAAAAGTAGTGGAGCGATTTTGTTTATATTTGGTATGTGAATACAAAAAGCATTGCACACTGTCTAATGACGCTTTTGGTAGAAGGTGGCCATTTTGAAAAATGGCCCGATTTTAATGTTTTTTACTATAACTTAAAAAGTAGTGGAGCGATTTTGTTCATATTTGGTATGTTTCATATTTTATATGTGAATACTATAAGCATGGCACACTGTCTAATGACACTTTGGGTAGAAGGTGGCCATTTTGAAAAATGGCCACCATTTTTACGTTTTCTACTATAACTTGAAAAGTAGTGAAGTGATTTTTTCATATTTGATATGTGAATACTCATGAGCCTTGCATACTGTCTTATGACACTACGGATAGTATAGAAGGCTATTTTAAAAATGGCTGTCATTTTTACATTTTTTACTTTAACTCGAAAAGTAGTGGAACGATTTTGTTCATATTTGATATGTGAATACTTTAAGTATGGCACATTGTCTAGTAAAACTTTGGGGAGTAGTCGGCCATTTTGAAAAATGGCCACCATTTTTATGTGTGTTATTTTACAAGTATGTGTGCGATTTTTCAAAAATTTTATAGGTGGCTACTTAAAAGCATATTATTTCTTCTGATGACAACTTGGCAGTGAGCAACCATTTTGAAAATGGTGGCCTTTCTGGTGTGTTGTTTTATGATATTTGCTATTCGTTTGTAAAAATGCCAGTCATTTCTGTTCGATGGGATTCGCTACGCTTTGGCGTTGCCGTTGTTCTGGTTATTTATTTATTTAACCATATGTATTTTCACGACTCAATTTTCAACTGGATGCAATTGGGTTTTTAAATGGGTGCAAGTCTATTTTCAAAACCCTTAGTGGGTGCAGCCTCTACTTGCTTCAATAGTAGGGAGATCGCTAAGTCTTGTAAAATTCTGGACATTTTTAGAATAAAAGTACTTGACAATTGTGCTCATTTTCCAAAATTTATGTCATCATTGGCTTCCCAAAACCGAGAGTAATATGCAGCATAAAATATAGGGATTAGCAGTTCGATGTAGATTTTCTATATCGATTTTGTGAAGCTAGGGCCAGCATACATCCACTCTATAGCAAATGTGACTGAGGCTTTAACTGCTGTTACCTTGTAATTTGATCTCTGACATTTCTGTGATTGCCTCGTAGCGTCCTATATAAGCTAACATGCCCATACTCTTGAACTTAAATGGTTCAATCTCCTTTGCATCCATGCATAAGCATTTAGCGAGGTATCTGCCCTGTCTCTCAGCAACCTAGTGTAAAAATAAGAACATTCTTTTCAAAACTAAACCAGGCATTAATATAGTAAATTCATCCCTGGGAAATAGGAATATTATTGCCATGAAGTGATATAACACCGGTACCGTCTTTTATATCTCAATACTAGCCTGGGATGTACATGTTAATACTAGCCTGGGATGTACATGTTAATACTAGCCTGGGATGTACATGTTAATACTAGCCTGGGATGTACATGTTGATAACTATCTGGATTGTACATTTTAATATCAATATGGGCTATACATGTTAATACTAGCCTGGGATGTACATGTTAATACTTACTTGGGTTGCACATGTTAACGTTAACATGTACTGTCATGTCAATACTAGCCTAAGTTGTACATGTTAATAACTACCTAGGTTGTACATGTTAATATTAACCTGAGCTGTACATGTTAATACCTGCCTGGGTTGCACATTTTAACACAAACTTGGGCAGTACATGTTAATATTTACCTTGGCAGTACATGTTAATATTTACCTGGGCAGTACATGTTAATATTTACCTGGGCTGTACATGTTAATATTTACCTGGGCAGTACATGGTAGTGTAAAGTCCTCCACATCAGCACAATCCCCAATTGCATATATACTCTTGCTCTTATCACCCAACACATGGAGATACGAGTCTGTCAATATCTTCAAAATAAACAGATCATGTAGCTCATTTGTATAGCATTACTGTTGTGTACATGTTAAGACAGGTATATGATGCTTGGAGTATACCAAAGTACAGTAGAACCTGTGTAAGTTGAACACCTTTAGAACCACAAATAGTGTTCCACTTGCAAGGTGTTCCATTTACACGGAGGTTTATTAACATAAAGTCAATGGGCTACAGGACTTCTAAAAACCAATTCCACTTGTGAGGTGTTCCACTTAGCAGTTTCTACTGAGTAGTAGTGTAGTGTATTTTATCAATGGAGCTAGGCTTCCTTCAATAGAATGAAATGTTGAGATATTTTGGCAAAAAAAACAAAGTTTGATTATTTGCGCACCCTGTTGAGACAGGAGCAACTACAAATGTTTATTAATCGCTCACCTGACCTCGGCCATTCTTTGGTAAGTCTAGCTGCTCAGTGAATGGTCTTGGTGACAGTCCAGTACTCCATACTACTAAACCACATGGCACAACTGTACCATCTGATCAAGTCATATCTACTAATATCTATTAATCACTCACCTGGCCTCTGCCATTCTTTGGTAGGTCTAGCTGCTTAGTGAATGGTCTTGATGACAGTCCAGTACTCCATACTACTAAACCACATGGCACAACTGTACCATCTGATAGGGTCACACTGTCCTCTTTCACCTCTTGAGTAGAATAAAAAGTAGAAAATCCAAATTTTTCACAAAAACTAGCACATTTTATGAAAGTCTGGAATTAAGTTGCAAATAGTCAGTAAAACATGTCTAAGTGAACACTTCTCTCTAGAGAACACCTGGGTTAAGTGAACACCACTTAAAGTCATATTCTACATTGACTCCTGTAATAAAATTCTCTCTGTAGTGAACATCTACCTACAGTAAACCCTTTTTTGTGGGTCCATAGGTGTTCAATATAACAGGTTTCACTGTAAATGTAAAAAAGTAGGGAGAACCAAACAAAAGCAAATATATATTTGGGTCAATGTCAAATTCTCCAACAATTGACTTGCTAAAAATTAAGTTAAAATTTCATTATGGTTTTAACCCCCATTCTGCCCTCATATAACGAACATTGATTTGACTTTCACTTGAATTTTTAAAAAATTGGTGTTCTTCACCTGTGGTGAACTCCCTAGATTTTTTTTAAAAAACAAAAAACAAGATTTATTTTCGAAAAAAATTTAAATATGTATGCACCTGTGACTGAGGACTGTAAAAGCTGAAATTTTTCTCGTTGTTTTATTTTCTTCTCAGCATAATTCTGCAAACGTTTGTCAAAGGCTCCTAAGATCTTATTGGATTCTATAAGTGTCACACGTACATCTCTGAAGTCTTGTTTATATAAGCGAGAAACATCCTACAAACAGTCAGACCTGTATAGAGGTTGTGCATCTATGTCAACTTCTCAAAGTTAGTCTACGTTTTAAGATTTATAAATGTCAGTGCTATCCACAGCATACGATTGATGGGATTGCCGCACCTTTTTAAAATCCGGAAAATTGATGGCAAAAAATTGTTGGAAAATATGTATTCATTCTGAACAAACCTGCTCTACGAAGTCATATAATTCAGCGCCAAACTCCACACCTGTAGGGCCACCTCCAACAATAACAATATGTAACAATGCCTTCGTGGCCTCAGGGGAAATTCCTGGTTGGATTGCCAATTCAAAGTTATGTAAAATTCTGTTGCGTATTGCTCTGGCATCTGCAACTTCCTACAAAACATGTTTTCATTGGGATTGAAATGACTCAGAGTAAATACATAATAAATAAAGTGACCCAACCTTTACATAACAATTAAAATGACTCAACCTTTACATAATAATTTAAAGTGACTCAGACCAATAAAAAATAATAATTAAAGTTACTCAACCCTTACAGGCCTGTCAACTTGGGAACACCTAACATGAGTGACTTGGAAATGTTGAACACCTCCCCTCAAAATGTGGACACCTTGGTCCAAATCTGAACACCTTGATCCAAATTTTGAACACCTTTGTTTAATTTTAATTTTATTACATCTTGCCAAATTTTGAACACCTCAAATTTTTCGCGCTCGCTATGCTCACGTTTCAACAAACATCCATCAACGGGGGGGGGGGGGGGGGGGGGGGGGTAGGTACGAAAAATTTCGAACGGAATGCGTGACATATACGTAATTCGCGTGAAAAGTCCGAACGAAATGCGTACATTTTTTTCCCGCGTTCGTATTTTTGCTGTGTAGACGATCTTTTTTAGAAATTTTTCTACAGAAATATTTTTGCTTGACAATTACCAGGTAAAATGCGTATTTGCGTGACATTTTCTGTCACGCAAAAATAACTGCTGTGACTTCAAATTCTTCAGCAAATGCGTGACAAATACGCAAATTGCTGGACAGTTGACAGGCCTGATGATAACTTAATGACTCAGACCAATACATAATAGTTAAAGTGATTCAACCTTTGATTACCCATTCAACATATCATATTGAATATGGAAATAGAATGAATTCATCTTTCACCACTTTGTAAAGTACAACCCTACATGTAATAGGTCCCGATCTGATACAAGCAATTTTAGCATGTAACAATTGTTACTATTTCAATGCCCATTATACATTTTTTCTGTTTTCAGTGGCTAAAAATGATACAGAAACTCTAGGTGACAAACCCTAGTATCATCTGATCATGGACAAATGCTCAAGCAAAATTGAGTAATCTCGAGAACTTCTTGTTGATACTGACCTTGAGAAAAAATGCATGCTCCTCGACACCAGGTACTCCGAATGTGTTACTTAATGCTCCCACTCCTATTACAAGTTTGTCATATGAAAGTTTATAGACTAGATCTGGTTTCAATACACTGGTGCACAAAACTTCCTTATTTACTGGATCTACACTGGTCGCACTGGACAGATGGAAGTGGTCTGTTTTTCTAAATCCTGTATTTCTGACTGGCTCAATGATAGACCTGGAATGCACAAAAATGTGGGAATATACGAATATGGGAATTTTATATTTTACAATGGATGAATGGTTTTAACCTCTTGAATCCCAGGTTCTAAAATCAGTTGAAACCAGAGAATTTTTAATTTTTTCCAGCTTTTGACATTTTACAACATACATATACAAGAGGTGATGCTCAGTTATTATATATATTTTATGCACAAAAATTATTTGTGACTTATTATCTCGTCACTCTGGGTTTCACAGTTATTTCTGAGGTGACGAGAAATCTTGTCACTCTGGGTAGTCAAGAGGTTAATATAGAAAACAGTAATAGGGGAAAATTGGACCTTATGTGAAAAACTTAATAGTATCCTAATGATTAGCCAAGTAGGTGTTTAGAATACAGGTCAGAGAGTTGATCTTGCAAAAAGCCAAGCAAAAAGTCTCTAGCTATTAGGAAAATATTAAGTATTCGACTCACTGGATTGGGTGATTTAATGTTAATGCATCTCTTGTATGCTCCCATCCTCCATTAAATCCCATACAAAATTCTCATGCTTAAAACTGCAACAATTCAAGGAGCCCTTTTTAATGATTAATGAAGACCATGTTTAGGAAAATGACTGCATACCTGAATTCAAGAGTTCCGACAGTCGTGCTGCATAAAAGTGGCGTAAACAGGAAGTGATTACGAGGACTGACGACAATAACATCATACTTAGACTTGTCTATAGACTTCAGCACACTGTAACTAGCCCACCCTGTACCTGGAAAAGATCAATGCATTTTTTGACAAGGTCATGGTTAAATATTTGAGAAGTAAGTATACAAAAAACAAGTTAGGCATTCAGTAAGTGCTCATAAAAAAGCTATATTCGTTTTACTGAATACAGGGTAACCCAAAAATAGAACCCACAAATCTGTTCTGTTGAATGAACGATCCTGGGCCACCCTGTATTTCTGACTCATCTTTCTATTGTATTTGGAAAATGTATATACATGTTATCATATATTACTGTATTACATGAATATTTTTCTCACTGTACAGTATGATTTAAAGTATGATTGAGTTATTACAGAATTAATATCTTACCTAATATGACAAGTTTCTGTCTGCCTGTGTTAGAAGCTCCTGTGGAGGACTGCCTAATGAGGACTCTCAACTCTGCCTGACATGTGGGACTTTTAAACCCAGGACTTCTATTTGCATGGCAAAATAAGGACCTCCGACATATGGCTCTCGTTATAAAGCCCCATATGTCTCTGTTACAGATCTGTGAAACATGAGAGTGTGATTTTTCTCCGATGTGTACCATATTGCGCATTCCTATCAATGCCATTGTTTTTCATGGAGAGGAGTGCAGTGAATAATGATCAACTGGTGAAATAATTATTTGCGTAGGTTGAAGATGAAAGGGAATGTTTAATTCCAATCTCGTAGGTGCAGTCTATGTATGATCAGAAAACATCTGAAAAAAAGTTAAGATTTTATTGGCTTTCTACTTATCTAAGAATGCTTAAATGTTACTCGAGTCAATAGCCAATAGCAGGAAATACGGTGACAGCTTGGAAGGAGGTTATATTTATCATTGGCTTTCAAAGCCCATGTATTTATGTACTTCATGTACTTTATTTATGTACTCTTTATTTCAGGATAACTCTAGAAATCACAGGCCCAGGAAGATTTAGGCCCCCCAGTCACTGTATCACTTATGTAGGGGTATGAACTCTTGTTCCTGTGTCTGTGCCACATGCTATTGCAAGACTTACACCTGGCGTAACCGTCACCATGTTATTCAGTGTTTTTAAGTAGCGCAAGGATCCTGCCATGACCGTGGTAGTGTTATTGTGTAAGCCTGGTATAACCGTGACAACGCTGTATTATATTGCGAGGCCTGTCATGACCGTGGTAATGTTAAAGCCTGATATGACCGTGACAATGGTTGCAAGGCCTGTCATGACCCTGATAATGTTAAAGCCTCTTATAACCGTGTCAATGCTCGCAAGGCCTGTCATGACCGTGGTAATGCTAAAGCCTGATATGACCGTCATAACGATAGCAAAGCCTACCATGACCATGACAATGTTAAACCCTGTCATGACTGTGGTAAGGTTAAAGCCTGAAATGGACAATAGTTGCAAGGCCTCTCATGACCGTGGTTGTTTTAGATAACATTTAAAGTAGCATGAGAACACCGTAATGACCATTTTCCTCGTCTTTACCTGTCTACCTTTAATATGTAAATCAAGACTACTATACAATGTCATTTACATGGTACTCATGTTCATTGATACATAAAAATGTATATTAATTTCACAACGAAACCCTCATTTTTAAATCATAAATAATTTTCGAACAAACTATATCTCTACTCTCATTCAAGAAGGTTCCATAAGTTAAATCTTTAAACAAACTAATAACAGCAACGGAAGAAACATGAAATAAGCCATAAATGTCATATAAAGCGGCTACGGTCGCGCCAGGCTTACACGATTACATTGTCACGGTCATGGCAGGCATTCCAATATAACACAGCATTGTCACGTTTATACCAGACTTTCACGATAACACTACCACGGTCATGGCAGGATCCTTGTGCTACTTAAAAACACTGAATAACATGGTGACGGTTACGCCAGGCGTAAGTCTTGCAACTGATAGGGCCTCGTCTGTGCTAGGAATCCATAAAAACATTCTGAACATAATAAAGCAGTACGGATATACCATAAATCATAATAATAATGTACACTTGTTTATTTGTCCAACAGCAAGACAGTCTTATAAACCTTTCAACATGGTTAATTAAAGTTATAAGCAGGGCACGCCTTAAGCGTCGGACAGCTGGTCATTATCTGGTTACTTCTGATACTGACCAGTTGATTTTTTCACTAGGTATAGGAAAATAACATTGCAACTGGTCAGTAATGCCTTTTTGACCAGCAGCTCTGGAATCCTTAGGGCATACACTGGTTATAAGGATTTGGTTTTATGAATTTACAAATAAACATAATCCCCGGGTATTCATCTGCCTGAATTTCAAGCTTTTGATTTTTCACAAGAATTTCGCATTTTTCAAAGTTAGGCCTGAAAGTGAGCAAAAAGGTCCACAACTGATGGATTAAAAATAACATGAATATAACGTGGGTATGTACATCATATTTCTAATACTTACAATATGCACGAAACAGTGGAAAATCTCTAGTTGTTACAGAAAAATTGGAAACATTTCAAGTGTTTCAAGTCTTATTTTTTCGTTCAGTGTACTGCTCTACTTCCGGTTTTGGATTTCAAAAGAAAATGTTATCTTTCAAAACATTCATCGTTTTACTGCCTTATCCAGTTCAGCTGTCTATCTAATCACGCAAAGAGGTATGTCATATGATCGATAAACATTTGGTACTATTCAATGTTAGTATTTTTTATAGGCTTGATCTATGTATATCTAGAGTCTAAAATTCAATATTTTTTGAAGTCACTGAGTGAGTCAGTCATTGGCCTTCAACAGACTCTGAGTCTGACCTCTGAGACTAGAGAAAATGTTCAATTTTTTCTAAGCTGGACTGTCAGCCCCGGATGTCAATAGCTGTTAAATGAAATAAGCAGTCAGTGTAATCATTAATGCACTACGGTTCCAATTTATTGAATTCTTGAGTGAATGGCTCCAAAAATATTTTTATATGTCTCCCCTTTGAAGCTCTGGTCTCCCCATAAATGTACAAAATGTGATTTTGGTCACAAATATGACATACCTCAATAAATTCCTCACCAGTTTTATTGTTTGGTTGTAGCATGGGCTTTCAATTAGAGAGTCCATTTCATTGTTTAACTGCGTCAGTAAAAGCTAAAAAATAAGAAATCAAAATATCATTTTGCAATAATATATGGAAAAATATATTCCTATAGTATTGTACATGAATGACATTTGTATATCTTGGATTGCTTTTAGTTTGGCTTATAAAGTGTGTGGCCTCTTATATTTGGATGCTTCTCTGCCATGTTAATTTCAATAAGATTAACATCGCTGAAATTCTTCAAATTACAAAATGGCACAGGCTTATTGCACAAAAAACTAAAAAATCTGAAATATACAAATGTCATTCATGTACATCATGAATATACTTTTCCATATATTATTGCACAATGGTCTCCCAATGTCTTATTTTTGCCGTTCTACTGACGCAATGAAGCAGTGAAATGGACTCTAGTTCAATCTCCAATCCTATACATTTTAAGATTCATCGTTTGTGATATTTTATAGCTCTGTATCTGTTTTGTACAGTGTATGATCATTGTAAAGATCAGTGTATTCTTGTTTTTATCTTAGGTTATGCTGCACATGGAAACTACACAACACATGTACGCTACAGTCGTCACAGCAAGAATCTTCTTGGAATTCTATTGGATGAAGAAAAGTAGTTGGAAGACCTTCAGATGATACTCGATCTCATCTGCAACAATGGTGAATTAAGTTAAAACCACCAGGGATTTTATGGCGTCTGTGGTCAAAAAAGCAGTTTGATTAAATTCTTACTTTGAGAAAATGAGGAAGCTTAAACTAGGACAGTGTTTAGTTTACAGCTTTGTAGCATTTCTGCTATTAAATATGGTCATCTTCAACATGTGCATTTACTACGCTTATACATTACTACGGACTACTTTAACCGATTTACAAAGTGGAAGGACATGGTGGGAAAAACTAGCTGAATATCCCCAAATAAGGGATTTAATCCTCAATGCCAAAGAGGGTGGCTTAATAGCCATAGAACAGAACACTTTAGAGAGACTGTTCATCATGACGCACAATGTGCCAAAATCAAGTACTCGTATAAAGAAATACACAAAAGATCAAAGCAACAATATTGAACGATATGACACTATATCTTTCCTTGGTTTGGATGTTTCCAACGCTGGGGAGGCGTCATATGTATACAAGAGAATCATATCACGCAAGACATTCCCTTATGCAAAGTTAGTTGTAGATATAGGAGCCAATGATGGCCTTCTCTCCAGCAACTCTTTCAATTTCATCCAATGGGGCTGGGATGCTGTGCTAGTAGAACCAGTAGAACAACAGTTGGAATTAGCAAAAACAAATACTAAAAGGTAAAGTGTTGTAAATCTTTCCTCAGGATGGGGGTCAAAGGGTGCATTAAGTGGATGAGGGTGGGGTTCATGATTGTGGTGAGAGGTTACAACTTGTTGATGGGGTTGCAAGATTGAGGGTGGAATATAGGGTAGGGGTGCAAGATAGGAATGGGGGTGCAAGGTAGAAGTACTGGAAGTGATTGCAAAATGGAGTTGCAGGGTGAGGTGAATGGCAAAAGTGCAGGGTGAGGGATGGGGAACATGGTGGGGATGCAAGATGAAATTGAAATGTATGAGATGCTGGGAGGGGAGGAATCTATGCAAGATGGAGGTTGCAAGATGGGGTTACAGGGTGAGGTGTATGGCAAAAGTGCAGGATGAAGGTTGGGGAGCATGGTTTGGATGCAAAATGAAATTAAAATGTATGAGATGCTGGGAGGGGAGGAATCTATGCAAGATGGAGGTTGCAAGATGGGGTTACAGGGTGAGGTGTATGGCAAAAGTGCAGGATAGGTTGGGGAGCATGGTTTGGATGCAAGATGAAATTGAAATGTATGAGATGCTGGGAGGGGAGGAATCTATGTAAGATGGAGGTTGCAAGATGTAGTTGCAGGGTGAGGTGTATGGCAAAAGTGCAGGGTGAGGGATGGGGAGCATGGTGGGGATGCAAGATGAAATTGAAATGTATGAGATGCTGGGAGGGGTGGAATCTATGTAAGATGGAGGTTGCAAGATGGAGTTGCAGAGGTCCTAAATATGCCTCCAGATAGTCATAAAAACTTACATATAACAAAACTTTATCATTGTACATGTACATTGAGAATATTTCTGTTCGTTTCATACCAACTTCTTGTATAATATTGTTTTGCATTTTACAACATTCCTTTTTAATACAAGTCCAATATTCAGTTTAATATAACAAATTACTTGTTCAGGTATACAATATAATTTTATATGCATTTTATATATTTTGTAGATATGTCGACCCATACACCGATGGAAAACAGTTAGTTAGATTCATAAAAGCTATTATAGGTAACAAATCATTTAGAAATAAATACATGTAAATATATTTTGAAATGATCTAATTTGACCAAAACATTCATATTTCCTAAAGTAAGGCATAGTTTTTCGATTATAAAATGAAAATAATTGCTCTCCAAGAATTTTCTGTTAAGCGTAAACATCAAATTTGAATATGAAGTTTCTACTTCCATATAATCGCATTATGATTTATTTTCTAGGTACAAAAGATGGTTATGTCGACCTAGCATTGACCTCTGACCCTGTATCCATGGAGAATTATGTGTTGACTGCAGGCGAAACATTGCATAGAAACTTTGATGGCATTACTTTAGTGAAATCCATGACTGTCAAGACATTTATTGAAGACTACAACATTCCACGTGAATTTGGTGTGCTGTCTATTGATGCTGAAGGACTTGGCGACAAGGTAGGTTTCAAGGCCGAATAAGACCCACAGGGGGTGACAAAATTGCAAGTGTAACGAACCTGGGCAACCTTGTCTGGGAGCTGTAGTTTAACAAGCCAGATACTAAACATGAATTTGATTTTGAGTACTGTTACTTGGTGACAAGGTAGGTTTCAAGGCCGAATAAGACCCACAGGGGGTGACAAAATTGCAAGTGTAACGAACCTGGACAACCTTGTCCGGGGAGCTGTAGTGTAACAAGCCAGATACTAGACTTGAAAGGGAGGGTGCTAAATTCGATGCCCCATGCGGGAATCAAACCCAAAGACCCTCCGCTTGAAAGTCTGACATTCTTCTATAGCTGTAGGATATTATCTTTGATTTTACCTTATTTTTCAAAAATAAGGTTTATATCCGAGTCTATGTCACCACATGAAGTGTTATATATTGTTACAGTCTCCAACTTTTTTGTGGAGAGTGTTCAGTAGTTGATGTCTGGTGTTCGGCATCTGTAACAAATGGCAGGTGGTGACATTTTGCATGTTAATGCCTTGTGTTATTATTAATTAAAACTATTTTAGGGTTATTATCCCATCGAACAAAGTTCGGAGGGATATAGGGAACGCCTGCGTCCATGCGTCCGATTTTGTTTACCATTTCTCTTGCCAACCATTTTCCTTTACCATGAGAACATTTTCCGTTTCTATTATTTTATTATCATGAATAAGAAATATATTAAAACAAAACAATATATTTGTATTTGATTTTGAGTACTGTTATATCATACTTGTCAACAAGTTGATATTGGTATTTTATAACCATCATTTATTGATATAAATTGCAACTTTTTGATAAAATTAATGTCAAGTGATTGCTTTTATTCCGCTTATCATAATTAAGCTCATTGTCACTATAGCAACCCGAGTAGATCAATAGATTTGTAGTTTGTTCAGGAAAAAATGGATTAGTACTACTCAAAAGTGATCTTGCTCAGATATCTGATACAATAATTTGATAAAAATGATATTAACTTATCAATAATTAATCCACTGAAACTCAGAACTGTAATTATTATACAGGGTGTCTCAAAAGTAAAATGACTGGTGCTGGCATTTTGTTTTAGAATTCACCAATCATATTTATATTTTTATATTTAATCTTTTTTTCACATATTAGAACTTGAAATACATTTTCAAAATTTTTATGAAACACCGTTAGAGTTATGGTTGCCATTGTAACTCGACATCACAATAACTGAGCAACCTTTTATGACACGTCGCAAGAAGTCAGCGCACATATTGTTTTACATTTTCACTTTTTAACACTACAGAATGTGACGTTTTTGACAAAAATGTACACATATGGAAATCCTTTCGTCCTCCACATTTGCCTATACAAGTATATCTTAAAATATTAAGACGAATAACTCTGATATTAACATTGGGTTCGGAGCATCATTAAACATGAATCAATTGATATTTTATGTGAAATAAATATATGTGTTGCTGTGTTTGAAAAAGGGTAAATGCCGTAAATTCGCCTTATTTGAATGAATTTTGAAAACATTTCGTCCTCCACTTTTCCACATACAACAGAAAAAACATATGTTTGCGAACAAAATCAACTATTTAGTAGAGTTTATGAGCAAAATAATCATGTATGATTTATTAAAGATTGGTCTCATATTATTTGTTAATGTGCACCTGAATAATTGAAGGTAACAGAAAATGTCAAGTGAAAAAGGTCGCTGTTTCCAAACTATATGACATCACAATAAGTGACGCTTACCAGAATTCATCCTTTGAAATAACACTTCCATCTTCCTTTATCAAGACGAAAATTTGGGAAAAAACTCTTTTATAAAAAGAACGCAGAAGAATTGTGAAACCAGTGTACTTGATTTGAAAACTTCATTAAAGCAGCTTTAAAATGATATATAACTTTAATTACAATATTATCTTATATTCGATCGAAGAATTAAAGTTCATACGATACCCTAAAAAAACAAGAATGCCACCTTTTTGCGATGTGTCTATGAAAATGATAGTGTTGTTACATTTTGGGAAATGGTATGTACTGTAAAAAAGTATACTTTTGCTGAAAACTTTGTTTTGCAAATTTTATTGATACAATTAATAAACAGCATCTGTTTTTACATCATATTTAAAATATAAGCAGTATTATAAATTAGAAAAATAGTATCTAAACATTATTTACATAATACATTACATCAATGATCATTCTATGTCACATCAATACAGTAGTCTTTTATTTTACATTGAATTCTTCTCAACTGATGATATGTGAGTCTATCTCCTGCACACAGGGTGACTCAAAACAAAATTTAAAACATCCATATATCTTAGATTTAACCTTTTGAGATCTATAGGAAAGGCAAATTAAATCATCTGCCTATACCTTTAAAATTGGCAGGTGTTTAGTAATCTAACAAAATAAAACATGATCTGTATCACTAATACCATGCATTGACCCTACATTGTTTTTGGAGTATAGTTTGGAAAAACCTCCAGGATAAAATGTATGGAAGCAATCAATATATGATCATCATGCTGCAAATACATATTACCATAACACCATATTGTTATAGAAAAGGCAAATAAATATTACCATAACACAGAAGAGGCAAATAAATATTTTGTTTTTGTAGAAGTTGAATATTGATCAATTGTTAACTTTATTTTTCAGATCCTACATCAGTTTATGGACTTAAAGGTGCAGCCTGCCTATATAATATACGAGTCCATGCACAATGCAGAACATATAGAATCAACCGTTGAGTATATGGCTGCATTCAATTATGAATACATTGGATTCTTGGGCTGGAATCATATCTATGAATATCGGGGAAAGATGTCAAATAATGCAGAATTATGAGTGGCAGATTTAAATTGTGAATCACTAATGGACATTTGAATGGTTGAATTGAATGATTTGAATGAATGAATTTCAGTATTTTAACAATGTTAAAAAATAAGCGGTCATGAATTATGCCACAATATAATTCTGTGCAATTGTACATGCATGGTCTATTTTTACAACAATACAAGGTTATAGTGGCACCAAGCACCATTGTATCAGATGGAACACATCTCTTTAAGAAACACCTTTCTATATGCAGGCCCATAGCAACCCCCATGCAGTTTTTCACCATTTTGAGCAATTTTCAAGTGAATTTGGCCATTTCTAGGCCAGATTTGTTGAAAGTGACCCCCCCCGGAATTTTTAAAAAGTGAACAGTCCCCCTTGGCAAATCCTTGCTATGGGCCTGATATGGAACAGATTTTGCCAAATCCCATTAAATTGATGTTAATGAACTCTCTTTGTAAGGAACACCTGAATAAAAGGGACATTATTGGCCAGTATAGGCAGTGTTAGGACATATTTCACTCCACACTTTTGATACTTTTTTAAATAAAAGAATAAAATGATTGAAATCCAAAAAACAACAAAATTAAAGTTACATTATCCTATTGCTCGAAGGATGAGATAATGTATTTCTATGACTGTAATTTACAAGTATAAAAATAAATTACATTTCAATTCAGTCCTTGAAATCATTTGCCTCTAGATGTACAGACAATCTATTGCAGATGGTCAATCTTACGCAAACAAATTTTATGTGGGTTGGCAAATGTGTTGAACATGAAAACTTGAAAAGGGATGGTGATCAGTTGTCAACAGTAGTGGAATGGTGAAGTTGATTTTGTTAAATAAAGATTTTTGAAGTAAAAAATATTCAATTTCAAGTGAAATTCAAGAGAATAACAAATCAGCATGTCTTATTTTGTGATATGGGGAGGTGGAAGGTTTAACTGTGATATGGGGAGGTGGAAGGTTTAACTGTGATATGGGGAGGGGGAAGGTTTAACTGTGATATGGGGAGGGGGAAGGTTTAACTGTGATATGGGGAGGTGGAAGGTTTAACTGTGATATGGGGAGGGGGAAGGTTTAACTGTGATATGGGGAGGTGGAAGGTTTAACTGTGATATGGGGAGGGGGAAGGTTTAACTGTGATATGGGGAGGTGGAAGGTTTAACTGTGATATGGGGAGGGGGAAGGTTTAACTGTGATATGGGGAGGTGGAAGGTTTAACTGTGATATGGGGAGGGGGAAGGTTTAACTGTGATATGGGGAGGGGAAGGTTTAACTGTGATATGGGGAGGGGGAAGGTTTAACTGTGATATGGGGAGGGGGAAGGTTTAACTGTGATATGGGGAGGGGGAAGGTTTAACTGTGATATGGGGAGGGGGAAGGTTTAACTGTGATATGGAGGGGGAAGGTTTAACTGTGATATGGGGAGGGGAAGGTTTAACTGTGATATGGGGAGGGGGAAGGTTTAACTGTGATATGGGGAGGGGGAAGGTTTAACTGTGATATGGGGAGGGGGAAGGTTTAACTGTGATATGGGGAGGGGGAAGGTTTAACTGTGATATGGGGAGGGGGAAGGTTTAACTGTGATATGGAGAGGGGGAAAGTTTAACTGTGATATGGGGAGGGGAAAGGTTTAACTGTGATATGGGGAGGGGGAAGGTTTAACTGTTTAACCATAACAAAATTAATATCGTATTTTCACAACTGTTCTTTATCTGTTCTCCCATAATTATCTTAACTTGCTCCCTCCTTCCATCAGTTTTACATAATCATGCCCTTCATATTCTAAAAAATTGGGAGGTTAAGATATATGTTTTTAATAGAACTTGTACTTGGACGAGTAAAATTGCGGTTATCCAGGGATTGGCTCTCCCCTTGGTAGTAGTTAATTGCCCAATTGAGTATAAACATGAAATAAGGAATATACATGTAGTTGTAATTAAGTAATGCCAAAAATTAAACATGGCGCCAATCTGAAACTTCAGAATGCTTCTTGTCACTCAAAGTCACAAAAATAGTCGATTAACTTTTTTTGTATATTCTTCAGCCTTAGGTCACTGGAAGAACCAGTTGAGGAGAGGACAGTAATCTATGGGGGTCATAATATTGTACATTATCCTACACTTAGTGTACTAAATGTATAATAACATTAAAAAATAAATTTGATATGTATTGGCAAAATGAATAACTGGAGGATATCGTAACTCGGTGATATTGATATATGCACTCGTTCGCTTTGCTCTCTCGTGCAGATATCAATATCACCTCGTAGATAAAAATGATATTCCTCAAAATCATAGGATATCCTATAATTCATGTACAAGTTCTATTAAAAATATGTAACTTAACCTCCCTATTGTGTGATTTGATATCACCACCGCAAGTAGCTCATTTACAGAACACAAATCATTGGTTTCGTATTGAGGCAGATGAGGCATTTGCCTCACTACATGCCTCACCAAAATGTAACAAAAAATATATCCTCTTTGCTTAAGTTTTGCCTCTATTTTGGCTCATTAGTAGCTCCTGTCTACACCACTGGAGATATATAAATTCCTGGTATTGGGCTTAAAAATTGCATTGATCAGTTACCTTTGAACTTGTATGCTTGTTTATCAGATCAAGAATTGTTTGAAATTTTTCCTTTCCATTTACACCAGCACATTTCTTGCCACTTTCATTTTGTTTCTTTTTGTATTGTTTGTGTCTTATTTGTGCAAATGAATAATACAAGTTAAAGTTACTGGCTATGATGGGTATCGGCAAGGCAGTGATGATCATCCCGGTGATTGCACATAAAGCTCCAATCAGATACCCTGGCCAACTTAGTGGAGTGATATCCCCGTAGCCCACTGACGTAATAGTAATGATGGAGTACCAGAAGCCACGAAATAGGTTAGAGAATTGATGGTTCTCATGCTCTGCCAAAAAGATGATTGAGGCGAATACAATTGTGGACACCGCTAATAAGCACATAAGGAGTCCGAGCTCTTTGATACTAGCACGCAGACTGAAGTACATCACTCGTAGACCAGTGTTATGCTTAATCCCCTTAAAAAGTCTGAAAATTCTAAGAATTTTAAAACTACTCAAAAAACAATAGGCCAGCATTGCATTCACATTTGTATGCATTTCAAAAAAGGCGAATCGGATGATAAGTCGAACCCAAGCTGGAATGATACAAAATACATCGATCCAATTGAGAAATGATTTGAAGAATTCACACTTCCAAGGACACAAAAGGAATCGAATGGTGAACTCGAAGGTGAAGTAAACATCGCAGATGATATCGATGACATAGAGCCACAATGGCGGATCAGTGGTGATATATACGCTGAAGTGGCTGTATTTGCTGTGACCGAAGTAGTCTTGTAGGAGTTGTATTGTTGTATTTGGTATGTTTGGAATTGGGATTCTCAGTTCTTGTACAGACTCCAGGGTGAAGACAACAATTGTCATAAGTGTCATCAGAGAAAAGATTGCTGCCATCACCTGCAAGTAGAGATCAGCTGAATGTACTCTTTAAAGTAATCAAGTCAATGTTATCAGGAAGTCAACATTATAGTCAAGTCTATATTTGAATCAAGTCAATGTTATCAGGAAGTCAACATTATAGTCAAGTCTATCTTTTAATCAAGTCAATGTTGAGAGGAATTCAATGATATAGTCAAGTCTATATTTTAATCAAGTCAATGTTAAGTGGAGGTCAATGTTGAGAGGAAGTCAATTTTATGAGAAAATTAATTGATTATCAAGTCAAAATGTTATGAGGAATTATATGTAATGAGAAAGTCTGTGTTATGATCAAGTCAAATGAAAATTAAGTCAATGTTATGAGGAAGTCCAAGTCAAATGATAATCAAGTCAAGGTTACTATCAAGTCAATATTAAGAGAAGTCATTTTTATGATAAGGTCAATAAAATCAAGTCAATGTTGTGAGGAGAGAGTCAATGTTGATCAGGTCCAAGTATAATCAAGTCAGTAACTATAATGATCAAGATAGATTATATTCAAGTCAATGTAATGAGGAAGCTGTTGTTATAGTCAAGCCAATGTTATAATCAAGTCAGTGTTTTAATCAAGTCAATAATATGATGAAGTCAATGATAATCAAGTCAATCTTACATTGAGGTCAATGTCATAATCAGGTCAATGTTATGATGCCAAACCTATCAATCTCATAACGGTGTTAATCGTCATGATCAAGTTAACTGTATACACGAGACAATTTCATTATGAAGTCATTTGTATAACTGAGTCAATCTTATACTCAACTCAGTTTTGTCATGAAGTCAATTGTATAAACGAGTCAAACTTACATATGACTTATACTCAAGTCAGTTACATTATGAAGACAATTGTATAAACGAGTCAAACTTATACTCAAGTCAATTACATTATGAAGACAATTGCAAAACTGAGTCAATCTTATCCTCAAGTCAATTAAATTATGAAGTCAATTGTATAATTGAGTCAATCTAACACTTAAGTCAATTTTATACCCATGCTTTAATTGCTTATGATCAAGTTAATTGTATAATTGGATCGATTAAATATATTATAATTAATATTATAATCAAGTGATTCTAATAATAAATTCAATGATAAGATATTGACTCGAGATTATCGTATAATCGAGTCAGTTGTAAACTCAAGTCAATGTCACAATAAACTCAAAGTAGTCTCGTTAGGGGAGCCATCAAAAGTTCAATGTCTGATAGGAAACTAAATAAATCTAGTTTTGAGTTTGACCCCCTCCCCCCCCCCCCCAAAACTAAATACCATGAAAGTTGATCGCGGACTTCGCCTGTTTTCTTGGACGTGGACTTTAGTGGCGCCATTACCATAATTTATTTAGAATTCTTAAAACATGTAACAACCCCCGTAACTAGATTTATTTAGTTTCCTATCAGTCATTGATCTTGTGATGCCTCCCCTTACCAAGTCGATCTAATAATGATGTAAATCTTTAAATCGAGTTTAATTCTTAATAAACAAGCGTCCCGGTGATTCCCTAATCATAAACTGCCATTAGGGGAGTACGGCGTAATATATAATTGAGAATTGTCATTAAGGTATGGTATTAATTCTCTAAGTACTTGCTTGATATTTGCATTGGCAACTGACGTTAATTGATATGAAAACATATTCTGTAGAATTCCCATGAGCCCTGATCTGCTTTGTAGGTCTGTGTAATCATCTTTGAAAAACATACGTATACTTAACTAGAATTCGCTTGATGCTAATACGCCATTAAACGCAGATACTAATATTACACGAGAGAGCACTTCTGAAAATTATTAAATTGTGGTGATAAGGTAGTAATGGGTCATTCGGGAAAACTTTAGTTCAAATTGATTGTACGTCTACTCAACAAGCTTTGTCCTATAATGGTTAATATCCCTATATCCTTGTTTTTCTATTTTCATAGACTTGTTTTTTGTATTTTTTAATTTAGTAATTTCAACGGTTAATATTGTTAACATTGGTTTATACATTGATAAATGCTTGAGGTTATCCTGACATTGATTATCTTTATTGCATATTTCATCATTTATGACAAGCATCTACCTTACTGTTTTGTCCAAGCTCATATTGCACTTGCGGATCTGGGAGTGGGGGAGGGGCAGGGGCCGTGGGTGGGCTCAGAAAGAATTTGTTATGGAGCTTTTTTGGCACGAGTGGATCTTTTTTCGCGCAAGTGCGGTATTTTTTTCATACTTGGAATTTGGGCACCCCCTTGTTGGTTCCTGGATCCGCCCCTGTATTGAGACCATGACATATAGGATGTATCTACAGTATTCACTTGACGAACGTATATATGTAAAAAGGCCCTACAGATTGACGTTAAGGTTTTTACAAAGCGGAAAACGTTAATCTTCTCTTCGTTTTCTCGAGAGATACACATCTTACCTTCGGGATAAACCTTGTCTCCAGAACTTTCGAGTACATAACTCTTGCATATCTGGGCCGCTTAACACAAATGCGTAGTGGTAAGCTTAGTGGAAAACGTTCATATACAACCAGATACCTCGTGTCTGAGGATAGGCGTCATTCAAAATACAATGCTGTTCAAAACTAAAAAAGGCACCCAAACATTGTTGATAAGAACTCAGTCATCCAGCATTCATATTTTGCATACGGTAACTGAGCCTCATTCAATCTTTCTTTCTACCTAGTTCCACCAGTCTATTCCAAATACTGACAATTTCATGGCCATTTGAGGCACATTTGAACGCATCGGGTTAAGTTGTTCTGACTACACGCTAGATATCTTGTGTAAATTTCCTTCTAATCTCTTTTTTCAACGCTCTGATACTTCTTGGCTTGTTAGTGAAGACATATTATAAACAGCCTCGAAGATAAAAGTTTGGGGATTCACATCGGGTGAGTTTTGGCATGTTTCGGCATGAGCACCTTTTGTAAAATGGCCATAATATCATGACCATTGGTAATAGACCAATGAAACTTAAACGAATGAAAGCATACTGGAAAAAGGTTCAATAAATTGTGCCAAACATGGCTTTAAACATATGCTGAATGACTGCGTCATTAAGCCTAACAGTTGTTTAGGTTACTTTTTTCGCTCAACCTGTATTTCCAATTTGAATATGAAATCTTGCTCGCGAGGCGAAGATAACTGGAATAACTACACGTAATGAATCCATTTATCGCAAAAAAAGATTAAAGAAATCGCTACTCCGCCATTAAACCCATCGACTTGAAGCAGCCGCTGGAAATCGCTTTACATTCCTGATTAGATTATTTTATTAGAAACACTTAACCTTGAGACTTATCTTATTTACCTTTCCATAGCGATTACATCCTGGGACGTCCATTATCTTAAACAGGTATGTCCGTGTACATTGTACATCCGAATAAGTCAGCGTTCCGCTCTTCTCTAGGCACGGCATAGCTGGGTCGTCGAATCCCATTGCCTTTTCTACCATCTTCATCGTTTCCTCCTCTTCTTCATACGCTTTGTAAGCCCTCCAACAACACGGGGAGATAAAGTCCTCGGAGATTTCCCAGAAATCCAATTCCGTCTGCAAGTATCAATACACCACTTGTTATTTTGTATTAGGGTTTGAAGTCATGCTTTCAAAAAGTACCAAGTTGTTCAAGATTTAGAAAGAATAAGTGTTGCGACTAACAATCTTAAGAGTTCTTTCATAGAAGTTTTTTGAACATTTGGAAGAAATTATTGAGATGCCGTGACGTAGTCTGTTGCATTATGTTTCAATTGAATTCATATGACAGTTTTGAAAGGTCAAACAAGGCCAAAGAAAGGTCAAATCTCAGATTCAAGGTCAGGTACGAGTTTTAAAATAATCTCTATTGAACTTTGATCAGGTTGAAGTTGACAGTCAGTAGTGCCAACTTTTTCTTTGAGTCGCATGGAGTCGGGACCATGAGCTTATTGTAATGGAAACCTCCAGTTACTATTATCAGGGATATAAGCAAATGGATCTGTCTGAAAACAATATCAAGGTGGAAATAATTTATTGTACAACAAACTTTGCTAAAAGTAGATGTAGCTGTAATCTATGGTAATATATCGATTTATAAAACACAACGTTTGTTGACTAGTTGGTTTGGTGAGGTCACATGATGCCTATTCAGTAGATCGACAACATACATAATGATTGTCTCCCCAGGTCGATGTCGCTCTATACCATTTACCTGGGTACCCGCCGCCCCCTTTTAATATCTCTTTTCGACTGGCTCTTATTTACTATCAATTCTCATCCCCTTCTCGCCCCCCCCCCTCCTCCATGTATTAGTATTTGAATCCATATTTCAGTATCCCGAACGAAGTTATTGAAGATGGCTCCGTTATGTACATCCGTCTAGGCAACAACTCAAATACCGTTGCATCAATATCGTTTATATTTTATACGTATAGCCCATGGGAGTACAATTTCTGTTCGAAAGCCAATTTTCAAAATGGCTACCGGTTACAAAACGACCGCTATTTTAGTGTCAACTTTACAGTATTTTAAGTACAACATGAAACAGTACTCAAACTCAAAAGTAGTAGAGTCACAGATTTTATTAAAATTTTATATGTGCCTACTTTAATTCGGATAGTGAGTGGCCATTTTGAAAATGGCTGCAATTTTTATGTGTTGTTATTTTGCGATTTTTACAATAACTGAAAAAGAGGTTGAGGGATTTTGTAAAAACGGCAGGCATGGCTGTTCGATTGGATTTGCTACGTCTTGGCGTTGCTGTAATCTCGTTCCACCTGCTTGAATATTCACCCCGCGTATTTTCAACCCCTTTACGCTAAAATTTCTAGCTCAATAATCATACATACGCCGTCTTTGCATTGAATGAGGATTTAATCTACGGCCTCTCTTTGTCAACTTATTTCCTCCTTAATTATTGAAGTGATTCAAGTTATATGTTCTTATGAAATGCCACCACTTGAAACGTCAACTTGAGCAAAAAGAGAAGTCTGGAGGGCATAGTTTGAACATTCAAGAGTCACTTATGTTGATAACGAGCTCAGCTAATAGCTTTGGGAAACTGCAAAGGAGTGTAAATTACATGGCCTTATACAGTTACCTTAATCCCATCTTGATTCACAAGGTTTCTATTGTTCCTACCTCTTGTCCCTAGACCAAGTTGAAAGCGACGATATGCGTTATTCATCGGGGTGAATACCAAACCTTTGCTTATTCCACAGTTATTGATATTCATGGGGCATCACGTCAGAATAATTTTTATTATTTCTTAATACTAGTAATGTTCAAACAATGATAAAATATAATATATTTCATTCAAAAACAAGTAAATAATGCATTGTTCGCTAAAGATGTCCCGGGAAGATGTCCTACGAGGTCCAGAGTCTAGTGGAATGTCATCCTATGAAAGGGCCACAGATATTCAAAAATATAACTCGCGAAAATATGGGGAATGGAATATTTGTTTTATTACATCACTGGCAAGCATAACACCCTCAATATCATTAAAACGTAACGTGTTGAAACGTAATGCTTTTAATGCCTCGTATACTAAGCTCCGACTAAACTTGTATTCGCGAATGCAACTTTCGACTGTCGGCTACCGGATTAACCTACTGTTTCATTTGAATTTGAATAGTACCTGCCAATATTTCATTCATATCTAAATGAGTTGATCATAAAATAGCAGGTTAATCTGGTAGCCGCTAGCCGATATTTGCATTCACGAATACAAGCTAAGTATTTAACAAACAATCACACACTTTCTTGATCAATCGAGGCATTAACTGTGTCAACATATAATTCTCTATTCAATAACTGGAGTTTGATGATTTAATTGTCCCTGAATATATTTCTTGGCTAAGATATGATGTACATTGACCTATACCCTTGTTTGGATCGAATATGATAAATTATTCTACTTATACCCGTTCCGATCTGAAATAATCCATGTAAAATACCCCTGGTAATGTCGCAAACAAGGATATGAATAATTTTAGAACACCCATGCAGATATATTGCAAGTGGACGAATATGAGGTATGGTTACCATTACCACCTGTTTGCACATACGTACACATGCGTACAGATAGTCGAATGATGGACGTACATGTAACCATCCTCGCACGCTCGGTCTTCCCTGCGTTTAGACCAACGGGAGCCGAGTGAACGAAGGTGGGACGTAACAAAAGAAATGATATTTCAGTTCATTTTATCACTGTATTCCCGAGCCTCAGGATACCACGAGTTTTTAACGGGTTTATAGCATTTATACAGACAGCAGTTAAAGCAATAGTTATGGATTGGCGCATCAACGGAACAAGGGGTAGATCTGCAATCGATAGACGGAGAAAGAGCTGCGTGTGTTCAATGTGGAGGGGAAGTACATGAATTAATAGAGCAAATATTTTTGCTTGTCCTTGTAAAGTTTGTCGATTTGATTGCTTGTCGATTGTTGGATCTTTGATATTGTACGGGGACGACCCTGGAAGTTGACTGAAGTAAGGGACCAAATATGTATATTTTGAACTTGTATAAAACACGTCATTTTCTTGAAACTGTACTTAGTGTCCACTGGCAGATCCAGAAGCTGACAAGGGGGAGTAAATTTCAAAAGACAAAAAAATTTCCGCGGAATCTTTTTTGAAATCGTAAGGCCTATGTTTCGATAATTTGGCCTTTAGAGGCCTATGGGGGGGTATGGGTTCCCCCTGGATCCGCCAGTGATGTCAGTATCGCGTCCCACACTTTATTGATTCGATTGTCTCTGAGATGACTTTGATCAACGCCGTTCTTGTAATCGGGTGCTCCACATTGCGATGTGTTGTATGCATTTTATCCCATGATACTACTTCCCAATTCCCGTTCCCGGTGAATAACACCAGGGAATACATTTTTGGCATTGTAAAAATCATATTGTCCCTCTTCCTCGTTATCCCTCTCATGAAAATGGTATTCACCTGCCGATTCCTCTCGCGAAAATAGTATTCAACTCCCGGGAATTTCTGCCAAACAACGCTTTCTATTTTGTTCAGCTAGGTCAGTATAGCGAGTTATTCCTAGGCAAAAGACGATCTTTTTTGAACAAATTTGAAAATAGAGATTTTGAATTTATGTTTCAAAATGTCGTAAAGTTAAGTCATATTTTGTAGACTAGAATATAGTCTGGTTTTGTTTCATAGAATCATACAAAAATCAGATATGGATTCTGCACCAATAATTCCATGAAGAGTCATAAACATCATGGGATAAAAAGCTTATTTACTGATCGGGATTGAATATAGGTTTATTGCACATGACAATATGATACTTCCCTTTGGCCTTCGGGGAATATCATATTGTCACGAAGAATAAAACCCATACCTAATCCCTATCAGGAAATAACCACCTCTATTAATTGTCCATAGTACAATGTTGTGCACATGAAATTAAGATGAAAATAAAAAATTAACATTTAAAAAACGTTGATATATAAAAGACCCAGCAAAAAAGATAAATATGGAGCAACGAAACAAACAAACAAGCAATAAATCAAATGATAACAAACAAAACCAAACAAGCAAACCGTATCTCACCTTTACTTGTGGGCCACATATATTGGTAGGTATATGCAGATCCCCTGTGCGGTAAAACTCTAAAATGGCTGCAAAAATAAGAGGATTTCTATCAAAGAAGAATTCATTAGCTCCAGCATCATAATTCTTTGTTTTATATCGGGTAAGATCCGCCAGTTTTGTTTTGGGGATATTCTCAAGCGTGCTTCTTAGGGTAGTGAACCGTACCCCTCCTACGTCGATTGTAATCCGCTCCATGTTCTACTCTCAGGGCCTGCTACCAGGCGTTCCCCGATTCCAGGGGCTACAGGCCAATAATAAGTATGTAATACATCCAAGTGCTATCCTGCTATGAAATTCTAGCCACTGAATCACATTATTTATAATATTGGATTGATTATAATGTTTAGAATGAAATTAATATAACAAAATAGTTCTATATAACGGCTTATCGTTATTTATCGGAGTCGACGGATCTGCTGGTATCTAAACATTCATTGTACTGCCAATCGATCAGTGTTTGTTGTCTTCCCTTCATTCAGATAATTATTACGAACAGCGAGTGCGTATAAATACATCACATGTGCTTCTAGAATATATTTAGTTCTATTATAGTCAACCATCTACCGCATTCTAATACTCATAGCATCTTTCTGTTTCACCTGAGGACCGAGAAGATTTGAGATGTCATGGTTTACCATGATGCATCTAACGTATATAGAGTAGTGTGCTGGGAGAGGAAACTTGCCTTCACCTGTCTAGGTCCAATCTCACAGAGTAGTGCGTTGGAAAAACTGTGTTTACCTGTCTAGTTCTCCGTTTTACAGAGTAGTGTGCTTGGAGGACTTGTCTTCTGAATCTATCTATAGTAGGTTATAGTCTTACAGAGTAATGTACTGAGAGAGTACTATCAAATATATAATTTAACAATCCCCTATACTGACCGGTGTCATCTTCCTCTGCAAGGTTGAGCTCAAGACAAGAGCTCAAGCTCAAGAGAAGTGTTATACAATATATAACTACAAGCAAATTTCAATTTGAACTCGACTGTATCGCGTTACTAATATTGTGGTCAAGAAATATAAAACGTAATATAACATGGGGTCACCCAAGGTTGCTTTATAAAAACGACTTTTGCATAAAGGACCGCGAGTCATTCTGATTTATCTGATTTATCCCTCTTTACCTAACGCTTTTGAGAGAACTATTCCAAAAGGATAGTAAAGGCTGTGGATCCCACAATGACCGCGAGTTGTTTGTGGAATGAATCTGAGGAGCTTTTTCATGCATTTCGCTTGTGTTCTTCATCTATAATGTGTTTATAATTGTATTGATGTGTCGCAAAAAGGTCGCGCACGCATTGTTACACATTTTGTGGCGTAATCCAGATGATCCTCGCTTTTAACACGATAGAATGTGACGTTTTTGAGAAAAATGTACACACATGAAAATCCTTTCGTCCTCCACATTTACCTCTATATCTCAAAACATTTTAGACGAATAACTCTGATATCATATATATATTGCTAATGGGCTAGGAGCATCATAAAACACGAATCAATTGATATTTTAGGTGAAATAAATATACGTGTCGCTGTGCTTGAAAATAGGCGAATGGCGTAAATCAGCCCTATTTTAATGAATTTTGAAAACCTTTCGTCCTCCACTTTTCCACATACAACAGAAAACACATACTTTTGCGAACAAAATCAACAATTTATTAATAAACTAGAGTTTAAGAGCAAAATAATCATGTATGATTTATTAAAAATTGATCTCGTATTTTTTGTTTAATGTACACCTGAAAAGTTGAAGGTAACAAAAAATGAGCAAAAAAGGTCGCTGTCAACAGATTCTATTTTTCAAACTCTATGACGTCACAATATGGGACGCTTACTAAAATTCATCCTTTGAAATAAAACTTCTATCTACCTTTATCAAGACGAAAAATAAGTATAATAGTCATATATTGTTTGAGTTATGAGCGTTTAAAGACGAAAAATAATTCAAAATGTAACGTGTCAACATGGGATATTTGCCAGATGTTTTGGTAAAAAACTCTTTTTTAAAAAAGAACGCGCGAGAATTGTGAACGGAGTGTAGTTGATCTAAAAACTTCATCGAAACAGCTTTAAAATGATATATAACTATAATTTGAATATTGTTTTATAATCCGGGGAATCAAATTTACATTCACGCGATACCCTTAAAAAACAAATGCGCCACCTTTTTGCGACACGTCATTATACTATGTGTATTAATGATTAACTTTCCTGTCATCTCAAAATCTGCTTGGAACTATACCATTGGATTACTATGGGAAATTCCTCAACGGGTGTATTCTTGGGATTAGGGAATTTAATTTTACACAATTTGAGAAATTATTGGCAAATATGAAACCTATTTAAAACAGCATTAATATTATTCAAAAGCGACCGTAATAATGATTCCCAGCCCTCTGAAGTTTGAAAAATAACAATACCTGGGTGTTAATCCATAGATAATCCTTGAAAATGAGAAATATTTTTTTAGGATTATATTGTGGAATCTTATAGTCAATAAAATGGTTTAAAGTGTATTAATGTTTTAAGATGAAAAACACAAGCAAAATGCATGAAAAAGCTCCTAGATTCATTCTACAAACTACTCGTGGTCCTTTCTTGAACTTTTTACCACATAATTGCATTTCAAATATGATATTAATTGATTTTGATTAAAAGCAAGTACTCTTGATTAACAAGAGAATATAGAATTTGGAAAATGTCAAAAAGATGGTTCTAACAGGATGCAAACACCTGCAATAGTAAACAATCTGTATGGGGCAATGTTTTAGTGTCTTATACATGTCTCGTTACCTTTTTACCTTTTACCTTTTTAAGGTAACGAGACATGTATAAAGGTACAGGGTAACAAAAATGTTAGCCAAATAAATATCTATAATGGCTTAGAAATCTGATGATATCCCCAAGTTAAGTCAATAGTGCATATCTCCATGTTAAGTCATCCTTGTCAAAATCCTCTGTTACCGGGAAAATGTAGCATAACCAAATGTAGATCATATGTGTAGGATATGCAGTAGCTCTTAGAGAAATCAGTAGGGATTTATTCGTTGACGCCTGGCGCCTGACATATCCAAATGTTGATGTAGGGACATTACAGTATAAATACACTGGTAATCGGATATTTAAAGATCTAATAGCAAAGGTTTTGCAAAAATAAATCAATGTAGTATAAAACAAATGTATGTATTATGAAGAAATAAATATATAATGAAAAAAATAGATATGTGTTTGTAATATTGGTATAAACTTAAGATTAAAAAGTGTCACTATCTCTTTCATTTTTCAACAAATATAGGCTCACGTGACATGTGACGCGGGGCAGTCAATTTTGATCTATCGTAGACCATATCAGTATCAAATTACTGATATTTCAACCTCGTCTTGCGAGGCCATTTTGATTTGAAACATCTTGAATTTGGTGTCAAAATGAAGCTGGTCACGCCCACTTTCAGAGTTATCAATGAATCATTTACTACGACTACTATATTCATTTAGGAGGCGTGTAAAGTTAACCAATCAGAAAGACAATTGTTCCATATATGGCAGTTCATTAACATATTCAGTGTTTACTACTGCTTTTCACGTCATGACAACACGAGTAGTAACCAATCAAGATGCCGTATTTTATCACGTGAGTTCAGAGTGACACGCACGCGACATGTTGTCTGGGGTGATCGCGATGTTGAACAATTTCTTCTCGGAATTTGTCCAGAGAAATCAGCGATTCTAAATTAAGGTAGGATCTGCCATTTTTTCCTGTACAAGTTATAACTTATCTCTATCGAATCCTAAAGTTTTGGAAGAAGATATGAGCGTAGGTTTAAAAACGAAGCGATTAATTTGACGATCTGATTTTGCAATTTGCAATGGCCAATTTACTGCAAGTCCAGTGCATGTATTTGACAAGAGATAGCGCCAAGTCTGGTATCTAAATGCTTGTTAAGCCACTCAAAAACAAGATCCATATCTTCTAAATTTGATAACTTTGCAGAAAACCTGTTTTCATAATCTGTTTTCCGCGTCTAGATTCAAACTGAGTATGATAATAGTATCGCTTCAGTCAATGGCAACGGGTCTTCATTCCAGAACTCACATTTTTAGTTGATTCTCCGTCATATCCTTAAATTGTCTTCATTCAAATTACACCCTCTCGCCGATTTATATAGTCATTTCCCAGAACCCGGGAATCAGAATCGCTGATGTTTGCCATATTGAACATATTATATGTACTGTAATATCTGTACATTGACTGCTACGTGTAATGGTCACGTGACTAGCGCGATACAGGAAAAATGGGGAATTTCGAAACAACAATTTTTGGGCACTTTTATTGCAAATTTCAGGTATTTATAAAGTGTTTGTGGTATAAAATATAATCCACAGACATAAATGAACATCCAAACTACATATTTCATTAAGTTTTGGAGCCTTTTTTGCTCTTAAATCAACATCTTTAACGTGCTTTAGAAAAAAGCATCTAAGCTTGTATGAACTTAACTCATTTTGAGAGACAAAAAGATCAAGTGTTAGATGAAAGTTCTTGGTCTTGTCTTCAGTTTTATATATTGACAACAGAGCCTGCCTCGTAGCCAGCTTTTGCCAAGGGGATTCACTTTTCAAAATAAATCCCAGGAAGGGGGTCACTTTGACAAAGGCCAAAAATCATTGAAAATGCTAAAAAATGGCAAAAACTTGTCCGTTAATTTTAAAATGACCACCAATGTTCATCTTGACCAATGTCCATTTTTACTTAAAGTCTTTTATGATCAATGTCATTGGTGTCCCTTATTGGTAAACGGATCTAAAGTTCCTAAACATTAAGGCCGAGACTTTTTATAGTTTTCATCTTCACTTTATTTTCTAATTTCCAATTGTACAAAGTTCTACACAATTCCATTTCTTCAGATCTTAAACATTCCTCCACTTTCCAAACCCATCTTGCCCTCTCTAACCTGCTCTTATCTTTCTTCAAACCCACAGTCCTTCATGTGGCCCCTGTCTCATTTGTACACATTTTATACCCAGACATTTAGTCTACTGCACTGATATTGACTTTCAAACTGCGCTTTGCCTCTAAGGTAATAGATTCTGTTTCTCAAGACGTTTTGCCTCACCATTTACAGCCGAATTCCACAAGAGGTACTTTCCCACTTCTGTAGAAGGTTTCCCAAAATAGATTACACACAAACTGCTAAG